ACTAGCAAGAAGCTGTAGGTAAAAAAAGGTAACACGGAAACATGTACTGTAAGCTAACCAAAGTATTATGGACAATAAACATTTATTGTATTGCATTTAATTTATAATTGATACATGGTCAAAGTCTATCATTGAGTGATATATATCTCAGTGGGTATCCTTGCATCTTCATAATATTTACATGAGGGTTATCTCACCTAGTGAGTCTATGACTTAATCAAAATATGGGTCGATATTTCAATATTTTAGATGTTGCTAGTTACTCTACGATTGTACTTCTCTGTTGATTTATTAATTTAGTGTCATCAATTATGAAAGAAATAGCATATTATCAAGCCAGAAAATTTCTTCCAAGATTGTAACGGCAATTATCCTGCAGGTGATGGTATTGTATGATAGTAAAAACAATGGCATCACTTCCTAGAATGAACATTATATCGTCAATGAAGAAATATTCTAGCAATGAACAGAAGAGAAGGTTGCATTTTAATCCTACCAATCGTAGCTATCAAAAAAATTTTATGGAGTTAAAGTGCTGTATAGCTAAGGATTGTTATCAAACCCTATTAGAGATAAAATAAAATAGTAATTTGATGCCTCTAGTTTAGTTTATATCTTACAGTAAGTACCGAAGATAGCTTATTAATATATATCTTATTTATGTGATCATATCTACTCATACCAGCCTTATGAAGCAAATAAAAATTTAGAGATTAAAAATACTTTAATTAAGATTACGACTGTATAGAACAGTAGTTTTTGTACGATCCATTTTAGCCATGCTTAATCATGAGCCGATGATTTGGAGAACATGAATAGGTATATGTAGAAAAAAGGCATCGGATCTACACTTTCTATCCAATAAAATAGAACTATGTGGAGGCGATAGATACTGTATTCCACGATAATTCAGTTATAAAATGCCATGAGTAAATAATTTACGTCATCAGTATGCGCCCATTTTATTAAGAAATGGGGGATACGAAAGGAACCCAATTTCAACATTATATCCAATCGGAAAGGATGCATTTACTATATTACAATAGTTAATATCTCAATTCGATCAATTTTATAACTATAATATTCTAGAGTCAGTACAACGGGCTACACTCTAGCCGATTTACTGTTTCTAGGACGTATTATTTTAAAAATAAGGACTTCTGCTCAGTGAAAAAAAGCTCTAGGGCTGCTTTCCAATACATCCTGATGCGTATCTCTAGGGCGCATTATTTTAAAATAAGGATTTCCGTTCAGTAAAGAAAAGTAATCGAACTATATAATACATGCTATGCGGTATGTCTCAGCATAAATTATTGAGCATTGTCTCAGGCATCGAAAGTGGTTCATGGCTACATACGCGTACACTTTCTATCTTTCTTCATGTGTATTCGTGCATTTCAAGCCTTAGAGCCGGGAAAAGGAATAATTACAGTATGTTAACTTTTTTATTCTACAGTATCGCAATTGTACCACAGTTTCACTGCTGTATCCATAAGCGTTATAAAAAAAAATGAATTATTGCTTTAAATTCATGTAGATTCGAATTGTAAAACGCAACAGCGACTTCATTGAAATTATGTTTATGCATTAACAAATTCTCCCTTGAATTGTATAGAATAGATCGATTTTAATAAAATATTATTTTCGCGTAGTCTAGACTGTGTAATCTTCTATTGGTCAAAAAATTATTATTTGACAAACGGTAGAGAAGATAGTTTTCTGTAGGTACAGTAGACTCTTAATAAGCATAAAATGGGTATATTTATAATTTATGAAATTATTCTAAATTAACCTTTACTGCCTACTAATATACTGTACAATATGATGAAGTAGACAATAATAGACCATTCTATTGGTTGGTGATTGTACTTTAGTAGTTGGAAACGATGACAACTATGGTTCAATATCAGTTGTATTTTCATTTGTAGCGTATTCAGGTAGTAGAAATAGTCTAGAATCAGAGTTCCACTATCCTTATTGATATAGAGTGAACAAGTCAGTTTCTCCCTTAAGAAGGTCTCTCTTATTTAAGTGATTTGTTTAGACTGACCAACAGCGTTAATAAGAGCTGTAGAGGCTTGTATCCAAGGATACAAGATGATGCAGCAATGTAACCCTCAAGTTGTAGCTTAATTGGGGAGAAAAATTAACATTACTAGCGGATTCGACTAGACTGATTGATACAGTATACAGTATATGTCGGTACGGCTAGTGTAGTATTTTATATGGAGTAATCCTACCGTACAAGAAAGGTAAATACTAGCAAGATTCACTTTTAAAAGTTTAATGATCGTCCGTTTGTACAGTATAAGCCTTTTACTCACACTGCAGGCAATCTATAGAACAATCTCGATGATTGTATAAAGAAGATACAGTATCAAGTTGTTACAGCTTATACTCCGTTAGCATGGATCGATGGAAAGGAGTCAAGAAGAAGCTATCAAGCTACGGCAGGTCTACCGTTTACTATGGATTACTCATCTCTTTCAAGTAGTCCAAAAGCATAGAATAGAAAGACAGTAATGCCAATAACGTACAATAAAGTTATTAAAATGCATGAAAAATCGTTGAAGAAGACATCAAGCTGCGGCAACTCTACCGTTTACTATAGATTACTCATCTCTTTCAAGTAGTCCTAAAGCATAGAATAGAACGACAGTAATGCCAATAACGTACAATAAAGTCATTAAAATGTATGAAAAATCGTTGAAGAAGACATCAAGCTACGGCAACTCTACCGTTTACTGTACTATGGATTATTCATCTCTTTCAAGTAGTCCTAAAGCATAGAATAGAAGGACAGTAATGCCAAGAACGTACAATAAAGCCATTAAAATGTATGAAAAATAGTTTATCGTTTTTAGTTAGCAGTTGTTGTTGAAATTTATTGGTGTACTATCAGGAGAGGACGTACTTACGCTATCAATGAATATGTCATGTATTGTTCGTTAATGCATTTTCTCTTGGATTACTTGCTTCTTCCTACATAAGATTACAATCAAAGAAGAGATAATAACATCATTAAATATGCAAAATCGTCCATGTTTTCATTTGAAATTCAGTAGTACATCGATGGTCGGTGTTATTCTACTCGATAGTAGCGTGAACTATGTGTAGTTTGGACATTATTCCTGTGTCCATCGAATAGACTATCGCCATTGTTTACAATTTACACTCCAAAGAGGTGGGATTTACGATTCTTCTTCTTGTTATTATTTATTATGATTATCTATTTTTATTTTGAATATTTTGAATAATCATTTTGGGGTTATTGATTATGCGTCACGCTGTAGTACTGTCTTGTTGGTGAGGTTGTATCAAGTTTATGTCGCTGTTTCAACTGTAGTATTATGCACGACGATGTCTAGTATGAGTGAAGAGACCAATTGGGTCGGTTATCCATCTCTCTCTCTCCACTTTAGCGTCAAATACAGTACATTAGTGTACATTATTTTTAGAGACACTTATTGAAAGATCTCCAAGGGTCTCTTTACCTTGGACTGTCCACTATTCAAGTGTGTATTGTCGGACTTTAAAAAGAAATTTCAAGGGGTTATTGTATCATTGACATCGATACCTATACAGATAGGAAACGATTGACTATAAATTGTATACAGATGGTTGGATAGTTTCAGTAGCTATTCTAGACATGATCCACTTTATTTTCCAGGATAGAGGATAAAAGAAAATATCATGCATCAATTAAAGATTGTTGTATCATTGAAAGAAGTGAAATGACAAGGGGAGGGTTGACCATCAGTAATGTGATGCGGATACCGACGTGAGTAATTACAACTAATTAATGACGCGTTGCATATGAATTAGTATCGGCTGTAGGATGATTTTTCTGTACTTTCACTCGTCATTGTACCGTCAATAAATCCAATTTATCATTGTCTAGCGTTGACCATAGCGGGTCATTTAACGTCAGTACGCTGGTAGTGCGGAGAGATTATGTTCGACTGAAATCAATGAATTAAAAATTAGCTGGCTTTGGACCATTTAGAAAAAAAAAAATTGTTTCTTCCCCTTGGAATTTTTTCTTTTTTTGGATAGGCTAGTACAAATTATTGAATGTTAAGAGAAGAAAAGTGATTGCTATTTCTTGCTCTAGTACTGTCCTATTTCCAACTATTCATGGTAGGTCTTGATTACACCTATCAAAATACTACCGTCATTGAGCTGCTACATAAATAGTAATTACAGAGAAAAAGTGTTACACCATTCAAGAGTTGGAAGGCTTGGAGAAACACATTGATCATCCACGATAGCTGTGTCGATGAAGTCATTTGCATCAAATTGATACACTTGTTGTTTATCATCGAGAATAAGAGAGTACAGCATCCAAGTGATTATCCATAACAGTTTTGGGTACGATATCGCGACATTGAAAGCAAGGCAATCAGGTGCAGTTGACAGGGGGAAAAAAAAAAACCAAGCGACAAAGAATCCAAAAAAAATAAAAGCTCATAACAACATTGAACGACATGAGTGATTGCAGTGGACTTCAAACTGAAAATGATACAATCCATAACCGTTGTAGTGAAAACATGCAAGAAGAGCAAGATCATGTTGAAAGATGGCTCAATTTAAATCCTCAATTTTTTGAAGACTATTTTATGAGATGTGCTAGCCCTGAATTAGTTGACAGGTGGTTAGCCAAACGTACTAAAAGAGTCCAGTTAGAAGATAAAAGAGAAGACAGTCATCAATCCAACGCTGATACGACATCCATTGGTGATGACGACGACGAGAATGACGATCATGACGTTGACACCAACAACAGCGACAGCAGCAGTGATGATGATAATCAAGATAACGTTGACAATGATACAATTTCAAGTCGTGTCGATTGCAACTGGCAAAAATTTGTACGCTATCAACGACAAAAATTTCGTTCACAAGAATCATTTCCTACACGAGATGATTCAATAGTAACATCACCTAGTCCAAGGAAGCAATATTTGAGAAAATCCAAAAGTTTCACTACTTATGATGGCAACTTACCAAGTACAGCCAGAGCAGAATTATTGCAATCAGTCTTAAAGTCCAAGGTCACCTTACCCCGCCATGATAACGATAATGGCGAATGGAAGTCACACTTGAATAACCAAAATCAACAAGAGATTTTCTTAGCTTTAGTCGGTGATATATCCAACGAGTTAGATCTAGATCGACTATGTAGGAAAATATCATTCAATGTTTGGATGCTAACCAAAGTTGAGCGTTGCTTACTCTATTTAATCGAAGGTACAGACAAGTCGAAAGAATTAACTTGTAAATCTCTTTACATCGACCGACAAAATTTAACTGCCACTAGTCTAGTAGCATCCAGTCCTGATCTGCAATTAGATAGACCCTGGTCTCAAGGTATCGTTGGTTTAGTAAGCCAAATCGGAGAGGTAGTTAAAATTGATGATGCCACAAAGGTAAGCCGCTTATTTTTTAATAATATGCTTATAGTACAACACATCTTTTACTTTCAAAGATTGACAGACTCACAGAGCGAGAGAGTCAAAGAAAAAAATAATCAATTTCTGTGCTTTACATGATGATGATATTACGAGGCAACATGTACTATGGACATATTTTAGACATAGTTATGATTGCTATAGTATGTATCTACACTTGTACAGTATGTCGGTGAGTTTGTAACCAGTGAACAATGCTTGTTATTTTTTTTCTCATAATAGCATAGACAGTCTGGCATTCTACTTATATATGAATTATATGTTACTGTACGCTTTAAAAGTCGAATAGATTATCAATCTGTCTGACATTACCAATGGTATCGATATACTCTACAACGTTCCATCTCATCGCTGAGTTAACATGATAATCAAATCTATCTTCTTCATCAAAATTGATTATCAAATAAAAAATAATACTTCCAATTTTCTCCAATTCTAAAACGTGTTATGCCATGTAATCAATTCTTTGCAATAAAATTGATTAGATGTGATCTCGGTTAAAGCCGTTGAGGCAATCTTGATAATTTTAAGTCTGAAGTTTTTTTACAATCTTGATTAATAATAAGTATGTATGATATATAAAAATTATTATTGCTTTTATTTGATAAAAAAATGAAACTTCTTGTCGGTGAAGATAAAAGTCGAAATAGTTCAAAATTTCATCTGAAAATTTCCTTAGTCAATTAAAATGACGATAGTAACAATTTTTAACATTAAAAAACATCATGCAGAAAATTCGTCTAACTTGAAATACGAAAAGCTAAATTAAACCCAGCTGGTGTTTGATTGTTTTTAATCAAGTGTTATTGTACTTTCAATACTATTGTTTGTAATTAGGATTCTCGATGTCGAAAGGAAGAAATGTATTTGATCGGTTGCAAGATTGATAATTTACTATGTATGCCGATTAAGGATAGCCAAGGCAATGTAAGTCAACTCTTATCTGACGTTTCATCCTGTTAGCTAACGGAAATTTAATAACTGCAATTTCTTTTGAATAAATTTTTTCATTTTGAAATCTTTCTTTTTACATCCAATGATATTTAGTTTCTATAGGATTAACTAACATTTTTTTTTTAATTGAAATAATCAGTAATAATATTGACAAAATTAAGTTTCTATCAACTTAGGTTGATTTTCTAGACAATATTAGCTGTCTGATTTGTTCTCAAGATACAGTTTCAATCTTTTCTGTATCGCGTTCCTCATTGATACGAGTATGATCGTCACAATATTATCATTTAAATCTGAATCTATTAAGTTGACATAGAATAATTACAGACTAATATTAAATTTAAGATTGGCTCGTAATGCCTAAGAATCCAATTCTTATTTATTCCCAACAATAACATTCCTGAATAATATGAGTCTTGAAATCCTTAAAATTTACTATCAAGATTTTTTATGATCGGATACAATATCTTTTATGCAAAATAATTGCCACCAATAAATTCAATCCAATAAATTTTACTGGCTGTTTGACGTACTACACTTACTTTTTTAAACACTCTTTTCCACTCAATTATAGCTTATTAGTTAATAATATGTACCCATTAACTTAACTAGTTTTTATAACAATGCTTATTTGACTCGTTTAATGAAGTAGGCAAAGCTAACGACGATTTCATCGCAGCCTTTACATATGATAGTGATATTAGAATCAGCGATACCAAGGTTGAATATTTAAATAGTCAAATTTAGTAATAATATCTTGACATTGACTGCATCGTGACGCTTATTCCCTGCTAATATATTATCTATTATCTCTATATGGTACTTTCTTTCAATTTCTGATTTTTTTAGTTCAACAATAGCATACCTGATCTATTAGATTAAAATAAAACATATGACAATAACACTATTGTAGTCTACAATTTGTAGACTAGTGAGGGTAAAATTTAAAGGAAATATTATCACCTTCATTCATTGATAGTAACTCAACTAAATAAACGATTATAAATCTTAAATAATGCTATAAAATATTGTCCGTAGTAAAAAATTATTTTTAATATCTAAAGACTGGATTAGACAGTGTTTTTCTTTCCTAGCTTTATTCTATTCAGTAGACCATAGTATATATTGTTGATTAATCCATCATTGACAGAGTAAAGGAATCATTGATAATCATCAATAAATCGAATGTATTGCGTGGAAAGGAATCAATGGAATATTATTTATTTCTATTTTGCTATAGCTACAGAGAAGTATTATAGCGAATTTCCCTCCGTATTCTAAAAAAGTATAATGTAATTAAGATTTCTATTATTCTGCCCGATGGCTATGTAAATATACGCTATTTAAAAGACTGAAAACATTTCCTTGTGTATAAATTTTTGATTTACAACTATTCCAAACTTACCGTAATAGCTAATAATAAAGGGACGAACTGTATAAATCAGATTGGGGACCTTTGGTTTAATTTCAGTCTCTTTTAAGCTTGAGATAATCATTGTTGATAATCATAATAAGATCAAATTGAACTATCCCACTTTCCTTGTTAATCAATTCTTTTCCTTAAATATCATCTATCATTTATTATTTGTATGAGTATCGAGCCATTCTAGATTAAATCAGACGATCAAAAAAAAATAATATATTGCAAGTATCAGGATAATTAATACCTTCTATTTTCCTAATTTTGGGAAAAAATATCATCAATAGGTGATTGGAGTTGTACAGGCTATCAATAAGAAATCAGATGGCGTCGGATTTAGTGATGAAGATGTCAAGGTATTTTAGCCATTGATTTAATAAATTATTTTATTATTACTTTAACTTTAAGGGTTTTAAAATAAAAAAAATAATATTTAAAATAATTCTGTATTGGAATAACTGTCCATGACAATCTACGCTTGTGAAATATTTAAATATTACGATAACGTAAATATACGGTATTTAATTTCTCCACGATAAAACAAATACCGTTTAACAATATCAAATCAATTTTTTTATCTATACAATAATAATTGTAAACCAATTATCTAGATTCTAAGCTGAGGATAGTAGAGACAGTATTTAAGTAATATGATAAAAATCAGTTTATATTTCGGTAGATTACATTTGGTACTCTTCCCTCCTTTAAAATGAAATTAACATGATGAAAATGAGATATTAATAACTGCTAGTAGTAACGAAAAACCCTCTTTACTTTATAGTAGGTAGTATTGTACGTAACAATAAGTCATTGGAGACGATACAACCACGAAGTAGATATTATCTATTCCAATAAAATAGACTTGGAGTAAAGCTATTATTCTATGATAAACAACAAAATAGCTGTTTCGTTTCGATATTATTACATTATTTATTTCTATTTTACCATTTCTACCGACATCCGATGTCATTTTTCATCCTTACATATTAACTGCATTGTTAATATACATGACCTGTAAATAGATGGACCTTTCTTAGTTTTTACTGTATATCAGATCAAGATTATTGTTTTATTGTACGGTAGTGATCTAGCTACAAATACTATTAGAAATGAGGCTATTTATTTTTATCATAGACTTTATGACTTGACTGAATAATAAGTACTAGTATAAAATTAATTAGTTTTTGCCATTCGCTATCGATATCGATGTTATTAATCAGACTTAAAGAGGTACCTTATGATAATAAATCCTGAAAGTAAAAGTACTTGGCAGCTTAAAAGCACGTAATTCTTAATTTGCGAGTTATTTATATATCCTTATCTGGCCATTAAATCACAGTTACAGTCATGTAACTGCCATCGTAACACAAACAACACCCTAAGGTTCTAAGTATTAAATTAAGTTAAATATTCGAAAGAGAAAGTTGATTAGTAGTAACATGGTTTTAAAGTTTGTATGATACAAATTATAAGTTCGTATTTGTGTACCGTAAGTTAAAATAGGCAATCTATTGGAATCAGGGATATAGAAAATGATCGTATAAATGATACCTTGTATCCAATCGCCTCTAAGGAAGCTAGTAATAAAAAATTGATATATCATGATAGGTGAACAACAGTTCGTACGTAAATTACCTTTATCCATTACTGACAAATAGCGAATGTTAAAAATAACCTGTACTTGGTCTACTATAAAGTTTAGTACTTTAAAATTTACCAACGGGACATATCGTAGGCAGGATTATGATCTAACTACTCTTAAATTATAGTAGGTATCACTCTCATTCATTGGATCATGTCTATTTTTTATTTCACTAATAATTAATAGTATCGATAGTCAATAAAAATGAAATTAACGGCAATTTTGGCTCATTTAGTAAATTATCGGCACTAGTCATTAGGTATTGACTCGTTTAGTAGTTCATTCCTGGATAATATTATATTAGCAAAGTAAACCAGGCATCGCCATATCTATTTATAGTGAACGATAGTCCAATTCTTTTATTCTTCACAATATTATACCACCCACATGAATGTCGGTAGTCATACAAAATAGGTATAGTACCTTAAAAGGTCTAAATATTTTATGAATCAACCGTAAATTGAAGTTCTCGTCAAAGTGTATCAGACTAAAGTGTAACCTGGTCATGGATAACTATTTAAGACTGAAAATTAGTAATGATACTCGATATAATATACTATAATAAAAAAATTGGACCCCCTAAGTCTAATTGTTATCTATTTCAAACGAGCCGAAAGATCTAGTAAATAATTGAACGCATTCGTTTATAAATTACAGTTTTAAACATAGTGCCTTCGATTGTAGGTCAAATTTTATCCTAATAAATGATATCATTCACATAATGACACTAGCTTATGTAAGCGCCGTAGTAAAATTAAGTCTTGTCGACTATAAGACTTAAGTTGATTTCGTGCCTGTGTATGGCATATAAAATAATCTATTATTATATATTTATATGGACATTTAAAGTGATAAAGTTCAAGTAATCTTGTAGCTAAGGTTGTCATCGTCTTGAATACTTGATTTGAATGTATTATTGTATCACTGATTTTATGTTTAACTCGTGAATGGAATGGTAATGTTTATTTATCCTTTAATAAGGTTATGGAAACGTATTTAACATTTTGTGGAATCAGTATCACTAACGCGAAATTATGGCGGATGATTAAGAAAGAATCGGAACGTAATAAAGTAAGTTCAAAGTAGTTTACTGTTAAGATATAGATATGAAATTGTCTCTTCCGATGCCCGATAAGAGGCCGATAACGAACTAATTAAGTAAGCAATTGACCAGCGTATGTCGGCTAGTAAATAGAGAATCTATTGTATTAAACGTAATTTATTGATAAATTACTAGTTTTATTGCTATATCTTCGACTCCAGCGACATCATATTCTTGGAAAAATATATTGATATCGGTAATATTTCACGGTAAAATCAAATAAAACCCCATATTAATTGGAAAGCACTTTGTACTATAATTTATATGGTATCAGTATTAAATTGTTTGCCATGGTAATTCATTTGTTAGATTTTTGAGTTATTCATAAAGTTTACTTAGATTGAATTAATGATTCATTTTAATATTGTAATTGACCACACTGGCTATAATTATATCGTATATCTGAATGTAAATTTTTTTGATAAAGACATAAGATATTGGAATTACCGTATTCCTAAAATTCTCTAGTTACATAAATATAGTGTTTGTTTTAGTTATACGTAATATATGTACTTACTCATGTGTAGACTGATACAATGTATAAGTTTTTACCTATACTAGAGATCACTGAGAGAAGACTAGTAAAATATCGCTCATTTTATTGGCACTTCCTAAGCAGAATGCTACACTAATGAAATTAGCAGTACAATTAACCTCATATACACGTACACTAATGTATATATATATATATGTTACGGCCAATGTCGGTAACACATATATATATATGATATACATGATTTGCAAGAGTCTATATCGATACATAGGATAACGCTATTTTTTGTCTTCTTATATCATCATTATATCACCAACGATACACCAATATCAAGTCAATGTTAAGCTATAAACGATCACTTTCTGGTTTAAGTAATAGCATATTTCATTATCCTTTACGCATGTCAGTACACTTTGTTAAAGTCACAGATAAAATTTTTAATTTTAAATACTTTTACAATATTTTTTATCTTTATGATAGAATTATTCGATTAGTAAATTAATTATTGGCTAATGTTACCTGATTTACTTTACAGACATTACTGGAATTGACTCATGCGCTATTTGAAGAGCAAACTTCACCAGATAGATGTATTGATAGTATTATGGAGCGCTCTCAGATGCTATTGAAGTGTCAAAAATGCTGTGTTCTACTTGTGGACAATATTGCAACCGAAGTAAGAAACTAAAGCAATTGTTATAATTTATGGATACTAAAGTAAATGATTAAAATATCCATTAAAGATGTTGTTTTCGATATAATACTACTATTTCGGTATCTTTTATTGATAAAAACATGAACGTTTATGCTTAATGAAGTTTTCGTTCGTTAAAGCCATCTTGTAATATTTCTAAAAAGTAGTCATTGTGCTTGTATGTGTTTTTATTGTTACGTAAGTACTATATGCCTATTTTATCGTTTATAACCCTTATCAAGGTATGCGTGTAGATACATGTATTATAAACAAACTACTGTCTTCGTTGATATCATTAGGATCTACGATTCAGCAAAGTTTTTGAATTACGTGGGGATACCGGTGAAAAGCAAGTATTAAATTAGTAAGTATCAATTACGGGTGAGATAGTAATTAAATAGGCTTGCTAATGAAATTAAAAATAATTCAATTATAATAGATACTAGAGAAACAGTTTTACCCTTTGTTGGTTCGTTGATAATATAATAGATTACTTCAAAAGGTTGTTTAAAATGATGATAAAATAGCTTTATGATAACAGTCTCTATACTTAGCGAAATTGATTGCATAAAAATTAACCAGATACATAATATATTATACATATATGAATATAATTAGGTTGTACATTATGCATTTTCTTGTACTTTAATTTGAAATTTTATTTGCTATATGATGCAGTAATTCTTATTTATTGTAATCACAGTTACTGAGGTGTATTTAACTTAAAAAGCGTCTAACGATTTGTAAACAGTTTGCTACTATTTGTTTTAACGCTACGAAAATAGTACCGATAAAATCGGCGGACGTATTAGTGAAATCAAAGATGAAATTGCTTCGTATGTTATCACGAATGGAGAGGTAAGAGATATTCTTGATAGTGGCACTGCAAAATTAATATTACATTCACTATGCTAGTCGATACGATTTACTAACTAGAGTATCGGTCGTTCTGAACTTTGCCTAGATGCATACTTTTAATAACGATATTCGTTAGCTTTACTACTATTGGACTTCCATTAATGAAATAATAATGAAATCATTCACAATAAATCCTACATTCGCTAATACCGTAGTTATCGCCAGTTGTCATTGCTATGTAGCATATTATGAGCACCTAATCTTATTAATCGTTAAATCTGACAGTCCTTAAATATATCAAATTTTTCTGAAAATCATGAATTCAACGAAAAATCGGTTAGTAGATTTTCTTTCACCTGAAGTTTTTACAGGATACGCACCATCACCAATTATCCATGTTAAAAGACATTGTTAAAGGAGTTTTACTTACATTCACACATATCAACTTTATTTTTAACGGTGCGTCTAACTAAATCTAGTTTTATTGTAAGCCGGATTTTGAAGTATATTCCCTCTTAGCTATGCCCATTCGTGATAATAATTTGCGAATAATAGGTAAAGTTGAGATAATACTTTGTTTCCGTACTGAAAATTTTTTAAATTGCAGTCAAAATTTGTGCTAATTGTATGTACATTTTAAACAGGTGTAGCTGCATTAATTAACAAAATGGATGGAAAGAACTTTGATAAAGACGATGAAACCGCTTTTGAGGTTTAACTGTTTATGATTTCTAGTTTTAGGAGTATCTTTCTAAAGTTATAAAATTTTACTTTGGTAGGCTTTTGTGATATTCTGTGGTCTTGGAATAGTTAATACAATGATGTACGATAGTGTATGCAAAGCTAAAGCACAACAAAGCGTAGCCTTAGAGGTTTGACTAGTTAAAGTTTTTAAATTTTACTGCGGTATGAAAACTCAGTAGTTTCTTTATATAGGTGTGTTCGTATCATGCAACAGCTCCTAAAGACGAGGTTCAAAGATTTCAGGTTTGCAACTACGTTACAATTTCTTCGTAATCAATTATATTCTACCGAAATTTTATAAAATATTAAGTTACTGTGAAGATGATGTAAAAAGCGTAGGATTAGCAATAAAACTTATAATTGTAACCATTCATATATATTTATGCAGGATCAGGATGTACCGTCAGTTGCAAATTATAATTTACAAAGCCTTAAGTTCGATGATTTCTCCCTTGATCCAGACGGAATGATTTTAGCATCTATTCGAATGTTTAAAGAATGTGAATTCTTACAAAAGTTCAAAATCGATTATTCGGTAAAAGTTAGAAACGATTCTTGTTATACTTTGTGTTGGCGATGCACTTCTAAACACTATACTATACATCTTAAAAATATACCTGATTGTTTTCTAAACTGACTTGGAGATTTCGAATTTATACGTATAACGTATAATAATACTAATCTCAAAGTAATCATCCCCTATTTCTGAATTTTTCATGTTTAAACACTATATACTATTTACTGTCATATTTTGCTAGTGACATGTATTAATTATCGACATTTTTCTGTAATAGACATTATGTACTTGGCTATTAACTGTTCGAAAGAACTACCGTAATGTTGCTTATCATAATTGGAGACACGCATTTAATGTTGCCCAACTTATGTTTGCAATAATTAAGGTAAACATGATTTACTCCGTATCACACAATTTAAGCAGGATATTTATATGATATTCTATTATACTTTTATAAATCTTAACGTTACATTATTTATCAAAAGGGAATTTTTTTGGAGAAGACTTTGATTATGTCTTAGATTTGTAATATTACATTGATAAGTTTTAAAAATATGAGTGATTTGAATAATTTTTGTTTTCGTTAATAGAACACGAAGCTAGGGAATACATTTTCTCATATTGAGTGCTTAGCCCTCATTGTTGGTTGCATATGCCATGATTTAGATCATAGAGGAACTAACAATGCTTACCAAATTAAGTAAGTTCATGATTATCTTAAAATTGTATTAATCTCCGCATAAAATTGAATTATAGTTAATGACAGATATTGTGTGTGTGTATATGTGTGCGGACATATAGCTACGTATATTAATAAAACACTTCGTACGCACATTAGATAATAACTATGATAGCTAAATTGAGATTGTGATAAAAATTTTTTACAGGAGTGGATCACCTCTTGCAAGATTATACAGTACATCAACAATGGAAAATCATCACTTCAACCATGCCGTTATGATACTGAATACACCGGTAACTCATCAAATCTGTTGGCTATTTTTACGAAAATTATAATCTGAATTGCAATATAACTTGTTTATCCTCAAATTGTATTTCAGGGTCATAATATATTTGAAACATTTACATCGGAAGAATACAGTAGGCTGATAGATCTAATAAAACAGTCAATTTTGGCTACTGATTTGGCGTTATATTTTCGGTGAGATTCTTAACTTCTTGCTGCATTTCAATAATTTCATATTGTGCCTATATTTCTAATCAGTAAAAGCTATTCTGAAAAAGGTTTTGATTTTTAATAATTAGAAATCGTGAAAATTTTTTTAACCTTGCAAGCAATCACGAAATTAATTTTGATGATGATTTACATAAAGCACTGATAAGGTAAGCAGCCTTGCTTGTAGTAGCAGTAACAGTATCTACGTTCTATTAAATAACCTATTCAAAAATTGAACTTATGCAATTGATGCCTGTAATATTAAAGCGTTGCGTATCTGTTATTGAACAGATCTATGTTGATGACTGCTTGCGATGTTGGCGCTATTACAAAACCATGGACGGTTGAAAGAAAAGTTAGTACTACATGAATCGATATAAATATAACTTGAAATAGAAATAAAATATTTTGGTTTTAAATTTTACACTAACACTTGGATAGGTTGCAGAATTAATCTCTGCCGAATTTTTTGAACAAGGCGATTTGGAAAGGCAGGAACTCAATTTGGAACCCCAAGTATGTAGATGTTGTTATGCTTTCAAATATGAAATTATACTATTTGTAACTGTAACCACTTCATAACAGAGATTAATGGATCGTGAAAAGAAAGATGAAATAGCTTCAATGCAAGTTGAATTCATAGATGTGATATGCATGCCTCTTTATAAGGTATTGTTCAGAATCATTACCAATACAACGAAATAAAATAGAGATCATGCTTAGGGTAGATTTCATGTTCTAATATTTATACGTATCTACATATCATTTCAGTTAGTAAGCGTCATTTAGCAGTCTTAAGTGATATTGTGTTTGAGCTACTTGCTGTTTATCATAGCCTCAATTATATTATTGGTATACTTATAGGCTTTCGCTGAGCAGGACACGCGATTGAAGTCACTTTTAGATGGCGTAGTAGAGAATCGTGCAAACTGGTTAAAAGAAGATGAAATGATGCGTAAAAGAAAGCAGCCCATAATTGAGCCCTGTGTTGTGAGTAGTCATTACTCGTAGTAGTTATCGTTGTAATTTTATGCGCATTACTCATCTTTCATTAATATTAATTAAAGCTGTGATCAATTTTTTTCATCCAGATTACCACTAATGGATCATAACATAATAAACTGTCCAACCTGATGGCTCTATAATCTTATGAATGCCTTTATATCAAGTTAATAGTTCTTTCATTTTGCCAGCATTACTTGTTTAATTAATTTTATCAAACAACTGGAGGTCTGTGAGAAAATTAAATATTTTTAGCTTTCTATTTAACAATTCGATTCGCCGTAGTGTTGCATTCTTAATTAGTAAAAATATTTTTTTACTGTTATATGTAGTAGCGCTGCACACATTTGTAATAATGGTATTGGATAATAAATCAGCTATATAAATCGTACACTGGTTTTAACAGTTGAATCACGTTATAATTAAAGATATACAATTCTTTCAGTTTACAGCCCAATCAGAATGTCAATAATTTTATGTGCATTAAACATTTGTCGTATATTCATAGTAATATATCAGAATTTATCTTCGATGATATAAAATAAGTACAAATATTTTATGGTTTCATCTATAATGTTACTTTAAAAGAGGCTCATATGAATGTCATTGAAATTCTACTTGTAAGATCTTTCAAAAAAAATAAAAGGCGATGATTATCATTTGCTTACATATTAGATACAAGGCCGACATAGAAAATTTATATAGTTAATGATACAGCATAAAAGATTTAGTAATTGACAATCTTAGCTGATTTTAATGTCAAAGTCAATCGCTTTACATCAATATGTGTTCCCAATAAGGTTCATGTATTCTTAGATTCATCATCTATCAAAATACTTAGATCAATGCCAAATCTTTTCTTATACGGCTCTTTCAAAGTGGTAATAATTACATCTTTTGAGTAGTCACTTCCGGCACAAATTATCCAAATGATCTCGTTCATTTCACTCTAATTTAGGACAAACATAATATGGTTTATACTTATTCCCTTCAAAATTAGTATCAATTGTATATAATTTTTAATATCTAAAGGGCGCTCTGAAAGAGTTTGGAATACGTTTCTGACCTCATCGCATAGTTTTAAAATTAATTGATGCGGCACCTTACTATCAATTTCCTACATTAAAAGTCAAAAATATTAATATATTACGACGACATAGAGCAATCAGTTAATAACTATATTGACGGTAAATAGTAATACTGACCACTTCCAGAATACTAGTGATAGCTTGCTTTGCAATAATCAAAAATTGCGACTGTCTAGCTTTCAATAAATGAATTTTTGGCAACACGCGCGAAATGGGTAAAGTAAAATTAACCCTAGCTATGTACATATCGTCCGGTGATACCACTAGGCAGACGTTCTCATAACAATCATCTATGCATAAGAGATATTAATACACGCAACGTTATTACAAATGAGCTAGAAAACGATGATAAATTGATATAAAAGTGCCACATGATGCCAACGTAACGAACCATTGATAGTAATGTTAACTAGTAAGTAAAGAAGAATATCTTTGGGATTCTCTTCTACATCTGGTGCAGATACCGTTACGTTTTCATCCTAAAAAAAATTTTTTTAAAATATGAACGGCAAATACAGGCCTAAAGCTTAAACTGATTAAAATTAAAAACTTTAATACTTCAAATCGGTAAAGATATCCATTGTCTGCAATTTCTTTATCATGGTTTGACACATTAGAAATTATTTTAGCGTTCAGTAATTCATTTGCAAGTTCCAAAACCTGAGTTAGATGGGAAAGCGTAAAACTCCTTGATAAATTAACGACATCGTAATATGCCTTTTTGGCAGTAAAAAATACTAACTTTTAAACGTGAGGAGTCTGTTACATCCATCAGCCAGTCTAGAAACTGATTCGCAACAAAGCAGTCTCGGAATACTTTCTTTTTAAACTAGGATAGTGCAAAACTCATCTTTAGACATCACACGCTCTTTTTTCGAAATTCTAGAACAGCAAGACTGTTAACAATGCTCTAATGTATTACCTTTTTGTCTCCAATAAGATCAGTTTTGGAGGATCTTAAGGCCAGTTTACGCAATGTTTCGCCCTATTATTAAATTTTCATTACTTTTTATTTAATGGTTACATATATTAGCAATATTTAGTACGCTTATTCAATCTAACAACAAAAAGTCAAAGAAGAGTGAGAATTTTAAAGAAAAGTGGTGACTTACGATTTCGTGAATATTATTGAAGTCATTTCTATCTTTTAGTATTAATTGAGCTCTGCAAATCATCAAAAATTATAAACTTCATAAATCAATTTGCAAACTTACTCTTAAGCAAAAATCGCCTACCTAATATTGTTACATGTGTATGAAATGTGGTCGTGACTTAAGCTAACATCGTAATCCCTTAGTGAAGTAGTAGATGACCAATAGCCTAAAGATTATATGAATCAATCAAATATGATACATTTGTATTGCAAGTACAAAATGCGAAAAAATGCAGTCATACCACAGAAATAATCTAGAAATGATGAACATTTATTCTTATCTTTTACGATGATTGTAAAACATTTCGGGTCATATTTAAATTCCATTCGAAAACTCTATAATAATTAGTTATTTTCATTGCTTTAAATAATACGCATATATGGTAGATTTTTGAATAATAAATTACAAGAATGGATAGCAGAGTTTAACAATTAAATTTACTTGATAGTTATAGCCGACGTCGATATATGCTAAATTTTCTATTTGAGTTCGTGCAATAATCGGCTGGGTTTGCTCGTTGGATTCACTAATACCGTAAACGATGGAAGAATATATTTACAGCGATTCGAAGACAATGTAATCAGTAGAATTTACATTTACCAAAACATATTTGCATCACTTTTTACCTATCATCTGCGGTTCCAATTTCAAGTAAATAGATAGAGGTGTTTGTGCATATCAGGTAGCATGGATGTACGGTACTCTCAGGGTATACAATACAGCTTGCCTATCCGATACAGAGAAATATTAGTCTATACATGTTTTGAGCATACCGACAATTGATTGGTAGCTATTATATCATAGTATAATTCAACTTGCCTTTAAGTTGAATTCACTACGTTCGTCATCACTGTAAACCGTTAAGTTCATGACTAGTTCTGTGTTATGATCTAATATGCTAAAATCTTCAGCTTTAGAATTATTCTTATTGACGTCTTGTGTGATAGCATCGTTGTCACTATTAAGACTGGTTGCACTAAGTAATTCACTTGAATCCATGGTATGATAACCACCGACATCGTCACTGTATCCAGATATATCTGGTTCTTGTCGCTCCGTAGAAACAGCGCTCTTAGACTGATATTCACTCCCGTCATCATTCGACGATCTTAAACTGGCGTAGCTATTAATGTGGTCGGTATTGAGATTTTCTGATATACTATCAATATCATTAGAATTTTTACCATAATTATGTAGATTATCGGATTCTTCGCTTTCTATATTTGTCGATTCTAATAATAAACTTTGATTATCACCTACAGACGAATTATCTGTTGTCAGAGATACAATTACGGTGCTGTTATCTCTTTCCTGATTATTTACAAAATCTCCATGTTTACATTCTGTGTCGAATTTCCTGGCGCCGTCAACAGTGTCGTTACGATTTGAATCCAAACTCCTTGCAGCCGGCTTGGGCAAAGACGCCTTTCCTGATGACGCAACCTTTGCTATACTTGCTGGAGTACTTTTGGTTGATTCACGGCTAAAGAGGAAATTAACTTTACTTTTTGCTTTATGTGATGAAAATTATAAGAACTATTCGAAGTAAAAGATACCTGCCAGCCGTAATCTCAGGATGTGAATTAGAATGCGAGCGCTGAAAACTTGTGCTTGAAGAATTTAAATTTTTTAAGTCGCTTCTTGGAGATTCAGCAACTTCCTTAGATTGTTTCTTAACGACAAAGAAGACCTTATCACTCCCGCACTTTGGGCAAAGACTGTGATTTATAGGTGGATCAATTGAATCTGCTTTGCCTTCATGAAGGTATCGAATTGGCACCATGAAGACATGCTTACATTTCAAACACTAGAATGTAAATAAATATATTATTCGTTGTTTTATGATAAAATTTCATATCTTAATAAACTGACCTCTCTTATCCTTTCAATTTCTAATTCTGAACAGTTATCATCAGCGATTGAAGCTAGCTGAATATGTAATTTCTGCCAAGTAATTCAAGACATAATTTCACAGTTTCTTAGTCAAATTTAATTCTAGCATTTTGCAGATGTTCCTTAAAATTTCTAATTAACTATGAGAAAGTATAGACTAACCTCTGCATCTTTTCTATCGGGAATAACATAGGATAGAACATCTTTACGAAGCGAGTCTGGGTACATGAAGGTCAGATCAAGAGTAAACTGCATTTCCCTGAATTAAATATAATATGTTATTCAAGCGCTAACAAAGCCCCATCAATTAAATTGATTCTATAATAGAATGGATTCTAGTATATCTTAATTCTAAAATTTTTACTTGTTGGCATTTTCGTCTTCATTACTTAACATTTTATTGGTTTTATTCGTATCAATAGTATTTATTGAAGGTTTCAAAACAGCCGATACCAAATCGCGCAATTTCAAGGAATCTATAATCTATAATTTAGTACCATCAGAATAATTTAAATTTATTTTAAACTGGAATACGGATAGACGAAAACTATTGAGAACACTTAGGTAGTCTTGATAACAGTTGCCGAAGTAAGTCATTCAATACTATACCTTATTTTTCATGGTATCCTTGATGCGGATGCAACCGTCTCCGATAGATAAATAATAATAGGCTAGGGTGCCATCAGGTAATTGACGGCTAACTAAAAAGAGCTCTCCATCATCAACTAGTGAGCCTGTAATTGGTAAAATAATTCCTATAAGATAAGATTTTCCTATAAATTAAAGTGAAATGTTCTGCTTCTTACTTGATTGAATAACTTTATCCTCTGTATGCACTTCATTGCTCTCATTGTTCTCAACAACTACATTTTCATTATCGTTGGTAAACGAATATTCCTCGTAGGTCGAGTTTTCGCTTTCAGTTGCTAATAATTATCAACAGTCATAATTACTTATTTACTTAATATTCATTAAAGTACATATATATACACAAACTAGCAACACCATACTCAGGTTTAATGAGTCTAATTGGGATCGCGCTAGAGCAAGTTCATCAGCAGCAAGAAATAGCCAATCTATAGTTTAAGGATATACAAAATTAAGTTGGTAAGATTTTCAACTACTTGCCTCCAATACCTTTTCCTGCGTAAATGAAAACATTATAGAATACGTGATAGTATCACATGATTGAGTTGATACCTTTGCCGTAAGAGATTTTACTTTTCTTCGCTTTTTCTGTGAATCTGCTTGTTTCATCTTCGAAATTCAAAAAGAGTACAATAATTATAATCAAAATTTCACATTACGCTAATAACTTAACGAATTAGGCAAATTTATAGTTATAACCTTGTGAAGGCTTCGTAGGAGTGCTAGCTTGTTGTTTAGATGATTTTCCCTGGGGTTTCAAATAAATTCGGAATCAGAAAAACATTTCGCGTGAGATATCAAATGCTGCATTTAATAAACTTTTTATAGTAAAGTTGATCTTTTCTACTCCGCTACTGAGACTATACCCGTTTCTTTTTAGGCTTGATAACAGAACTAGTGGGAGATGAATTCACAGCGAGTAAGTTATCAGCGCCATTAATTATATTGGTACCGATACCGTTAGGTACAGCTGGTATGCTTTGCCTCTCGCTTGAGATAGAAGTTTGCTTGATGTTGAAATTATTAGTTATCTTCGCCTAATGCATAAAAATTCATTCGATTTATAAAATATGATGACATTAAAAGGGAAACGTGGCTTATAATTTAAATTTCACCTTAAGTTCCTGACTAGTGAGTTGTTTGCCATCCAGAATAAATGTCTGTAACATTCATATCCGCAGTAAAAATAGGAAAGCATAACAGATTAATCTCAGCTAGGGTATTTATTAGAATGCAACTAATTTTTCGACAAGACGAAAATTTCTTTCTTATAACGCAGTCTATTTTAAATAAATATATGTACAATACCGTAGGATGGCTTATTACAGATGAAACAAATTGAATTACACGTTGCCGATGATTTTTATGAAAGGCAATTGGATTTTCCGTCAAATTTACCTACGGGGTAAAATTTCTTAAATTACCGACGCTATATATATGAGGACAGAATCCAAAATAATTAATTGAAGATATCATTCTAACTTACATTGCATAAGGAATGTAATGATGCCAGAGGACTTAAGATTGTATGCGAAGTGATTAAATTACCAGATAAATCAAGAATTTCTAAATTTTTATAATCTTTAATGCCTATAATATATTAAAAATAAACAGTATTCCAAAATATTAGTCAGGATATACAATATGATTTCTATACCACGATCACAGCTATAAAAATTATTAAAATCATTGTGTTGCAGAAAGATACCGTCTGCAATAAATATATTCTATAAATGTTACAATAAAGATTAAAGTTAGATTATTGATGGTAAAAGTAAGTACAGCATACTGTGCTCATATACATTATGCATTTATCAAAAGAAATTAAAGTATACCTTCTATATTATCTAAGCTATTATTTTTCAATATAAGGACTTTAAGTGATTTTTTAGTTTCATATGACATCACGGGAATTTTATCCAAATTATTATATCCGAGATTTAAAACGCTGATGTTGCACATTATCATCTACAATGAATAAAATATAGGTAATAAAAGAATTACCTTTCTCGATAAGCTTTTATATTAAATATTTATGATGGATGAAGTCAACAATAATAAATACTTACTTCAAAGTTGCAATTTTTATTTAACAATCTGTTATCATTTAAAAGTAGTGTCTGAAGCATCGGTAAGAAATTCTAAGAAAATATTTAACTGTAGTCAGTAATAGAATAAGAGAAGAAATATTTATCTAAGTGTAGCTGTGCATCCTAATAAAAATTATTCGTAAATTTCAGAAATTTTGTATCTCACATTGTATCAGTCAGTCAATATCACATAGTCATATGTAAGGTATTCTAATAACCGAGAAAAAATTATCATTTTGCTGTTAGCTAGCCTTACTAGTGAATCATCAACAGATGTGATAGAGTTGTGTCCAAAGTCGGCCACCTCGAGTTTCGACCATAGACTAGGAACCGTTCTATCGCTGCAGCATGATATCAAGACCTCCTGCATTTGGTATGATATAAGTATAAGATAGTAAGATCGATTATACTACTATCCGATTTGCTGATTGTGTAATTATTATTGTAGAATTGACATCTCCATTGGGACCAACTTCATATAAGTGCTTTATAATGGCCATAAAAATCAGTTATTTTTTTGCTATCATTAATTTAAAATCGGCAATGGTCAACGAAGTGCATCTATCAACATCTAGTCATCTACCTTTCAAGGTAGTATTTCTATTGTAATACGGGTGATAATATGGCAGTAATGTAGTCATTTCAGTTTTTACAACAGTGAATAGTGAGTTTTTCGCACTAGCTACATTATTCTTAATTTCTTGTTAACTTCAAGTATTGTAGTCTCAAACAGTAATTGAGATGTCATCAATGCAATTATAAAATTTATTGCATGTTAACTTTTCCTAAGATAAATATTCCTTCTTAAACTTACCGATAAATGTTGCACACACCGCGTGAATGTTAAAGACTTTAATTGTGGTCTTAAAAATTTTAAGCCAGCAATGCAAGATAATGGTATTTTCTTAATCTGTAATTCGTTAGGGATATAGATTGATAGGGGATAAAATACAACGCTTTAAGAGATTACATTACACAGTTTAGCCAAATAATGCGCAAAAGGTGTACAAATTAAGAATTGAGGAGTTACTTATTACACAACACCAGACAACTGTTATCAATATTTAACCATAGCTACTAACCTCTAAGGATTGTAATGATCGAAATCTACTCAGATTTATCTTAGGAGAATTCCACAGGGTTGCGCCATGATTAATAAGCTACAGTTTTTTCATAGAGATACAAACAACTTTAAAATGTTATTCACTTGTGTACGAAAATGTATATTTAAATTATAAACTTTACTATCATAGGCAAGTGATTTATTTAATTTATTTATAGATTGAGATTTAAGTTGCCTTTAATAGAAGTATCAGCTAGAATTAAAGTTAACATAATACAAAAGCCATCAATCAATTGAAATAGAAAGCGTACTTTTAATTTGATAGCTTTTTGCATAAAATCATAAATTACTAAAATGTCTTCGTTGCCTTTCTTGCGAAGGTGGTCTTTGACAGTTATGATATCGAAGTCTTTCTCTAAGGATTGATGATTTTCATCTACAATATACGTAGGGATATAAAATAGTAAACAATGACAGCATCTATGATTAAAATACACAAAGGTATCATTTTAATCGCCTGGTAGCTACAATTCAGTTATTCAAAGTATTGCCACATCATGTATGTAATATTTATTTATTACGTGAACTAATTAAGAGTATTTAATTAACTATTTCCTCATCAACTTTTAATAATTATTATAGCAATAAGATTTTAACTTGGTTATATAGAGATGAGAATACTGTTGTATTGCACGTAAATTAGTGCAAAGGAGTGTGTTTGCTAAAATACCTCGAAATACGATCAACAAGCAGTATGATCACAAGCTGTTGTAAGTATTCAATACTCTCCATTAATAATCTTCTACAAAATATGTGTAATACGTAAAACTAGCAGTGGAACTGACTGTAGTGAAGCAAGTATTCAAAGTTTCAATTGTCTTATAGTCAGTAATACCACCTTTGTCAGGACGAATTATTCGTTAATTCATTACAATTATCGATGTATTGTACGAGTAAGTCAATATTCATTATAAATTAAAACATGCTCTGTATAAGTTATAATACAATATTGCATTAGGAGTATTTTTTATATATAGTAATAATACGGACTATATTTCCAATAATTCTAGCAAGGTAAGAACGGAGACTTCTTGTAATATAATGCACTGCAATAGTGTGATAAAATATCAACATATCTATTTTTTTATTTTTATAACAATGATAACGTATTATCAATTCTACTAGACTATCTATAAAAGTTATATTTTATATATTACAGCAAAGTCACGATTTGATGACTTACCAAAACCGATATCTTTCAAGCGCTGATTAATATAATGTAAGGATGCTAAGTTTAAAGATAGAGCAGCCTTTCCTGAAAGTATTTCTTCACCTAACATAATTGTACAATTAATTTTAGAGAATTTCAAGGCTCAACCAGTAAACTAGAAAAGACAATGTTAATATTCACATATTGCATTATTGCAAATCAATAGCTTGAGATATACAGTATTGTACTGTACTTAAGTGCCATGTTATTATAATAAAAAATATAAATATTATAATCAATTTACAAATAGCTCGTTAACTGCATTGATATAAGAAGCAAAATGAATCATCAAAGTTCAATCATGAACCGGATATTGTTACTTCACTAACTAATCTTTCAGCTCGATTAATTTCATTTTATATGATTACAATTAAGAGTACAGTAGTGCATTTTTCTTCAAGATTGCAACAATAACATGCTAAATTGAAAACTAGAGTTAAGATAGATTTTAGATTAATACAAATTTGATCAAGAAGTGACCATCACTTGAAATCTTCCATACTCGAAGTGTATTACAGTATAAAAGTATGATATAGGTAAGAGTAGATCGCCAAGTAGGTATGATCATGCTGACGCTGTAGAGGTACCTTTTGCACGTAGCAACTTTACAAATTTGCTGATAAATTGAAGGCCAAGGTCGTCATTCTTAGCCGCAGCCATACTAATCCAATCAATTTTGTTGTCTTTGGAAAGTTGTCTTAACGCATCAATCTACTTCACTCTTTTTCTATTGCTTTTTGGGCAATTTCAACTATCTAATCAAGTACCAACAAATCCAATAACCGAAATCAGTACGAAGTACGTTCATCAAGGAGTTAGGCGTATCAAGAACAAAACTTGGATCAATTTCAGTCCATTGATCCTAACTTACTATGGTAACATTGTTGTTCGCACCAGCTACTATAACGGAACGCTGCTGTCGTGGATTAGTTAGGGTGTCACAAGATGGAAACACCTTTTGCTTAGACACATTTTAACACCTCCAGGAAGGCAATCTAGATGGAAATGGAATGAGATGCACAGATTTGGTCTTTGAAAATGAACTGCAAAGAATTCTCAAAGCCAATCCTTGGGTCAATGTGGTTCAGTATAGGAACTTCTAATGAGAGAAAAACTTGTCATTCGATGTCTCTGTACTGCACATACTGTACACACTAGAAGGTACAATACTGTACAGACAGCTGATATACAGTACTGTACGCATTAGGTCAGTTTACCGCTCTTCAGGTGCAGGTACTGGACTGACCCGTACGTACATTTCAACAACAAACATGACGTACTGGTCAATGGTATGTCGTACAGTACGCGGTCATGTGACGCCAAGTCACCCAAGGACTCAGCTCCAAGTTTTTATGGTACAATGTACAGTACACTGTACTGTACACTGTACTGTAGTACTGTTTGGTTCTACAGTATATGGTACGGTACTACTGTAGTACTGTATGGTCTGTATACAGTACTATATGAATCTACTGTTGAATAACCTTGAATCGAGGGAAAGATCTTCAAGGGTCTTTATTTAGATATACACCTGATGCTCATTAATTAATTAATTCATTACTGTAGTCGAGATTCTGGGATAGCTTAGGACTACCTATTCATTCATATACCAACATAATCCTCAAAGAAAGGTAACCAGTAGACCCACGCTAGTTATACGAACTTTGCGTACTGTACAGTATAGAGTCTGTTCGTACTTGCACTTTTTACTTCACAACATTCCATACTGTGCTATTCCACAAAGAGAACCAAGTAATACTCAGTAGACCTGCTCCAGTCCAACAACTATGCTGTGTAGTGAAACTTATTTTATATGGTACATATGAGTCATAGGATAGGACAGATGTGCATTCAAGACTGTTCAAGATACCGGTACACCAATCACCCTTGAACCCTCGCTGTAGATTTATTCGCATATTAAGCATCACAATATCCTTTACACAATTTAGCATAGCGATGTAAGCAGGATATTGCATACGATTATTGCAGGAAAGCATCATCTCAGCTCGTTTAATAATGTACTGCACGAGTACGTGATCAGCAGGATTGAAGAGATCTAAAAATGTACAAAAACTGTGCCAGTACCAACTTTTCCAAGCAGATTAATTTCTATCTAAAATTTGTCAATTCTCATATCATTACTATCATATAAACATCATCTTATAAAAAATTCACATTGAATAACGCGTATATATCCGGTGACCTGAAGTTATTAACTTTTAGAAAATGAGATGTTGAACTAAGTTGATTGTATAGAATCTGTACTACAGTACTATACACCTTATTATGTATTGATATCAATTGAATTATAGCATTTAAATCAGCTTTAGAGGATGCAGTAATGTTCTTGCACAAATTTTACGAAGGTAACTTAAACTTGGGCAATGTTAGACCAAATTTCGTCTCTAGACCTACAAATGAAGCAACTGCTAATTTCATCCCTCCAATATGATCAGGATTACCTGAAATGTAATGGGATTGCGATGATGCAGGTAGAGATTGTTGTGCAAGAGCCATTGGAGAGCCTGATGGTGCGCTATTAGGTACAAATAAGTGATTCTTTCAGATATCATCTACTTCTTCATATCAAAAAGCCAAAGAATGTACTTACGTTCCACCAAAATCTACATAAAGATATCTTTGAAGCAATTCATAGGTGACAAGTGTGACACCAAATTGAGGTGACGATCTAAACACTCGAGCTTGTAAATAGCAAAAAAAAATTAATAAGTTTGACAAAGTCTATTGTTGACCTTCATAATTTGCAAACCTGGTGCTCCTTTCCAAAATGCCCTAAATCCTTCCTGTTTCATCAGCTTTCTTGTACAATCGATTATTCCATCATAGGTAGTTTGACCTTTCCGTGCTTGAACCTAGCGGCGATGGATTGATAGAATAATTGTATTTTCCATTTCCGAAAAGTATGAGATAACAAAGTTAGCCCAAAAGTGTGTTAAATAAAGCTAACAAGAAAGATTGCAAAATAACCTGCAATCTTGTTTTTATAACATCTGCTGGAGTCGATAACGAAGCTGCTGGAGCCCCTGTATACATACAGCAATACACAAAATTATGGCGTTATTAACTGTAAAATGATAACATATAAAATACTGTATTTAAAACGTATCAATCGACTATATACTATAGCAGTCAAATATTTTTCTTACCAGCAAGAGCTGCGGCTGCTAGGAGTGAAGTTGGACCATTGGAACCGTTTTTATCTGCAAATACTGGCTTCAAGTGAGCGTATGCTGGAAAATATATGGCCGAAAATGGTATATCTCGTAAAAAACAAGCTCGGGCACCCTATAAAAAACAAGTTAAAATTACTATGGATTAGCTATCTGCTTTTCACTACATTCGCGATCTTGAAAAACTACAATTTTAGCAGAATACTAATAGTAATAGCCTATCAGCAAAATTATTTTAACTATGACACCTAATATTCTACAATTCAATTATATTACCTTGTAAAGTCCAGTCAATCCAAGGTCGCGAATAACCTGTACTGCACCCAAGCGTAGGCCTGGAACTTCACCAGCTACCTGCAGTCGGATCTTTACAATTTCTAAAGGGTTAGTAAATACTACTTGGCAACCCCCAGCCTAAGTAGTGAATAATAATAGAAGTACTTAATTGAAAACCGGAGAGAATATGCAATGAATTAAAAACTATTACCGTTCCGCCAGCAATGATCTCATTGAGTAACGGCAATTCGCCTTTTTTAGTTTTCAATTTATCACGAAGTAGGTCATTCATCTGCGGATGATCATGTGGAAGAAATTATATCTCATGTAAAAATCTTACAGCAATCTAATAGAATTATACCGTTAGCTTAATAGCTTTCTCCGGTGCAACACCAATAAACTGAGGCAGTAATCCTAAATTGGAAAAATTGAGTTACTCAGCAAAAGAATGGCTATTATAAAGCCCAACTAATAGCTACTAAATTACCTCGATATAGGCCGAAAAATCCTTCTACTTTTACAACCCTAACGAAACAGTCAAGACTATTTTTATACATGAGTTCGCCCACCAATTTTCCCCTTTGATTTTGCAATCTAGTCTTTACTAAGTCAATAGGATAAACAGCGGTCGCACCGACAGCTAGTATTTAAAAGAACGATTAAAATTTAAACGGTTTTCGTTTATTAGGCGTAAATTGAAGTTTTCAATAATAAACTCCAGCTAAATTTTTTAACCTCCTGCAACAGATCCGAGGGCAAATCTATATACAGATTCAGCAACATCTGTAAAGAACCCTCTACCAGAATTTGCAGTAACAGTATTTTGCGATACAACCTATATATATCAGTTGCGAAGTTATTATCGATAATGATATAGCAATTAAATACAGCTGCAGATAAATACATTTAACTAACCGCAGCTTCCTGGGAGGTAGGAGTAATATTCGTAGCTTTATTATTGGGAAAATTTTGTAAATTCTCAGGTACTAAGTGTTGGATGTCCGAACGACCAATATGCCTAAACCGAATACAGAAATGACCAGACTTATCGTTAAATTGAGTAATTATTCCAGTAATCAATTATTAGTATATTATTAGTACCCCTTCCCATTGTCCACTTCGCACAGGCGATACAATATATCCACTTCAAACGGTGTAATCTAAGGTTTATTGCAATGGTACAACATATTTACTTAGTCACATTTTCTCTTTTGACTAATATCGTTACCTCAAGTAACAATACCTGCGAGTATAATCGGGACGTTTGTAAAAATTCCTCTATGAAAATAAACAAACCTTTTTACTCCTTAAAGTTTAATTAACAACTTATATTTCAAGCTTTAAGTAAAACGAACCTTTTGTAATACTATCTTTGCCCAAATCTTCTGCAGCACGTGTAAAAATTTCTTCGATAACGTCAATATTTGATAATAAATCGATAAATGCGGAATAATATGCAAAATTCACTTTGTCTGACGGTAAGCTTCCTACAATCTAATGGTACAGAAATTTATTATATTCACGCACGCCGTTAGACCTAAATGAAATATTAGCAAGAAAATCTAATAATTACGATAATATCAATAAGCTATGCAATAAAAATAACCTTTGGTAAATTCTGTTTAATATGCGTTGATAATAATTCTTTTTTAGTTTCTAGCATGAGCTCAGTGAATGCATGGCCAGTAATGGTACCAGTTGAGTCATTATCATATTGTTTAAATATTTGCATATTTAGTTCATGGCGAAGGTGCTAAATATTAGAGAGAGTATTTGTATCAATTTATAATTTATTCTTACACACGAAATTTAAGATAAAGCAAATTGGTATGATATGGCAATTATCATTAGAATGAGGCTGCATCGTTTCAGGGGTTAATACCTTAGCCATTTCGCTAAACTCTAAGTAAGTTATTTGACGATTCTTCTTCTCTCCAAAATATCTTTTTACAAACTCGCCATCAAAATTAAAAGGTGCAATACGATTCGTAAGAGTACTGGAAAGGATTTGCCTAAATTGATCTATTGTATATATAAAATTTTGTAAATTCATTATCGTCGCAAAGAATTTGTGATAGCAGTAACGCATGAGCTGGATTGTTTAATGACTACTGTGTGATATTAAAAATAGATCTGCTAAATCTATAATAGATTTTAACTGCTCAAACATACCAAAAGTGACGACACCCTTTCCATCCGTATCAAATAATCTGAAGGCAAGCTTATACGAGGCATCAGCAGAGGAAAGTAGTAATTCCAAAGCGCAAAATTCTTTGAATGAGATTGCTCTGATAGGAAGTATAAATATATTATTGCCACCAGATTATTATGTGGCTATCAAAACTGAACATAAACAGCAGTATAATACGATAATTTAAAAGAGACATAAACAAAAACCATAACCCCATAGACCATGGCATCACTTATTAGCTAATAAAATGGATAATAAAAATTTCTAGGATTGATGTTTGAAAACTGTCAGATCTAGCTAAGCTTGTCACCAATATGAGCGTTTTCTTTGAAAAAGGTTTGAAGTGTTATTGCTAATCATCTGGCAGGAGACTTGGTTGCACACTTATGAAGAACAATTATACTGATATTCTTGGCACGCTTATACGTGTATGCAATCTATATGCAATTCGACTATATAATAACTTTACCACTAGTATCAAGTTCAAATTGCTCAATAGATGATACACAGCATACTGTACTGTATGCCGTGTGATTATATTAGTGAATAATGAGATTATCAAAAGTTGTTCCTATTAGCATCGTGTGTTGTACTACTGTATATGGTATTCAGAATACTTATACGTAGTGAAATAAATAAACAAAAAAATTTGAAATGGCCAATTCATATAATTTTATGCATTTCAATCGGAAATTTTTGTATTGCGTTGTGGATGGCTATTACAAACCAGCAACTATTATTGATGTTAAGTATTATTCTATGATCTAAATAGCTTATGCTTAATAGCTTACCCTTTTTTCGAATTATCGGCGCAACTTCCAAGCAATTGAACGACGTTTCCGTCTGAGATTCCAAGACCTAAGTAGTGGTTGATGAAATCTTCATAACTCATCAACCTTTCACCACCACTTACGTCCTTCGCATACTACGCAAGCAAATGGCATGATATAGTAGATAAATACAGTATTGTAACATATGAGTACGTTATAAATAGATAAAATGTAATAATATGAATTATATTAATTACAAACGAAGTGGTTATAGTACTCGTCATTCTGATTATCTTAATTCATAAGGAATATACGGATTATCATTTGCAATTACAGCATTGAATTTCTTCTTTCTGTAGTTAAATACCGTAATTATCTTATCATTTATAACTAAATTAAAGGTTTTATTTATCGGAATAATATCTTTATTTTTGATCTCAGGTATTCTTAGGGAGATGATATAGAAATTAAAAGCAAGTTAAATAAATATTTATGCGGTTATCTCGAGGATTGCAAGGCCTATTTTTATAGTTAAATTCACAAATTATCTAATTTCCGATAGAATTAAATATGCATTGGCTCTATCAGGTCTCAGCTAATCAACTTGCGCTATTTATATACACGCAAGATGATTCATCTATCATAACCGGTAAAGAAAATGACTGTCTCCTTTCTTTACAATCTCCCTATAGAAATACTTTCTACAGTAACAAAGCTCGATCTTGAAGGGGAAAAAAAAGTAGCGGTAAGATAAAAGCGCAGAGATCTTAGCAACAAAATGAAGATCATTAAAATTATCCAAAAAAATTCGATGCCATCATAAACTGGTATTAATTTTCCTTGAATTTTTGATCATTATACGGTACATCTAACGACGATAAGTGTCCGATAATGTAGTAATACTTATACTATGACACGGATCCATTGTTACATTGTTATTGTATATTATATCGGCTATTCCTTAGTTCATTTATCAATTTACTTTTTATAACATCGATTGTTTTTCTTGCCTAATCTCATGTGGTGCAAACAATGATATATAATGATTGCCACTTGCTGCTACCTAATACTGCTATCTATAGCTAGCTATTGTAGGAAGATCTTTTATTGCCAATAAGGGAATGCTAAGTCGCTTTTAAAATGTAGGCAGCCCACCAGCCCATTGAGAATCATGATAAATAACATATATTACCAAGATTAAGGGATCAGTAAATTAATCGTTTTTTTTTAATCAATACGTGAGAACGCTTTGATGTTTCATTAAGTCTCGCAGAGTCCGAGAAATAACGAGTAACCGTGATTTTTCATGGTAAATATACAGCATAGGAATGCATACGGTATCTTAGCTATCTCCTGACATACGCGCATAGTATGTAGATAAATCAACTACGCGTATTTGCCATTTTTCATCGTTGCATACAATACGGTAAAGGTGTAGAGAATACACTTACGGCCGATCAAAATTGTGAATAACTCTGCATCCTCTACAAAAAAAAATGAAACTCGTGGCTACCGTGTTGCATGCACATTTCAACATCACTGAAGTTAGCTTGTTTAAGGGCAAAACTGTTAGCTCGAACTGACTTCAGTAGAACCATTATAATTCAGAAATTATAATTATTACAATTTTTGCGATTTCCTAAAGTAATGTGCTATCGACTCTCCAGTAACGTAATAAGAGAGTTCAGTGCAGTATTAAGTTTAAGTAAACTCATTTTTTTCAAATCGAAATGTGTTTCTATTTCCTCCAAACGAGATTATACAGCGTAAGTACAGAATAATTACGAATCGAAAACATCACATTTCGATTCAACCTTTCTGTGCTAACACTATGTTCGTACGTCTACTCATATTCACAATTTGGTTTACGAGTATGCTTAAAATACAGATAGCACTTATGTAAAGCAAATACACATAAGAAAAATATCTATATTCCACTCCTTTAGTTATACCACTGACCTTTTCGAAAATGACTTCTAGTTGACTCTGGTCAATTTTTTCGACACCCTGCAGAAATACAGCACAGCAACATGGTTAGTAATTCGAACAGAGCGTTATTACAAAATGTACTGTAGTGACAGCATCATCCATGAAAAAGCAATGGTAATATGCCGCTATTAAGACTGTAAAGTCGTATTGCATTCACCAAGATCATCTATCGTAATTTCTCGACGACAGTAGAAAAAGATTGATCGAGTTGATTCAATCTATAACGGAAAGAGTACAGTAGTGTATACTTGACTTGATTGACATTAGTACGAACACTTGTTCTGTAATTTTAACAAGTTGGTACACGAGCTCTACCATATGAAACTATTTTACGGTAGGTAGGACTTATAGCAGTTCAAAAGCGATCAGGAACATACGATTTCAATTTTAAGAGTTCATTCATCATGTCAATACGTCCGTACTTTATATTTACTGCACTGGAAGCTTCACGCTGCTCTCAATGTACTCACGACTCACAACTACTGATGCATCTAAATAAGCGTATAGCAGTGTAATAAAATGGCAGCTTTAATATTCTATTGCAATCTAATTTACTGTCCATTGCATGTATCATTACCATTTTCTAGCAGGTAAGTGGCAGTTTGAGTGTAACTACAACCACTGTGATGTGATATTTTTTATGTCATAAGAGTATAAAGTACTGTACTGTACTGTAAAATGTACATGTACCGTACTATTATTGCTTGCACAACTTTGAATCGATTGTGTTTCTTTTCAGATTAAGTTAATGTCTTCTATTGAGCGTAAATTACCCTAAAATAATGTATCTCAAGTTACTGAATACAGCATGTGAAATAGTGTGAAGAAATACTGCAAGATGTTGAAATTTAGAAGTGTCGGTTATACAGTGCTGTAGGGTCATAATACATGATCTATAATAGCTGATATAGGTTGCATGATATACTGTAGACATCCTAAATATCACACTACTGAAGTTCAACCACTAGTTTACTATTTGGTTATTGAATTGCCTCAAAAATTGAACATCCATGCCGGTAATTTGTCATAATTTTACGGAAAGAAGAAAATTTGGCTACTGTACTAGACGTGCATAATACGCGTATACCATGCATAAATGCTCAAGTCGTAACAATTACAGTACAGCATTGTTTCCTACATCATATCCTATCCTCACACGTGCCAGCACAGCACTGCAGCATACAAATCAAATCATTGACATATAGGAGAAAGTTGGGCAGTGGATAGTTTGGTATCCAAAAAAGCGGATTCATCTTACCGTTAATTGGCTAAGGTCCTTTACCATGATTTGGCCTTTTGCAATGTGAAAAAATAGGAATCAAATAAGATGGCGTTGATTACGAAGCTGACAGTTGTACTAAAGGAGCTTTGACTGTGTACAGCAGAGAGAAATAACGTAACGATCAATATCAGCGATTTAAAAATGACTTGAAAAGGTTAGTAAAGTAAATGATGTTCCAGTAGAAATATTGTCAATTTTAAAAATTATGATAAACCCTAATAATAATCTACTGTTGACTAACTTTCAATTTGTTGCTGCACTTGCTAGTCTCCACAACGGTACTAGACTAGAATGACTTGACAAAACTACAGTATGTACTGGTGAAGTTGAAGAAATTCGATTGCGCTCGAATGATGGTATCGCCCTGGTGCAGTTCTTAATCAATGTTTTTTGTCTTATGAAGATGGTCTTGAAGGTCGTTTCAAACTGGTTTGCCTATCGTTTTGAGATGTGGGTAAATTAAGGCAATAGCGCGTAACAGTATGTCTTCGAAGAGGATGTCTGTAATTTCTATTTTGATGAATGCTGCCTAGTGCATACATTTATCTTGTTACCAAGGGGTTTCTATATTTTACACTGTACTCTTTTGTACAGTACAGTATGGCAAACTACAGTTGGACCGAGTAATTATGCATCATTAATCTTCATTCTATTTTTTTTTTTATTTATGCCTTGTGCAATGTGCATGCAATCCATTCTGTCCACTGTAGTAATGTCAAAATGCCGGTGAACTTGTGGTCTGTGGGTGTCAACTGTCATACAATTAGCCAGCGGCGTGATGACCCGGTAAGGCGGTACTGTGCCTCTCAGTGCTGATTGTTAAAACACCGACCCAGAGACCCTGAGGGGACGGGACATACTGTACTGTACAGTACAACCCTACCGTACAATATACTGTACTTTTTTTAAACTTTCAACTTTTATTTACTGTACCAGTACTCGGAAATTCCAGGATGTTATTGTTATTATTATTATTGTAGTGATTGTTCTATTATTATTGTTATTTATTATTATCATAATACTGTCATGGTTTAAGTAAACGGCTGCTTGCTCTGTTAAATGAGCACATTATCGTAAACCGTCAGTAAAGCGACGGGAGTTTGCACTAGTAATATTATGAATGACAAGCACTGCTGCGATAGGCTGCTAACAGGGTTAATATCGATAGAGCTCTTGAAAGGTCGAAACACTTCCATTCAGGAAAGGATATGGTATGCAATTGAAGTGCTAGTATCAAATCGTACTTCAGGTAAAGCGCAGATATTGGGGAGTAAGTGACTGGTGTGGTCTCGCACGACGCGCGTACAGTATGCTACTTTATTCAACTATCTAGGTGAACTAACAATACAGTACAGTCAGTATACCGTACGATCGGAAATGGGAAAGCACGCATTTTGATGTTATCTACACGACTCCTATCACATGTTGCATGCATGCTTCCTTTTACAGTACAGTACTGTACTACAGTCCTACTCAGTATACTGTACACTGTACAGTACAGTACAGTACAGTCTACGCTTGCTAATGACAGTACAGTACACTGAGTGTACAGTACAGTACAGCATATCCATGGTACAGTACTGTACTGTACACTGTACTGTACAGTATTGTAGTACTGTACGATAGTCCCCGCCCGACTCACACTTCTCTCATTCCGGGCTGTAATCCTGTACCATTCACTGAGTGTTCAGTAAAGTACAGTACAGTACTGTAAACGATCTTCTACTGTACTGTACAGTACTGTACACTGTACAGTACAGTGTACACTACAGAACACTACTGTAGCTGGCAGTGGATACAGTACTGTATTGTATTCAGTAGTTCGGCATTTTTTACTGGTATTACTGCGCAAATGTTACCTACAGACTACAGTACTGTACAGTACTGCCAAAAGGTTTTACTATTAATAACGGCAGCATAGTAAGCATAATCGATCCATTCGATCAGAATACTGTACTGTACTGTGGACTGATTTGAACGAGTGATGGATGGACCGACTGATGAACTCCCACATTTGTTCGACCTGGGAAAGGTTCGGTTCAGATGGACGGACGTTTCTTACCCAAAGGAGGCTGTCAATATTGAAAAATGACTAGTTACACTTAGTATGGATCTTCCATATCTGTTTTCCACATCCACTGGTACTAATTCAAATAACATTTACGATCTTACATAGCTATTTCCTAGAAAAACTCAAAAGTAAGAAGATGGTACAGTATGACATAGTATTTGCTGACCAGCTTACATACTGTACTATACACTGTACAGTGTATGCCATAATACCAATCAATTTTATAGTTGTGTAATGTACCAGGGACGGCCGTGAAATTTTTTAACTGTGAGTCAGTTTTATAGTGTGACTTGGCAGGGGAGACAGGGACTTCCGGGGTAGCAGTGAGTGGAATCCCACTCATGGCCATGGGTCGAGTAGTCCTACTGTACAGTACAGTAGTCCCTGACTGGACGCACAGTACGCTACAGTACATTGTATTCTGTATCACAATTAGCGAGCAATCGACGTACTGTACTGTAATGCCTGTTAATGCTGTGGTTTGCAAAGAAGTTGAAAGGAACGAGAAAGATTTTTGGACCTGTTGTTATCGCAATAACGACCGAATAATAACGGTAAGAAACGTCAGTGAGGGTCTTACGTTAACTATGATATGCACTATAAGCATGCTGTAGTGCGAAACATCAATCCTACAGTTGTATTTGGTTCACTGATACAGTCACTGTCTAGAAAACAAGTACAGTAATTTGGATTCTCGGTCGTTGAGTGGCTGCTTGTGATATGGAAGAGCAACGCACTAGCACTTATTGCACTGTTTATATGGATGATGATAATCTTGACGATAACACTTGTGATGCAAGCAGTAGTGTTGATAATGGAATAGGTGATTCTATCGCTGACTGGGCAACTATCACATTGCAGCCAGACTTGAAAGATGAAGAAGAAAAGCATTTAAGCAAGTCATGTTATGGCCATAACAGAACAATTATTCATTTAGATATTGATTGTTTTTATGCTCAAGTCGAAATGGCTAAAAATAGCAGTTTACGAAATAAACCGGTTGGTATACGTCAAAAACATATCATTGTCACTTCCAACTATCCTGCCAGAGAACGGGGCGTTGGCAAGCTAATTCCTTTAACTAAAGCCTTGGAAAAATGTCCTGATTTAATAGTAATTAATGGTGAAGATCTAACGGAGTATCGAGAAGTCAGTTTTAAGGTCACTGATTACCTGAAGAAGTTCTCTACTAAAGTTCATAGGCTAGGATTTGATGAGAATTACATCGATGTTACTGAGCTCGTCCAGTGCAGACTTAATCAATTTCAAGGTAGGTTGTGTAAAAGCACAGTAGCTGCTAGCTACAGTACTCTAGCCAGACAATAATGATTATAATGTACGTGTACTGTATTACTAAGTGCATCTAAGCTATACTGTAGACTGCTAGTTTTAGGGCTTCAAAACCAATAGTTAAATCAAATTAATTAATCAGAATATATATCAGGCATACACGACATAAAATGTTCGAATTGTACATTATTTATGAAACTTGATTGTAATCATTGCATATAGATCGCACCGAAGACCTACAATCTTTACAAGTTGTAGGGTACTTATATCAGAACAGTAACACGGTTAAAGCACAGGCTTGTGATTGCAATTGCCGATTACGAATGATAATTGGCTCGCAAATTGCGGCTGAAATGCGCCAAGGACTGTGGAATGTTTTCAGCTTGACATCAAGCGGTGGTATCGCCCACAACAAGATGTTATCTAAAATCGTATCTGGTTTGCATAAACCAAATTTACAAACCGCTATCTACCCTGAAGATACTCTCGATTTGCTTCACTCTCTGGAGTTAAGAAAAATTGCTGGTATTGGTAGTGCAACGAATAACAAGTTACAATCTGTTGGTATTACAACAGTTAAAGAACTGTCCACTCTACCGTTAGCTGTATTAAAGACACATTTTCCAACCCCTCAAGCCTGTACGCTATTTCAATGGTGCAAAGGTATTGATGATAGTGATGTCGTTGCCGCTACAAAGCCAAAATCGATTGGAGTAGAAGATTCCTTTTCTAGGTGCTGTACGATGATAGCTAGTAAAAAGAGAATATCTGATTTAATAAGGCATCTTTTATCACGCTTGGTCGATGGATGTGAACACCCTCAAACAGTCAAATTAACTATTATTAAGCATGATAGATCATCCTATAAGAGAGAATCGAAGCAGTGCAGTGTTCCTAGCACGTTTTATTCGACTAAAGACACCGACAAAAAGTGTAGTATTATCCTTGACCTAATGATGAATCTATTACGTAAATTAGTTGACATACATAAACCGTTTCGCCTTAGACTCTTTGGTGTCACATTTACAAATTTTAAAGATAAGCCACCGGTAGCATCGTTGGATATCTCCAGCTACTTAGACCGGTCTAAATCGAAAAAACACGATCCATTAGTAAAGAAGCCCTTAATGACTGCAGTTCCTATAGTATGCGACAACAATTATAATCAAGTGCCCAGTCATAGTGATAAAGATAGTCAAAACTTGCTGGAACACGATAAGACTATTCCGGAAGACATCGATCTTGAGGTTTTCCATCAGTTGCCTCAACAAATGAAAGACGAACTGCTTAACGAATGGAGAAAGCATAATCTCACCAATACTAGTCCTTCCAGAACTTTTTCACCCAAGCGAAAGAAAGAAAGTACGATTTTGCACTACTTTAATCGATCCCACTGATCATTAATAGTACAGTACTAACATTTTGCACATCTCTAAAGGAAGTTACCTACAGTTTTGCAACTACTGAAATTAATTTCATAATGTATGATATAAGAAACTAATAATAATCATATCATCGAACTTGTAAGTAATTCATAAAACTGCTTGAGATATGTGTATATACGTGTAATCATTTACGGTTGGCTATTTTTAAAATGAGTTCTATAAAAAATATAAGAAATTGAGATAGCTCCTTTAAAGCCTTGGCATTTTCAAAGTACTGTACTCTTAGGGTAACGACGCTAAGACATTTATCGAAGACGTTTTCTGTTAGAGCAAAAGATTGTGAACAGAAATATTTAATGGAATGATATTTATTTCACAAGTAGCATCATTATGCATTGTCCTCAGTGAATTACATACCAAGACCAAAGATATATAATGTAAATTCTAAAGAAAGTATTTATTCATATTGGTAGAATTTAAAAAATCATAGAAAGTTCATCATTGAATCAAAATTTACAATGATTTATTCTGATCTCAAACAATTTCTAATAAAAACAACGCTAGCTGTGATAATCACCCAAGCATTACTTCATTTCAGTTCTCTGATTAATTCTGTAATGTACATGTTTACATTAAGAAAAATTACTAAATAAAAATTGATATTTTTAAATACTTTTAATTTTCTTTTGAGAGCGACTTAATTTATGATCCAGTTCAATCTTAGGCGGAATGTCAGTAGCAGCCTGTTGTAGATGCCTACTATATAAACTAAGAGATCAAATTTGCGATTAAAGTTAACATCAAAAGCTTATTATGAAAAGAATACAACAGATTTCAAGGATTATAGATAATATCAGTATATAGCCAAAATGACTTGTTCTTACTATTTATAAGTATCTGACTTTAAATATTCCATTAACTTGTCTATGCCATTGGCCAGCTGAGATGCAATGGGTTTTACATATGGGTTCTCGCTTAAGCGAATAACCCCGTTTGATATATTTAGTCCTAAGTCGGCTATTAGAATTAATAACGCATAGATATTTAACTTTGAATGCGCAGTACTTAAAATGCAGTCAAATTTTTTGATAACTACCTAATGCGGGAGGTAGTACTGTCAAACGGTTCCCTTGCAAGTGTAACTCTTTCAAGTCTGATAAGTTTCCGATCTCATTTGGCAAGGAGATGGCATAGTTATCCCGTAAAACCAGCTAGGATAGTTAGTGTATTATACTTTATGCTTTGGTAGAATTCGAAATTATACAATGTATATATATACTGTACATAATAGCATAAAAACAGATAAAACATAGTAAAGATCGCTTACAATTTGCAAGCTCTTCAGCTTTCCAAATTCAGGAGGAACGTTTTCAATTTCATTATCACCAAGGTATAAAGCTCTAAGGGTAGCTAAATTAAAAGTTGGAAAGAACTGAAAGTTAAGAGGTATAATTGGTGTACAATTGCACTTATAAAGTACTACATGAGCTGTTGTTACTATGGATTACGATAACGAACTCAGTAAAGAAAAGTTCGATGAGAAAGATTCATCGGTTAAACAGTTCGATGTCATATCCAAAATTTGCAGTGAAGGAAATACTCCAAATCCTCTTGGAAGAGTGGATAGTAGATTGACCCTAATTTTGTAAGCATATTACGATTATTGAATGGCCAAATTTCTTTCAACTAGAACTCAAACCAATATGATTGTTCTGTCGAATGGAATTTCAATACTTACGATAAATTCAAGTATTTTAACTTTAGCAATTGGTTTATACATTCAGGCAGTTCCTACACAATACATTAAAAGTGCAATGTTACCGTCATGATTACATGGACATGAATTAACTTTTAGTGCACTATGATAGCGTCAACTTTGATATGTTGAAAAGGGAGCGGAGATCGAGGATTATGCAAAATTATGAATTGACTGCGAAGGCGTACAAATAGACACTAAAGAAAAGGAAGATAAATCATCTACAATTCATACCTGAATTGCATTATTGCAAAGGATAAGACATTCCAAATTGGAAAGATCGCTTATCGCAGGAGGAATTGCTAAACAGGTGTAATTATCACAGTATAGAATAGGGTTAAATTTGGAATGACATTTGATGCTTACTGCACGAATATGTCCATAATTTACTTAAAGTCAGATGCGAATAGGCTTAAGGTACGATTGAAAATTTACCGGAAATTTTATTGTGACTTAGCGTCAATGTAGTTAAATGGCGAAGTCGGTCTATGGATAACAAAAAGGAATTAATGAAGAAAATGACTTGTTCGATTACTTCAGAGTCCTTTTCCTATTACCTAGTTTCTAGTAAAGACGACATACTCGTACAAGTAATCGTAACTGCTTTCGTTGTTATCCATTGTGATAACAATTACATACAGTACGCGTAGTATATCCATAATTTTTGATAATTTAATTTACTGTAGTCAATGGACATGACTGGAGTTGAAGTATTTTCACAAACAGTAGAATTAAGCAAATAAAACATATGAAGCTAGGCTAAAATCGCAATATTGATTTAATGCAATTTAAGGAGAATTGATTATACAGAGTAGTCATGCGCTAGAAATTCCAAATTGGTTACTGCATTGATATCGTACATATATCGGGGCCAACTTACTCCAAGTGGGTAGATCAGTTAAATTAATTAAACCTCGATCGCATAAATCCAATTCCTTATGACCTTTGACTTTAGCCTCCTCAAGCAATTTCTTAACATTTTTGTACGATCCTGCCATTGTTTGTGACGATAACAATGAATAGCAAAAAAGGATTGTAGTATAATTTATGATACTAGCATCCCAAAGTGGAAAATCCCTCTTAATCTACTTTTTGGATTGACTCGAGCAACGCCTTATTCACCAGTTCCCAATTTAAAGAACCAAGTTGGTACAGGAGGTCTAATGAACACTACAGTAGATCAATGTGTCAAGAAGGTGGAAGTGAGCAGCCGTGTTGTCGACGTGTTGTAAGAAGGAAGGGTTAAAGGTAGAGTACAGTCGTGAGTCGTAGAGGTCGGGCATTCAAAATCGCTGCATCCGCGCTTTCACTAACACTTGTACAGTACAGTCACACGGTGGTGCCGTGGAGACTAATAAGAGACCTTTACTACTACTTGTCAATCCGTAATAAGGCTGACCAATGATACTACAAGCAGGCCTAATAAAAAGTGCTATACGATTGATAGAAAACACTGGTAGTGACCAATGACAACATCAAAATAATCTGTCATTCAATTTTGGAGGAGGAAGTCTGATACAGGTGGAGTACAGTTCAGCATTGTGCAATACAGTCTGACGGTAGTGTGGAGATAAAAAGAAAGGAAGTTTTTAAAAAAGTTCAAAAGTTTTTCTTCAACTTGGATGCTGTGACAGTGTAAAGTACTGTACGTACAATACGCCCCCCCCCCAAAAATTGACGTACAGTACAGTACAGTACAGTACAATACAGTATTCACATTGTAGTATTGTACTGTACAGTACATACTGTACAGTGTAATGTCGATTGTGAAAATAAATAAATAAAAAAAAAAGAAAATGAACTGTCATCTATTCCCTTTGATAATTTTCATCTCGTATTTATGGTATCTTTCTGTCAAGTCTTGAAAAGAAGGTCAAGCGAACCGAGTAACCCCAATTAATATTTGAATATAATGACAGTGAATAATACACACTGGCTCACTATATACATGGCGAGTGTTGAAACGTGGTTCCATCTTTTTTTAGTCAGTTGCTAAGAACGCAGCTTTACGGAAGTAAGCTATATTTTATTTTTCTATCAGCCTTTGAATGAATCTTTCTCGCTTCAATGCTGGCAAAGTGATAGATACCCAGTTCGGACATGGATAGTTACCGCGCCGAGCAGCTTGATTAATCACTGATAATTATGCTTCTATATTGTATTACCCATCAACACTAGTAGCGAATTGTACTTGTTTACGTTTTTTAATGGTAGCTTGTCTATAGAATATCGATTCATACTAGCAACGCTGAATATATACAGTATACAATATACCTACAGTAAAGTGGCAAATGAAATGTTTACAATTTTCAAAGTGCATTTCTACAGTACTGTGACCCTCGCTGACCCCGAGTATGATCCATGGGATAAATAGGGCAAGCAGTCGATTTACTACAGTGTATTGTACACTAGCTGAGTGTTGAGTGTACTGTACTGTACTGTACTGTACTGTACAGTGTTGAAGAAAAAGAAAGTTCAATGTGTACTGTAGTACTGTAATACTGTATACTGTTCTGTATGTTAGGGATCGTCGCGATTTTGATGACCTCTATGCTACAGACCGTCGGTGTGGGTCAGTCAATGGAATGAGCCTTTGACGTCTGCTTGAACAATAACCCCATTATTGCATCAGGCCAGAACTGAACCGACAGCACAGTGCATTACACATGAACTCATTATCTCATTTCACAATATAATAATAGATGAAGTGGGAGTGGTTTTCAAAAGACCTTAAGGTCAGAATGACTCAGACGGTACAATGGAGTTCACGACCGATGCCAGTACAGTTAGTACTGTACAGTGTACAGTGTACAGTGTACTGTAGTCTACAATATGGACTGTATAAATGCGCATACAGTACTGTACAATCGAATCTGTCATGTGTCGAGTATGGTCTCACATACAGCCATTGACTGACCATTGTACAAGTGCGTACGTACACTAATCAGTAGATTCACCTCTGCTATCACAATCGATATTTTGCTTCGGGTCAGGATTATTATCACCAAAGCCTGTGTTAAAAGTTCAAATTCTTCACTGAATTTGCCACTAGTCAGAGTTCCAAAAAGTCGGAGAGAACGCTGTAGTTGAAAGTAGTGAAACTACGCCTGGTTTTTTCAATCCTTATTGGGATTGACTATTTGTATTTCTACTGGGGGATCATTCATCAGTTGAGGACAACGTTGCGCCTACGAAGAATAGTCAATATCTTAGAGAAGCAAGTGGCGACTTTAACGACCATGTCGGCAACACTGGAAACATTAAATTTTGATAACTCTTGTCTTCGTTGTCTTCCAGTGGAGAATAACACGGAGGTTTACCCGCGCAATGTAGCGGGTGCTTGCTTTTCGTATGTTCAGCCGACACCAGTTGATAATCCTCAGTTAGTAGCGGTATCACCTTCTGCCATGGCATTACTGGATTTATCCCAATATGAATTAGAACGAAGTGAATTTGTCCATTACTTTAGTGGTAATCTGCCTATTAAGGGTTCACGGACGGCTGCTCATTGCTATTGCGGCCATCAATTTGGTTATTTTTCTGGACAGCTAGGAGATGGAGCTGCTATGTAAGCATAATTTTATATTCTCCAACATCAAGTAATGTACAAGTGTACATTTGTACAATAACGAATTTCTTAGCATAAAATACACTTCATTTTTTATTCTCCCTCATTGTGCTAAAAGCCAATAACCGCAGTGGTACAATCTATTCACAGCGTGTCGTAAAGCAAGATTGAACTGCATAGTTTCTACAAGACTTCCTCCTAAATGTACTTTTAAAATGGGGTTGATTAGACAGTCTTCAACAGTTACACTATACTTCCTACTTTTATAGTCATGTACGTATAGTGTGCATCGTAGTCCATACAGGTGTCTACAATATAGCACATCTTTATCGACAGACAATCAGCCCGATATTCTTTATTCGCTAGTAAAACAAACAACTGTAGTGCAAGTAATTCAAAAGATGAAATATACACTTATTACTTTACAACATTGTACCTTTATGAAGTACCAGCTACAGTTCGTACTAGCAATTAGCCAGTTACTCAGTTAAAACGTCCATGCGTATTAGCAATTTAAATTGTCTGCAATGTACGGTAGGTAACGAGTAAATTGAATAATATAATTTGCCTTGCCTATTTACCGGTAAAAGTATTTGACGCCATTTGATAGCAATAATGCAAAGGTCATCATTTTATATGACCTTATTTATGTATTCATAATAATAAAATCACTGCAGTCTATTTTACAAATTCTAATTAAAATTATGGTAATATATAGGTATATAGGCGAAGTGGTTAATCATAAAGATGAAAGGTGGGAAATTCAGTTTAAAGGTTCCGGCCTGACACCTTATTCTAGACATGCCGATGGCCGTAAAGTATTAAGATCAAGTATACGCGAATTTTTATGTAGTGAGGTAGGCTGATAAATTATTATTGCTAGTTATTATTTATTTATTACCAAATAATTCTAGCGATAACGTATTACTAGTAGTGTATGTTCTAATTGATTAATACAGACTCTACTACACAATACAGTAGAATCGCCGCGTATGTTGGTCGTGTTTATAGTGAAGTTTTTATATTTTATACTTACCCTCTCTGAGTAGTTACTGAAACGACTAAAGTAATGCTATTGCCAGAACTGTTGTACGTAGTATCACTGAAAAGTTTCAGCAGACAATCGGAGATAGAAATAGAGTTAAATATATAAAATCTATAGTAATCGGTCTATTGCACAGTAGGCTGGATTGTCTATTTTTACTTTTTAAGGTTAATACAACGCTATCTTTTGCTATCTCAAAACATGAGATTTCATAACGGTAGTGTTGTATTAAAAATAAAAGTTCGACAACCCGGCTTTATCTCTTACTAACGATTAATACAGTATGCAGTGGTGTAGGTCGCTAACCAATCATAGATTCCTTTTTTCTTGTAGTTACGGTAGTAAAATACGATGATTGAATTATTTCTTACCTATTCTATTTTGCCCGTACATAGGCTATGCATCACTTAGGAATTCCTACTACGCGAGGTATTGTGTCATTTAGGATACGCACGGTTGATATCAATAGTACTGTATAAGCTTAGCACAGCCTATTTCGTTGTTTTTATAATGTTGATTTCAATCTTTGTTCACAAAGATATCAAAAATTAAATCCCAACTATTCGTACAACAGAACTGTTTTGAAACTTAAGGAACAGAGTCCTAAAATTTTTAAATAATTTTATTCCATTTTGCCTTTATCAGCTGGTTCTTGCATCACATCAGACAGTGAAGTCTTACGTGATATATATTATAGTGGAAATCCTATTAAGGAGAAAGCAACTGTGATCCTACGGATTGCGCCTACATTTTTAAGGTAATTATTGCCTTCTAAGATTGCTACTACAAAAACATTAATGTATTCTACCGATTTAGAAATCAAGTTATTTTGAGTAAAGATTTTAAGTTGGATATTCTTTCATTAAAGATTTGGATCTTTTGAAATATTTAAACCTTTGGATAAGATAACCGGGAGCATGGGACCTAGCGTTGGACGTAAAGATATCCTTATTCAACTCCTGGAATATACGATTAACACACATTTCCCTCATGTAATATATAAAGTAGCTTTAATTAACCTTACACTTTCACTTCCTACTTTAAGCATTATAGACTAGCACTTTTATCTAGTAATTCTACTCAACTACTATATGGGATATCTTTGTTATCAAATATTACTACATGACAGGTTGCGGCTAAATACCCAGACAGTGACAAGGAACGATATTTAGCTTTCTTTGAAGAAGTAGTTAAAGCAACTGCTAAGCTTGTAGCTTTATGGCAATGCGTAGGATTTTGCCATGGGTACGACTATTGCTGCAATCATTCTCTGCAATGTAAATGTTTCAGTTTACAAAAAACTTTATAATGTTAACTTTTCTCTTACTCTTCAGTGTTTTAAATACAGATAATATGAGTATTGCTGGAATAACTATAGACTATGGACCTTTCGGGTTTCTAGACGTTTATGACCCTGACTATGTCTGTAATGCTTCCGGTAATGTAACCATCTTTTAGTCACCCTTGCCTCCTCACCAAATTTAACTCAACCTTTGTGTGAAATGATATTAATTATTAGATGATGGAGGTAGATACGCGTTCATAAATCAACCTGAAGCATGCAAATGGAACTTGAGTAAACTCGCTGAAGCTCTTGCTAGTGTACTGCCATTAGCAGATTCCAATCCTGTACTAGAGAAGTAAATACTTCATGATTTATTATAAAAACTAAAATTTTATTTATAGTCATCTGATAAATCTGATTTCGCGTTGATAGATACAACGAATTATTTCATAAATTTTACCTAGAGAAAATGCGCCTTAAGGTAGATTAAAAAATTGGAGATATAGTATTCTATTTGTGATATCTCTTTAATTCTATCTTGTTTATCATGTAAATCTTACTATTAGCAGATTACGTATGAAACTAAAACGATGTTTCAATTCTATCTATAGCTTGGACTTATTCGGAAACAATTGCCAGGAGATGAGTATGTTACTTTCTATCAGTATCATTACATACTATTTAGTATGGCTTTAAAAGGATTGACCCTAGTAGAATAACGAAAATTTATTGCCCTATGTAAAGCTTTATTATCATAAAAATAACTAAACTAAATGCTATATTGAAAATAAGGGAACTGGTAAAATCACTTCTTCAAGTTATGAAAGATACAGGTATTTTAAAGCGTTATACAGTACGAAGATATTGTCTGTAGTACATCAAAATAAATTACTATTTGTTTTTTTTTGGGTAGGAGCGGATTTTACAAACTCGTTCAGATGTTTAAATAAACTGAGAATCTCTGAACCTGACCGAAGGTAATTAATCCATTAAATTTATTTCCACTCGTTCCAAAGATTTACAATGGTACGATACTATGATTCTGAGTTTACAGTGCGAGTTTTAAAACTAGTTTCCTGCGTAGCTTTTCAGAATTAAAAGCATGTCTCCTGTCCCAATGTACGTCGCTGAAAGACTTAAAAAAGAGATCTAAGCCATCTATGCCACAAAGGTGATGCCATATATCACCGCCTAATACTCTTGATATTCAAATTTAATGTTGCAATCTAATGTTGTATATCTTTATGATAATTGATAGCCAATTGAACATGCTTATATCCATGATCCAAGCAAATCCCAATCTAATTACTCAGATGGGTCAGACTGCGCTAAGGATAAAAAATGATTTAGAAAAATTAGAGAAATTGCGTGATTTAAATGTAAGAACTACATCGTTTATTATAAATCCTCATGCTGATCATTACTATTGGCAAGTAAGTAAAAAATGCTTGTTTTAAGGATCTTACCGAAGATGAGAAAAGACAGTCCGACAACCTAATATGGGATGGATGGTTGAAAAAATACCAGTAATGATTTTTATAGTTGCAAGATTCTGATAAGTTATTGCAATGCAGCGATTTACTAATAAATACCTGAATACTTTACTCAGATGCCGCTTGCATATTGAAGTCGAACACCTCGATGTTGATGCTATAAAAACTGTACGCTTTGTCATGCTGTTTAAATGATACCATTTTTAACTATTGTTGAATCATACTGAAAGAGGAGAAACCGCCTTAATCTTATCTTATTACTATGTCTTAGGCCGACAAGGAGAGAATCGAGGTCATGAACTCTAATAATCCAAGGTACGAAGGCTAAAATCCTGTATAATAGAGCTGGCTATTTTATTAAGCCAGCTTTAAACAATACGAAATAAGCATCGTGAAGTTCGCTATGGAAAGCGTATGAAATCCATTAACCTTCTATCAGTCTAAATATTTTTGTATATTAACGATAGTCTTATTATTGGATTTATTATAATAGAATGTAATTACATCTTTTAGATTTATACTGCGCAATTATATAGCCCACAATGCTATTATACAAGCTGAGAAAGGCGATTATTCTGAGGTAACATTAAGGCTTCCGATATTTCCGTAGAAATTTAATTATAATCATTAAACCGAAAACTTACTTTATTATAATTATCAGATCAGACGTGTGCTAAAGCTACTGCAAAATCCGTATTCATCGCAATTGAATGAAAATTATCAAACTGTTGACTATTACCATCAAACTGGACAATCGAACGGAAATAATCGTATATTTGATTATGATGGCTTGCCACCTGAATGGTCGCATGATCTTAGAGTCACTTGATCATCTTAAGTTGTCATTTATAGATTGACAACACTCACAAAAAGTTAAAATGACTGAAAAGATTTGTGCGATATTTGTAATATTTGTTTGTGTAAAAATTGTTGTATGTTAAATGACGCTTTATCTTTCAATCTACATTAGAAGACTGGATTTAGCTGAAAAATTTTCAACACGCACATTTATTACAATATAATGCCATGTCTATACTGGCATAAATATTCGGATTTTAATATTTACTGTTTCAATTTAGCTATATTTACAAAACAGATGAATAATTGAATCTCACATTTGTCTATTTTTTAATGCCGGATAAAATGCGATAAAATTATTATATAATTAATATGTAAGCGTATTCAATGCTTCAATATTATACATGAGTGAAGCATGTAGGTATACCGGTGGCATTATGCCGTCATTAAAGGATATGTAAAAAGCTCGTATATCCGCCTATACAGCATAGACAAATAGTGATCGTACCGTAATGATTTTAGCGTAATAATTGGCAATGCCATATAAATCATTACTATATCACAAATTTGAATGGGTATGTTGGGTTTGCATTAATGTTATTTTTCCTAGATGATCAATATGCAATTATTCAATACTCGTATGTCGTTTAACAATTACAGTACAATAGTAATATAAACAACAACAGATATGATTTAGTGTTTGTTTTAATCCTAAACTATTATTGTTCTCCAAGTGGATTAGAAATGTTGTATGCTTTCCTTGTTCATATCCAGTTGTGTGCTTTCTTATAAACTGGCAGGATAATCGTAATATACAGTATGCGAACCTACAAATAATTCTGAAGCATATGGTAGCAATGTTGACTTATTATCTGATTATAACTCCCTTTTTCAGAATGAATCAATTCCAAATAAAGATTAAAGTATAATTCTTGTTACACGTTGCTTTATTGATGGTTTACAAGCTAATACAGACAATCACTACTGTATACAACATACAAAAAACTTACAGTAAGCTCGCTACTTCATTTTCATATTTCCTCCTTTTTATACGGATTATTTTTGTAGTTTTAGTCAATCTACAATGGCAACATTTACACAAAAATATATTCGCTGTCTCCTTCTTATTGCATCACTTATGAACGTTGTGACAAGTATAAAAGTTGTTCTTTTACCGTCATTCGGCACAAGTCATCTTCTAGTAATGGATACTATTGGAGCAGAGTTACAAAATCGCGGTCATGAGGTAACCATTTACTAATAACTGTTATTTAAATTACATCAACAAATTTAATATTTATTATATAGATTAGGTCATGTTAACATTAATAAATTATACTTTGGTTTCCTTGTAAAAATAAAATAAAGAACTTTTTCTCATAGCTCTGCGGCATTTCCTAATGTAGCTACTGAAAATAATACTATTAAAGAATAAAGCTATCGCAAAAAATAGCAATAATTTAAACATTCTCATCTTCAGACTGCCTAATTACTTTTTTACTATTGAAATTGATCATCACTTTACTATTATAACGTACATTTTAACTTTGTTGGATGTACGAGTGTTAGAAAAAGTATTTTATGATGTAATACCTTACAATACTTGCATGCCACAAATATACGGAAATATTCAATGGCTTTAAACATGCTTCAATTGCTTCTATTTATTGGTACGGTAGCTAAAAGAAAAGTAACTGCCAACAATATGTGATTAATAGTAAGATTTTTATAAGACTATACTTAAATCTGATCTTTTTGTCATTACAACTAAATGAAGAAGCTATAGTAGCATTTCGTTAGATCAGGATTTTAATGTATCAATACAGTAATATCAACTAATAAGGATTCGTATACACTGTACAAATAGAATACTGTTGTACATTGCAAGCATAATGACGAAATTTAGCCGCGCTTGTTTGTATAGCTTCATGCTAAGATTGATTTCATAGAAAAAAATTCACTAGTGAGAAGAATTAATAATAAATTACCAACGAATAACCCACTACAGTACTTTGATATTCTGAACAGATTAATCTATTTTTCCAATGGCAATGATAAATGAACACAAATCTAGTATAATGTCGACATACGGAGACGTAGCGTCTGATTTTCAATGGGAGTAGGATAGTAGTTGTCATTTATACTTACAGTATAAGTAATTGCTGTCATTTTCGCTACTTTGATAAATAAATAGGCCGTAAGTTGTTTTCCATTTTTGTAATATAAATTAATTTAAAGAAATATTCTTTGATGACTTTGGTATTTTAATTTTAACTTTATTGACTTCTGTACTACTAATAAGGTAACACAGTCTCGTTATTAAACTCATAACCTCTTCACAACTTGAAATCATTGCATCTTAAGAATTTTTTCAGCATCCTTCTCTAACTATCATTTGAATTTTTGATTTATAGGTCGTCATATTGGTTGAAGAGGAACAAGTAATTCCTTCAATTCGTACTGCCACGGCAACCTATGCAGTTAGTGATCATTTCAGCGCTGCTGTAATTAATAATTTAACAGCAAGCACAAATAATTTCGAAGTTATTAAAAAAGTTATGGCATGGCAATCGCACTATTGTGATTGTGTATTAAGCCATAGTCAATTTCGTCGGCGATTTAGCCATTTCGATCTTATGATTGGTGATCGATCTTTACCATGCGCTTACATATTACCAGAAATACTTAATTTAACTTATGTCATAGTGTCCAGCGTTGGTCTTAATGCTCCTATGAGATTGATGAATAGCCCAAACCCGTTGGCTTATATACCACAATATGGAACAGGATACTCTGATAAGATGAATCTTTTACAACGTACTACCAATACTCTTGTATGGTGTGGCCATACTATTGCAAGCCATATTTTTGTTTATCGATTGATCGAAAAGCTAAGGCAAGAATATCATGTTGAAATTGATGCAAGTCAATTAAAATTGAAGCCTGCCCTAATGTTAATTTCAGCTGATTTTACCCTAGAATTTGCCCGACCACTTATGCCTAATGTTCAGTTGGTTGGACCTTTAACGCCACAGCCGCCATCAGCGTTACCCCATCACCTAGACGATTTCATTAGTAATGTTCGTCCTTATCAACGATTTGTCCTTGTCTCTCTAGGTAGTATATTTCAATTTAGCAATGATCAAGTTATGGTTGCTTATCGCAGTTTAAGTCGATTGCCCTTTAAAGTTATATGGAAGCATTCATCGAATTTATCAAATAATATTTCTAATGATCACATTCGAATTGAAAATTGGGTACCTCAAAATGATTTACTTGGTCATCCTAATATTGTAGCATTTATCACTCATTGTGGACCAAGTGGAATGTATGAGGGAGCTTACCATGGAGTTCCAATGATTGGATTACCTTATGTACCTGAACAAGAAACAAATTTAGTTCAGATCAGTCGGGCTGGCATTGGTATAGGTTTAAATTCTACCAATCTAACGACTGATAGTATTTATGACGCGGTGATGGAGGTAGTTAATAATCCGAGGTAAGATTTCACCATGCTTATCATTGCTTTAGATTGCTTATAATAACTTTAAAGTCTTAAGGTATCCTAAAGGTAATTAATATCGATGTAGTAAACGAAAAAGTATCTGTATTTATTCATTACAAGGTTATCATTTTCGGTAGTTGTGCTATGAACGGAAAGAAGTAGCCATTATAAGGCTGTTGCCAATATCATGGAAATAATTCTGTGCTGTATTCCATTAGTTACTAGTATAAAAGATCTCACTCTTTCATTATAATTAATTATCAATACACTAATACGTACTAATGAAGTTAAGCTACTTTATATAATGCGCTTATAATCCTGTACAGTATATGTGTAGTATATGAATACTCGTAAACTGTATATACAATAATTTATGCTATATCGTGGAATAATCAGGAATCTAATCGCTGTTTCAGTTACGTGTATGAGTATTCTCAAATTGTTTCACTTTTAAAGTGTGATACTTCTATGCGTATACATTAGTAAACCTCAAAATATACCCTAATCCGCCTGATATTACGACAGTTGTGTTAATCAATTCACTAATTTAGTGTTATCAATCCATCACTGTAATCAATTAATATAACAGTGGTATTAGATACGATACTATAGCAAGCATTGTACAATATTATAACTATGGAGAGGAAGGCACTGTATCTTTTAAATGATGGAAATACTTTTACACTGAACCCGTAATTACATGTCATACACTTTACTACTGTAATCAAAAGTTGTGTGCAAAATCTATGCGATTGTAATATATCCAACTTAATGAATTGGTGATTATGGTTATATTGCAATTACACATATGATGGCCGTAAATTGTAACATTAAGGTTGTTCAAGTGTAGATGGAGAGAAAAGGTTTAAAAGAATCTCTACTTCCATATTGAATAATACAATTTATTATTCTATTTTGAAATTATTATTAAATTGTAGTTATAAGCAAAATGCAAGAAGAATTTCTAAGTTATTAAAAGGAAGGCCTCGAACGCCAAGACATGAAGCTGTTGATTGGATTGAGTATGTATATAAGACAAACGGAGCTCGACATTTACGACCACAGCAGTATCAAATTTCATTTTTTCAAGAATATATGCTTGATGTTGCTATTATTTTCTTATTTTTAATATACTGTAGTATTAAAATAATGAAATATTCGATTTGTATATTAACTTACTCCACTTTAAGATTGAAACAATGGAAAAAATATTTGTAATTCTATAATCTACTTCATACTGATTTTATGAACTTATATGTAACATGATCAAACATATGAAAAAACGTAAAATTTGCCTTTTATTAATTTGCATAAGTTAAATTCTATAATTAATTATCATGCAAACTCGTGTAAAATGTTGAATACCTCAAAATAGATATTGTAACTTTAATTCATTAATGCACAATACAGTACTGTAAATGGCTGCCATTATTTACGCGTATTCATTTATCTCATATTTATCCTAGACTATGGCTAAGTATTTTAACGACCAGTAATGTTGATAAAGCTAAAATTAGGATATCCAGCGGTATCACAGGGCAGCGAGCATATTACAAACTCAGCTTTTGATGTGATAGTATTGTTGTAGAAGTTTGTGTAGCATGAACAATTTCAATTGCTCAAAATATCAATTTTTATCACCGATAAAATGAATTGTAACAATGGTTAAAGATAATCCAAGATAAATAATATCGAGTCGGTGAAAAATTCAGCTTATGTCTTAGTATGTTTTGCAAATCACAATATTTCAAGTAGTGAATATAAATGCGTGAATGTTCTATCTGTCTGTATAAAGTACAGTCTATATTGTTATTGTATGATATGTAAAAGAGTTCATAGGCGATAGCTCTCTCGATGCTCGTCAATTCTAACCCGAGACGTGCGACGTTCGTAAGAATCTGCTATTCTTCTTTCTCTTCTTAATAAAGTATTGTACCTCTATTCCCTTTCATCTAACTTATGTGATCATCTGTACCCTAGTGCTTACAATGGATTGCCCATCACAGCCTTCATCTATCCATAGAGGCGCCTACCGGAGTGTAGGCCGATACGTTCTAGCTCGTTATCTCAACGGCTACAACATCACACCATCGTGTTTTCAATTGAAAGAGGGGAATGGGTCTAAAATTATGATTATTTCTGACGAGCTCAGTTTGATCGGCGTCATGGAACTAATTCAAGCATGAATAGATGATATAATGAGTTTTGACAAATTGAATTTGCAAGAGCTTTCTTTTGGCAGTTGAGTATTGCTTTCGTAGAGCTCATACTACAATATCTAAGAGGTGAGTGTACGACATTGAGGTACTTTTTGCAATATCATAACGTTACAGTGATAGAATAAGATCAATCACTCGTTGAATTGGGGAATAAGCGATCAAAACAGAAGACTTTATGCGATCGCTTCCTGGATTAAGTTTCAAGGCTGTACCGTGGTGTATGTAATCAATGTAGCCACGGTACAGATGTACTGTACAGCTGTACTGTATATGTCATACACCGTTAAGTGATGTCATATGCTAGCTGCCTTCGTCTCAATCAATTATATAGTATATGGTTCTGTACTTTAATATAGATAGATTCATATTCTGTTATGTCCGGTAGTAGCCCACTCCTGTGCGATCCTTTTCCAAATCAATTATATACAGTAGTATATAGTACTGTACTTTAATATAGATAGATTCATATTCTATTGTGTCAGGTAGTAGCCCACTCCTGTGCGATCCTTTTCCAAATCAATTCTATACAGTAGTATATAGCACTGTACTTTAATATAGATAGATTCATATTCTGTTATGTCAGGTAGTAGCTCACTCCTGTGCGATCCTTTTCCAAATCAATTATACTAGTGCAAACTCCCGTTGCTTTGCTGACGGTTTACGATAATGTGCTCATTTAACAGATAGTATTACTATTTGATAGACCTGTCAGATGATCCTTTTCCAAATCAATTCTATACAGTAGTATATAGTTCTGTACTTTAATATAGATAGATTCATATTCTGTTGTGTCAGGTAGTAGCCCACTCCTGTGCGATCCTTTTCCAAATCAATTCTACACAGTAGTATACAGTATAGCACTGTACTCTAATATACTGTAGATAGATTCATATTCTCACTAGCCCCTCTCCTGTGCGATCCTTTTCCAAATCGATCTATGTGCACTGGTGCAGTACAGGACAGGACGGTACAGTACGGTATAGTACTATCAATGAAGCTACAGTACTGTAGTCCAATGGAAAGTATCGTACGCTGCGTACTGTACACTGTACAGTACAGTGGCGGGAAATCTGATATCACCACACAGTACAGTATACAAAACAAACAAAATAATGGCTCTCCAGATACAGTGCTGTACTGTACTGTACATACCGTACAGTATGAATTTTCGTACAGTACAGTACCACAAGCTACAGTACTATGTACTGTGCGTGCAGCCCTGCACACCATACTGTACAGTAACGGACAGTATGGTGACAACACTACTGTAATGTACAGTACAGTACTCTACTGTAATGAATAAAACTACTACTGTACTAATGTGCACTGATCAGTAATGTGCGCTGCAGTCACTGGAAACATTTCAAAAATAAGCCCTAAATCTTCTTCTTTGGCAGGCTAGAAACTCTGCAAGATTCGGCTCCAACAGATTCCATCTGTACTGTGTGTGATACTGCAATCATCTTTGCATTGGGTATCAGAAAGGAACCTTTTACTTCTAATCAATCAATCCATTCATTGATAATCAGTAGAACGCAAGATTTGAACCAGGTGAGTCAAGAGTGACTTCTTCCATCTTGAGGTGTAGTGATAGCATTGTCATGGCAATCAAATTCGGATGCCTGGATAATCTACTGATTTTGGACATTTATATGCTCCAGTCTTGAACAGTTGTTCTAGTCGAAAGTCCAACTTGAACACATTGCTAGATAGTACTTGACTGCTCCTTTCTATCAGAAAAGTGGTAAGTCAAAGAGAGGGAAAACTTGTTCAAAGCAAGTGTAGCCGCCGATATTGGTGTGCACTATAGCAAACATCCACCAACCACTTTCGACACCGACAACAACCAAATGGTGACTAATGGCTACATCGAACCAAGGCTCTGGTATGTCAGTTGACTTTATGGAAGTTGTACTCAACGATAGATCACCTTACTCTACTTTTATCTTTATTTCCGTATTTCTTGATGAGTACGAGAATACTACGTTTGAGCTGCCAGTATTATAGCTGCTTACAACACCACCAACTGTATCTAAATTTGAAATACATCGGTAGACTTCTATCGATAGGATTAAGAGATTAGGCAACTTTATTCAATTACCTCTTGATTACCAAATAGACATCCCCCAATAGGCTGTACTATATAGGTATAACAAATACTCTTGAATGATGATAAAGTAGAAATATTGTACAATCGCCTATTTTTAACCCTATCCTATTGCATCATGAGTGAAAATGTCTGATAATTATGGTCACCTTTGTTAACATCTTGAGTGAATGGCAACAAAGATTACGTGACCAATGGATTGCAACATCTACAGAAAGTCTATCATTAGTAGATATATGTATTGGGATCAACATTGATCCAAACCATGTATTATTTCTCTTTATATAGTATCAATTTTTCTATTTCAACTGTAACTTGTTGCGTATACAGTAAACATAGTATTATTTTGGAGGTATGATAGGGTACACTCGCTCAGTGCACACCATGAGTTCGATTCAGCTTGACTAATCAAACGTAGTAATACACGACAATATACAACTATCCAAAATAAAAAGTTATTGTCTAGATGTGTGTCTAAGACTACTATATCATGCGTTTACTGTAATATAGTGTCACGATTTCATTGCCAAATTCTGCAAATGTTATACATGCAGTAGCCTATCAAAAACCGAGAAAACCCAAAGTAATCACGATAAGTTTAGTGGTAGCTTATTCAAAATTAATTTGTAATTTTAGCATAGTACAATTGTCCATAAATTGAGTAGGCTATATTCCAACTAAAGCATAAAGCAGCCCATTCCAATTGCAATTTACGGATCTGTTCGTTTCTTACCACGTTATAAAATGCATAATCATTTCTATTAAAGTCAGTTAATGTAGAATTGTTTAAGACCGGGCAGACCTATGTACGGCTATATTACCTTAGGCTATTATTTCTTTTTCAAGTACAGCCTGTACTTGACCACGATCAATACAAAATGATTAGTATTCTATCATGGGGTGTATATTTTAATGAAGCTTTATTGATCGTTAATTGTTTATTTCTCTTACTAGATGAAATGCCTGGTTATCATCCATCTAATCATTTAGAACTTGTATGCGGAGATACTACTAGACTTACAAAACTACGAAAACTTGAAAAGGTGTTAAAGAAAGCAAAATCTTGTACTACCTTGTAATCTTGATCAATTTAGTTTACAGTTAACAATTTACTACCATTAATTAATTTTACTGTACAGTTTATGTCATTTAAATATATCAAACGCTATCACCTTTAGTTGTGCAGTAGACTAATAATTTATTTTATTACTCAATATCATATCATCGAGGACATCTGAAATATAAAATTAATTATTTATTAAACTAAATCATTTCTTATACATCCCCATGTCAACATATAAATTCATGCCCAATGAATTACTTATTTAATAATAAATTTACCATAACTTTGCACATCCACTTCAGCTAGACTATTCGCTATAGTATAATAAATCAGTTAATGCAACTGCTTCATTCTGATAGCTTGTCAAGCGTCAAGGCTACGTTGTACATTGGACAAAATTGGAAGAAGTACATAAAAAGAAATTCGAGAGTGATGTAACATACGTTTTAGATCCTTTTTCTGGTCAATATTTTGAGCACTTGAAGCAAATTGGAGCCAGGTTAGCTTACTTGTTTGAGTATTATTTTTAAAACTGGTAAAATTAACTTTAAAATAAATCATATTCTTATTTATAAGAGAAGATTCTGCTATGTCCATATCCACAACTACTAATTTTCTAATAATTTACACTAAAATTGTATCTATTGTTAAAATTTTTTTCACGTGTTTAGAATTGTTGGCCCACAATGTCTGGAACACAGCATTACGAAAAAAGAGGTAAATTAGTTGTATTGGCAATACTATAGATGTTGTTTAAAAAACGAACGACAACTAACGTTATTGATATTCAACTAAACTAGTCAATCAGTCTAATTCTAATAGTAAAATAATAGGTTCGTTGATTTTCTCCTATTTTCATCCTTAGCCACTGCTAGATTCTCCGTATCCTGTTTTCAATTTTGTTATGAAAGATCTAGTAATATGTTGTACCAACTTATCAAAGGATGACCGGGTGAGCTATTGTATATAAGTCCATATACTACGCAATATCGCATAGAATTTTAAAAATAACCAAATACCTTTGTAGCAGAGATTGTAAATATCGTGAGCCATCGATTGAAAACTGTTCTACAATATACGTAACTGTTGTTGCATTCCATAAATTTAGGATGAACTACATTCTCTTATTAAAATGATGGGTGGTAAAGTTAATCCTCACTTAACAACAGATGTAAGTCTCATATACTAACAAAACTGCAAGTAGAACTCTTGCAAATATTTATTCTACGCTAGCTAATCATGCTGTGTTATATAAGAAGCGATGCATAATGAAACATAATTACACGTTCACCCAATATTGAATTTGCTAGGTAACACATCTAGTTGCTGGCGAGGTTGGATCAAAAAAATATCAGGTTCCGACTTAATTGCGGTTACTATAGTGTTGTAATATTCTTTCGATTCCCATTCCTGACGAGTTATAATTATGTTATCACATACACTAGGTTGCATTATCAATAGGCAAATCAATCGTTTCTCCAACATGGGTAACAGAAAGCTGGAAATTATCACAAGATCGGTAATTGAGCAATTAGTTGCGTGCAATCGACATAACAGATATTACACTGAAATTTTTTATTTGTCCACTCTATTACATCAGGCCAATAATACCAACAGATGAGAATTTTATGGTATAATTTTTTGTGATCACTTAATAAATGTCATTTTCGATTTAATTCAACTATGTACTGTAAGACATTACCTAACTAAAATGATTGCAATTATTTCAGAACAAACATCTGTGTCCGATATTTTCTGGATGTACAATCTGTGTAACTGGATTAGATAAAGAGGAAAGAGGAAATATTGATAAACTAATTACTGTAAATGGTACGATATTGTTAGATTCGACGATAATAAGACATTATTAAAGATATTATTTTTCACGAAGCAATGCAAGGATATCTATCATATTCTAGAAAAACAATTGAGTTTCTAAACATGTAATATTTCATTCTTGATGATGTATTACTTTAGGCGGCAGTTATTCGCCGGAATTAGATCAGAGGTGCACACATCTATTGGTTAACGTACCGAAAGGTTGGTAATGATAATCAATAACGATTACAGTATATAAAGTTAGTTTGCTAATATAATTACTCTTCCAACTTTAATAACTTTATCTATGTAAATAGGGGATAAATATGAATATGCTTTACAATGGAATATTCATTGTGTATTAACTAAGGTATTTTAGCTGTAAAATTTCTTCGTATTAAAATCCTGCAATGAGAGTTATCTATTTTGTGTTGTCCAATACGTTAATGTATAGCTACTGTTTGTAACAACTCTGAATTTTACGTTTTAGTGGTTCTATGACAGCTTGAAAGCTAAAGGTGCACTGAGTGAAAATAAATATATTTGTGTTAATAAAAGCTCGAAAAGTAACGAACATGCAAAAAGTAAGTAGTTTAGAAGATTTAACCATGCGTAAGGCTGTTTAGTGTTTTATACTGTATTAAAATTAAGACATACGCATACGCTTGATTTTATAGGCCGAGAAGTTGCGCATTCATCTACAAATCGGCAATCACAGATAAGAAGTCTAGAGGAAATTAAGAAGAGCGAATCTAGAGAAACAAAGTTGGATATTACCATCCCCGAACACAGCTCATTCTTTCTTGATGGATGCAAGGTTTAATCTATTATATTAACATGCATTTATAACAGATCTTACGAACCTGCTTATATCTCTTTACGTTTAGATCTTATTAAGCGGTTTTAATGAAATTCAGCAAAGTCAACTACAAAGTGTGATTAATTCTGGTGGAGGCACAAGGTAATGCCATTTCTTGTTATGGGTAACTACAGTGTACAGGCTTAAGTTGCCCTTGAAATTCTAAAATGAATAAAAAATGAACAAGTTATACAGATACAGTTTTAGGATCGTAACTTATTATTTCAATTGTATACAACTACGGCTACCAGATTTAATACTTTGGAAGATTCAGTTACTCACGTCGTAATATCGGAAGATAGCTTATGGAATCCTACTGATTTAAAAGCCTTAAAATCTCAGTAAGGCAATATATGCATATACGCATAATTACTATCAATATCTGGTATTATATATAAAATGAGGATACTTAATTTTTGCGAATAGACCGTTTGTTGTCTCTGTACGCTGGTTAATAGACTCATCTAAAAATGGGATAAAGCTTCCGGAAGATGATTATCTAGTGAATGCAAAAGCGTGAGTATAGACTACAGTAATTGCTATAAAAGCGGTACTAGCGGAGTTTAAATTTTTTACATCTCGTGTAGTACTGTACGTTGGGTTTACTTATCATCAATAATTTTCATCATGTAGAGAAAGAAACAGTAGCACTTCCTTGCAACCCTCCCGTAAGAGGAAAAATGTAGGCCTTAGTCTTGCCGAATCAGACTATGGAGATGTGACTGAGATTATCAATCAATATGTACCTGTTGATGGTAAAGATTACTTTTATAAGATAATGCTTCTCGAGTACATTAGCAAGAATTATCTTCCATTAAGCTCATTAACTTTTGAGTAGATTCTAAGAAAGCTCCAAGCGAATTGTTTTGTGGAAAGAAACTTTATATTTGTGGATTTACAGAAGCTCACATCACCCAGTTACAGCTAATAATAGAAACCAATGGAGGTAAATAAGTTTTGTTAACTGTGAGGTATTTAATTTTATACTATCGATATCAGTTTGAGGTTATCAATGCCACGTTTAAGGAGTGTTTTAAATCCTGAAGTAAAATTTACTTTGTAAATAAAAAATATGCGTAATTAAATTTTCAGGCCAAGTATTGACAAATTCTTTACAAGCCGATATGATAATCACTCCTCCATGTATATATGAATCTGAGGATGAAAATTCATCATTAAGGAATTTACCCTGTGTAACTACTTATTATCTCGTACGTTTTGTAATCTTTGCTTAACAATAATACTAAAGTGCCTGTTAACGGAAATTAATCTCAGAATTTTAATTACGGTTAGGAGGATTGTCTTGAAGTGAAACAACTAAAAGATATTAGTGAATCTGTTTTTTACAAGCCCTTTTATTTACCGGCTGGAGTCAACCCACTAAAGGATTGTGTCCTATCTATTAGGTATGTAATCGTAGCTTCTAAAATTTTACTTATCTGACTAATAATAACTGGTATTTGATGAACCTATTTAGTCAATTTTCCGGATCTTTAAGAAATTATTTAATTGAATTGATACGATTCGTAGGAGGAAGGTAATGAAGTCTTTGTACAGTAGTTTCAAACATTATAAGAAATTCAAGCTTGTTTTGAAGACTTAATGGAAATTGATTCTATATTAAATAGATTTCAGGAGCAGCTAGTAAGGTTGCCGCAAGGTAAACTTTATCCAAGTACGCATTTACTGCTAATTAAACCATCAGGTTCGAAATATGGCGCCGCAAAGAAGTGGAAAATACCAACTGTCTCTGAGAAGTATGTATACTTAGAAATTTTTACTAACTGACTATGCTTTTGTAACAAAGTCATTTGATTTTTTAGGTGGTTGATAGCATCTTGCGAGGCAGCAGAGAGAGCCGTCGAAAATCAGTACATAGTCGACGAATTTGTATCCTCTGTAAAATCTACAGAAAATACCACAACCATGGATACTGTACAGCCGGTTCCTGATACAACCGAAAGATTAAAGCCAGTTGAAACTTCCGTGCCAGATGCAGTACGTTCGGTAAGATGTGTACAACATTGATACTTATATAGCGCTGCTTACGATTGCCGAGGTCCGCCTATACTGTACTCGTACTATAAGGACTATCGGCTTAAAGCGTTGTTGGCATAGGTATCCAAATCGTCTTAAATTTTTCAATTTATTTTTACAAGTTGAACTTAGTGTGATTGTGTTTCATATCCGATTTTCAGTTAGTAATTGATCCAGTAGAAGATAATTGCGAAGAGCCAACGATAGCGAACTCTGATAACAAAAAGGAGTTAACGGATGACGATAAAGAAAATGGAAACCCCGTAGAAGTTTTTGAAAGTGAAGTAAGTCAGTTGGAATATACGATGCAATAATATTCAGCTCAAGTTATATTTGCTTTATTCACAGTCGACAGTTCTGAAAGGTGTAACAATTTCTGCAAGTAAAAAACTAAGCTCAAGTCATCGTAAGTTCTGTGCTTTTATTCGGGAAATTCGACGATTAACGTCTAATCGTGCTATATTATAACTCATACAAGGTCAATTTGAAAGAGAAGCTTCACAACTAGGAGCCGACTGGCGTTGGACCTTTGAGGATTGCTGTACTCATTTTATCTATCAGGTAGCGGATGTGACGCTAACTCGCGTCCAAATAGATAATGATAAATGTATCACACCATTACCAAATTTGTTTGAAAAAGTACGCAGTACTGTATGTAATTAGTAGTTCAATTGATTGATACTGTGTTATATATGCATTGAGCACAGCCGTTGCACGCCTAAAATTAAGTGCTAATCAACTCTGTATCAAATGTAATAATGATAGGGAAAAGCGACCGAAAATAACAGAGAGTTGAAGGCAGCAAAGAAAGCAAAGGCTATTTTAGTATCACCTTCTTGGTTAAAAGCAGTAAATTTCGACAATCAGATTATAAATATAATGACTTGTATTTATTACAAAATTAATTCTTACACATTTGAAGTCGTTAACAATGTTAAAATGTTCATTTTAAATTTTTTAGTGTTTAACAGAAAAACGCCGACTAGAAGAATCTAGTTATCCAATAACTTACAATCCTAAATTAAATTTGGTAAACAATATCAAATTTTTATTGCCTAATAACGTTTCGTTCACAGAATATACAAAAATGATTCTACACGCAACCCAGAAATGTATTTATTGACTAGTTTTTAATACACTATTATTTAACAATGACAGATTCGTATTTTGTTTCTGTAGTATATAATTGAAAACTAACCTAACTTAAAGTATTGCTTTGACTGCCTTATTAACTGTATATTATGACTATTGTATATATTATAATTATAATTTATATTGACTAGCTTTGATAGCAGTTTAACATTTGAAATTCATTTCTATGGTATATAATCGAAACTAATACTAATTTGTTTTATTATTGTAAGTCCGTGTTATCCAGGACTGAGAAAGAACTAAAGGTATACTGAAACTATAAATTATCTAGTTTTATAATATATCATCGATTTGCAACAATCTTCATCTCCTAATAAGGATGAGCCGGTCAGGAAAAGGCGAAGAACAAGGCGTAGCCTAAATCCGGAAAGTAATCAAGTTGAAAAATTTTTGGATGATTCGGGTTTAGACCCAGAAATAGACAAAAATGACAATACCGGATTCGATAATTCAGGTAATAGATACCGGACCAAAATTTCTATCAATTGTAGTATTCAACCTATAAAATAGATAGCAAAAAGTTAATAATCTATATATTTAATGTCTGATTACTAGTAGGTCATATAAGTGAAATCGAAAATGAAGATAACAGGGTAAGATATACATAGAGTACACAATTAAGATATCATATCAATGCTACTACTAACCTGCTGCTGTAATTATCAGGAAGGAACGCTAGAATCACGTGAAGATTTTAAAAGACATGTAGACGAACTGATTGAAGTAACTAGGTAACGTATCCGGGATTTCTACTATTAACTTTAGGGATCCATAAATCTTTACTGTTAATCTTTCCCCAGGGTAACAAGAAGTAGTCGCAAGAAAAGTCGGAAATCTCTCTCCTGTAAGATATAACTGGATATTTTTTCTACCGTAGTGTTGAAAATTCGAGGCTACCTTCCCTTAGTACTTTTCCACGATTTGAATATGGTAACATTCTCTGTAACTATTCGTACGCATACGCTGCTTCTTCTCTAGGTACTCCGGATTCAAAGGATATTCCTACTAGTGGAGAGGTACACACTTCTTGCTTTGTAAATTATACTGTTAAAAAGGCTGACTTACTTGACCCATTGAATAGTCAGGATGAATTGATAGTAATATTGTAGTACCGTGCTTGTTTTCCATAGGCAAGCAAAACTAATCAAACGACACATCGCATAACCAGAAAAATGGCGCAAAATTTGGCCAACAAGATTACAGCAGGTAATTTAGTACATATAAGCGATACTACGGTATATTAGCCAAGGTGTAACTTTTTCTGTATCATAGTAAGATATTATTCAACGATAATTGTTACTTGTATTCACTTGTCGACGCTACTATTAAGGTGAACCAGCGTCCGCATCCCTCGAATCTACTTCTGATTATTCTCAAACGGAGGCAATTACATATGATGACCCTGCTGGAAGGTAAGAAATCTCTTCTCTTTGCGCTATTGTCCATTAGCTATATAGTGCCACTTACCAATACTCTTTTGAATGTAGTCAGCTTTATTTCATGTAATTCATAATTACTCAGTGTAGAAAAGGTATTGTGTCATTCTTGTCATTAGACATATTCTTAAACATATTGTCATCCTGTTTGTATTCGAATGATGAAACTCAAAAAAAAACACAAAAAAATAACTTTCTAAGGCAGGAGCGGGAAAGGATAAAAGCGCGGCTAAGACGAAATCGCAGTGGTGAGAAAACAGATTCTGAACGTGATGACCTAAACGAAACTTGTGACAGCAAGGATAGGTACTCCTAACAATAACGAATTGCAATTTTGGCGCAACAACAGTACTGTTGTGCTGGTTATGTGGCAAATATCAAATTCTAAACAACATACCGTAGGACTACTGCACTTACTTACTATAAAATCAGAAACACTACATTACAATACACTAACGTAATTATGAAAAAAATAAATACCTATTCTTTATCATACCCATGTCATTTAGTAGTTTAGAACGTAGAGACTTGTCAAGTTTGTGGAGTGGACCGAATAGCTTATAGAATAAAGTCATTATTTGTAGTCGTAGTAATGCACTGTAGTCGTGTTGGAAGTGGGCTATGCGTCAAATGTTAGTACGACAATGGTTGATGCTAAAACGATCTTGAATTTTGATGCTTATTTTATCATTATTCATATGTATTCATATCTAGAGTAAAGATTAATACCGGACGGCAATCTCCTGCATCATTTGGTGTCCATTTATCCAGTACGTGGTGTATGATCATTGATGAAAACGTTTTTAAAATATCGAATTCTACTGCTTGCTGAGATGCTTTGATAGTCTGTCTATCTATAACTGAAGAAACAGTTTCTTGTATTTGCTAAGAATGATAACGAACAATATCTTACTTTGACATCACTTTAGACACGAATTTAAAAGTACTCTCAATGGGTGTTGATGAAGCTGAAGGAATTTGTAGCCCTGTAAATACTCAATATAAACGGTTTTCGTCTAACAACTAAGCTGATTTACCAATAATAATACATAAATAGAGCAAGATATTTGTAATAATAAGTATTTGTAGTAAATGATGATAAATGAACATTACTGAGATAAATGATCCTTTACTCTTCCTATGTAGTCGCCTGCCAAGGTACAATATCGATTTCTTCTATCTGCGATGAAACCACAAGTACGTCTGCATATACATATATAACACTGCATATACGAATACACGTATGATACATATACATATGTTGATTCATTAACCGATACAATAAGTACTTGATAAAAAATTTTCTTACGACTGTCTTGAAGTTGTTCTAACCAAGCATATCTTAAAATGTATCTGATCGTTGATTGTATTTTTAAAATACGCGCATGTTTGCTGCCTTTTAGGAAAAGATAAATTACGCGGGCATTGTCGAAAATCTTGAAGGTGTATTCTATGATACGCAATACTTCACTCAAGCTTGCACACATGTAGTCGTCGGTGAGAACTTTCACTAATAGAATTTCTATCAATATGTTCTAAGTAGTCCTACCATTGACTTTTTTAAACAGCTTCAATTTTCTATCCTTTGAGTACACGCTGTGTAACTTCTCCTAGTCTCAAATATACCTATTCTAAATTTTTAAGCCTTGAGCATAATTGTATTCTAAATGTTCTATAGTCTTGAGTCTATGTATTTTAGATTTCTTAATCTTCTAGTATAATTATTCACACTTTCAAATTTTCTATCTTGGGGCGCACACGTCTACATTTCTTCAAGTCTTCAATATAGGTTCTAAACTTCTTAGATTTCTGTACAGGGAGGTATTCAAAATTTCCTAGTCTTTTTGAGTTTACGTATTCTAAATTTTTCTAGTCTTGAGTAAATGCATTCTAAATTTGCTTCTGAGTATAGATATTCTAGATTTCTTAGCCTTGAGTATACACGCTTTAAACTTTCTAATCTTCTGGGTAAACCGTAGAAACGTATTCTAAATTTCTTAGCTTTGAGTACATGTACTCTAAAGTTCCCTACTCTTTGTTTTGTTATACATGTATCCTAAATTTTTCTATCTTGTACGTTCGTATATATATATACATATACATTTTAAAATTTCTTAGTCTTCAGTATAGGCATTCTAAAGGTCTTAGATTTCAGAACAGCAGCTAAAAATTTTCTAGTTTCCTCTGAGTTTACGCGCTCGATAATTAATTCCTAGTCTTGAATATTCTTACGTATCCTAAATTTCATAGTCTTTTTACGGTCTCTCTAAATTTTTAGTCTTCTGGCTATACATGTCCTAGTTTTCTAGCCTTGAGCATACGAATTCTAAATCTATGTTACAGGAACAAACTTGCTCGATTATTTGTTGATGGTATCGTAATGAATTTGCATCTATGTCCATTCTTTTGTCTGCAATTAATAAATAATTATCGCACTAGGTGATATCAATAGAAATGAAAAATGCCTGGCTGCTATGGCATCAGGAAAATGGTTGCTTCGTAAATCGTTCTTAGACGAAAGTCAATTGGCTGGAAGATTTGTTTCGGTAATTATAATTACTTTTACAGAGATAGCAGAGTAAAAAACTGGATCTGTGCTCTTGGTTGCTGTAACTAGAAGTCGATTGATTGCATAATACAGACGGATGACGAAAGATGATGTAACTTACTACAGCGTGTCGATTCAGTTAATGTTTTTTTTACGGCGCAGGAAGAAGAACACGAATGGGGCTCTGATCATGCTAATAATTCTTCGTTATCTAAATTGTCGATCGCAGCTCGAAGATGGCGAAAAAAAGTTCAAGAGGAAAATCGCAACAGAAAATTACAGGTAAAACAATAACTAACATTACTTGATGCACTGCTACAGACAGTTACTATTCTAAACTATAATAAATCTATAACCAAGAAAAAGTATACTTACTCATCTTTGAACGATCGATATGATAACTTTGCTCTTATATATTAGTCAGCGTTTTTACTGCTTGAGTAAAGTTGTTAGTCAGAAGAAGCAAGTAGTTTTCAAGTATAGATTAATTCAAAAATGTGATGCTTTATTTAGGGTATTATCGGTGATCCATATGGTGCTTTTAAAGGTTGGAAAGTCCTACTATCGGTTGACGTTACAAGACAATCTGGATTTAAACGCTTACTTGAAGCTGGTTGCGCAACGGTAATGAAACTTAAACCTCCATTTCCTAATATTGAAGGTGTGACTCATGCCTTTATCGATACAAACAGAACAAAACCCGGTTCGGTATGCATATAAATTACAGATATTTCAATTTACACAAGCTAGTGTTAAATTCATGAATTTAATAAAATACGATTGTAGTACAGATACTTGTCAACCAGTCAACTTGTGATCCAATGTTTGCGGTTGTAGTAGTAATATTAAGACACAGCTATCGTGACTTCAGTTAAATGTGATTTCTTGTTTGTAACACGTAGATCGATCTGCAACAGCTTATTAATGCAAATATTGTCTGCCTTAAACCCGATTACATTGCAGAATATCTAACCCATGTAAGTTTCTTTATGGTACATCTTCAATCGGTGTATTCCTGGCATTTAGACCATGCCACTTGTACATACGGTAGTAGAAGAAAATAGATACAAAGCAACGACTAGTAAACTAAACATCTTTAAATTTGGTTTCCATCCTACTGCATTTTTGTTATCTTCAAAGGTAATGTATACTGAACATTGATGATCTTCTATTTATGTTATTAAGGATCCACCGCCCAATCCCGATTCTTTCATACTCTCAGAAGTTCAAAATTTGATGAAATCCTAGTAAACTTATTGATAATGATGTCTTCAATAAATAAATGTTCTATTATCTTCTATATCAAGATGACGTTTAAATTTGGATGACTCCATGATTTTCTATCTAAAAATTTAACGTACTACTGTAATATTGAATATTGTCTTACTGCAGGATACAATACAGAACAACGTATTCTATTAACCTACTGTGTATTTTTATAGGCATTTTGTAGTACGACCATACTTATCAAGGTTTAATTAAAACATATAAATAAACATTTAATTAAATTGTACTGAACAGTGTACTTGTTTTTTCTGCTACAATAATTTTATGTGGTACATACCATAGGCGTCGGTGTTCGGTGCCAAAACATCTCTCTAATCCGATACAGTTCGCATTGTACAGTACATGGTACATTTTAGCTAGTGCTGATAGCAATCTAGCTTGACATCTTGGTATAGTAGTTGGCACATACTTTGTAGGGCCGTTTATCATGTTCAATCTGTGCGTAGAAATGTTATAGTATACTACGCTACTATCCAAAAAGGTAAGCTACATACCACTTCGTAAAACAGCTGCAACGGCAACAATTTTCATGATCAACTGTAACAGATAGTTGTATTGTATGGCGAATTTTGCATGATTTTTAAGTCTTGTTACGCAATAGTAGTAGTAGTAGTAGTAGATCCTAGTTATAGCGGAAGAAGCAAAACGAATTCTCGCAGAAAAAAGATAAAGAAATTCTATGTCCAAACTACGGAAGTCACCCTTTCGTATTAACTAGGAGGCCAAGAAAAATTAATTGAAACTCCAACGGTAGAGCTGCATTTTCGTGATAAATAGATGGCAACTGCATATTGAGTAAGTTTCTACTTTTCAGCGATCTGAAGTGGGCATAGTTCCTAATCATGGCGAAGGAAACAAAACGAATTGTCTCGGAAAAAAAAAAACTGAAAAATTTATCATGTCCAAACTATGCAGGTCACCCTTTTGCATTGACTAGACTAGACGCCAAGAAAAAGTAGTAGAAAACTGCCAATGGTAGAGCCGCATTTTCATGATTAAGTAGTAGGCAATTGTACATTGAGTGAATTTCTATTTTTTCAGCGATCTGAAGCGGTCATAAATCCTAATGATAGTGAAGGAAGCAAAGGAATTTTCTCGAACAAGACAGAAAAAATTCTATGTCCAAACGAGGCAAGTCACCCTTTTGCGCTAACTAGACGCCAAGAAAAGTAGTTGAAACTGCCAAACGGTAAAGCTGCATTTTCATGATTGTTTAAACACGAGGCAACTGTGTATTGAGTGAATTTCTACTTTTCAACGCTCTGAAGTGGTTGCAGTTCCTAGTCATAACGAATAGAGAAAAAGGAATTTTCTCGAACAAGATAAAAAAATGTCCAAACTGCGTAAGTCACCCTTTTGCTGTAACTAGACGCCAAGAAAAAGTAGTTGAGAAACTGCCAATGGTAAAAGCTGCAATTTCATGATAAAACATAAGGCAACTGTGTATTGAATGAAATTCTACTTTTCAACGCTCTGAAGCGGTCGCAGTTCCTAGTCATGGTGAATGAAGAAAAGGAATTTTCTCGAACAAGACAGAAAACATTTCCAAACTACGCAAGTCACCCTTTTGCGTTAACTAGGCACCAAGAGAAAGTAGTTGCAACTGCCAAGGGCAGAGGAGAATTTTCATGATTAAACACAAGGCAACTGTCTATCGACTTTTTTCTACTTTTCAACGATTTGAAGCGGTCACCGTTCCTAATCATAGCGAAGGAATGGAAAGGAATTTTTCTCGAAAAACACAAAAAAAATTACGTCCAAAGTACGGAAATCGATTCAATGTCACCCCCAAAATTCGCAACAACGGTATGACGAGAACGAGATTACTTGAAATCCAATAATAAACTCGAGGTTCACATTTTCTTTCTACTTGTATGTCATAATTTGAAATTCAACGAGTGCAAACCTATGCAGTGAAGAGAAAAAAAAATACGGCCACAAGAACAACTTGACGTTCAGACAGCGCTTTGCCTTCGCGAAAAAATTGTCCGAAGAGAGTTGTTTACGCCAAGGTTTATATAGCCTTCCGGCCACAGTCCTACTTCTTGTACTGTACACTGTAGCAGGTTTTCTTTCTTTCTTTATCCAGTACAGTACAGTACAAAAATAAAAAGAATGAAACGTTATGAACGTCACTAGGCAAAAATGATACCAAAAATAGTGACCAAGTGTTACAGTGCACTGTGGAAAACAATCGTTAGTGCTAAAAATATACTGTACAGTACCCGGTACAGTACTAGTCCTATGGTAATTAGTCACGACTGTTCTATATAAACTAGTAAAACTGGTATGGTACGGCGGTATCGTATCGTACCATTGTATCGAACTAAGTCTTGCGTGTCCGGCTCTACGCTGACATACATAGCGGGGTGAAGTTTCAAACGTTACGCTCTTGCTGCACGTCGGTAACTAAAATACGTTACTACGAAAACACTCATCAATAGGGTTGTAACTATAACTACTGTACTGCACCATGTAACATGATGCATCTGAGTAGCCAATCATAAACGAGCGCTAAGCTATTATTACAAAGGTTTCCCTACAACGGGTTGAGGCAATATGCTGACGTTCATAAAACGTGCTACAAATGTACACCCCAGGTGTAAGCGACGTTCGACAAACGTTTATTTCACGATTACGTAAGTACAGTACAGTAGAATACTGTACAGTACTATACTGTACTGTACTGTACAGTATGTCAGCGACGATTAGTTTTGGATTTTGCCATGGACTTCTAGAAATTAGACCAGTCAATCGGGATTGCCCGATTGAATTTTCTAGTACAGTAGTCCATAACAAAACCCCAAATTCATTGCTAGTAGTTTATGGTTTTGCGAACTAAAGCTGATGTTATTCATACTGTACTGTATATACTGTATGTATATGTCATATATGTATACTGTACAGTATATATTATTATTAGTATACTGCACTGTTATACAGGATATATTATTGGCTAAGACGTGACTTCATTTACTCTTGTACAACTATATGTCTACGACTATTAGTTTTGGATTTTGCCATGGACTTCTAGAAATTAGACCAGTCAATCGGGATTGCCCAATTGAATGTTCTAGTACTGTAGTCCATGACAAAACTCCAAATTCATTGCTAGTAGTTTATGGTTTTGCAAACTAAAGCTGATGTTATTCATACTGTACTGTACTGTATATATGTACAGTATATGTCATATATGTATACTGTATAGTACAGTATATATTATTGGCTAAGACGTGACTTCATTTACTCTTGTACAACTATATGTCTACGACTATTAATTTTGGATTTTGCCATGGACTACTAGAAATTAGACCAGTCAATCGGGATTGCCTGATTGAATGTTCTAGCACTGTAGTCCATGACAAAACTCCAAATTCATTGCTAGTAGTTTATGGTTTTGCGAACTAAAGCTGATGTTATTCATACTGTATATACTATATGTATACAGTATGTCATATATGTATACTGTACAGTATATATTATGGGTATACTGTATATAGGATATATTATTGGCTAAGACGTGACTTCATTTGCTCTTATTTGTCCACGGGGCAAATTAGTCATACCCATTATGTAATAATAGTTTTTGATTACTACACTAAGGCAGTGTTGGCAATGACGTTATAGAGCATCTTAATTTTAACACGTTTAACGCAGTCATCGATTATTACAATCTTACGTATCCAAATTTTTTTGTCTACTACAGTACTAGAAGACTAAATAGCATTCACACCAGAAAGAAAATAGAACAGGAAACTACTCATTAAAAAGACTCTAAATTGGATAAAACAGGAAAATATAGTGGCATATCGTAATTTTCCCTTGGATTTAATTGAATTGATTGCGGCCATGACTGTACTTGTATTGTAGTAATACTGTACCGAATGTAAAGTAAAAAGTGCAAGGACGGTATAGAGCCCGGGCTCCATCATGGACTACTGTACTGTTTCTGATAACAACAATGATGTATATGACACACTGTATACACTGTACTGTATAATTATTGGATGGAGCTTTTTTATCTAATACTGCGCAAGACTATAACATCCACCGGAAAAGAAATTAGACAGGAAACTCCTTGCTAAAAGGACTACTAAATTAATTTATTACAACCATGATGTATACTGTACATCAGCTTCAGTCATAAATAGCTATAATACATCTGGAAGACTATTGAAATGTAAAATAGCTAGGCCGGTACTGTACTGTATAGTAATATTAGTAAGCAATGACCAGGAGCAGGGACTACGGTAAAAAAGAAAAACGAAAGCAGCTAAGCGGTCGTTGACTACATTAATAATTGGGAGGCTAATTATTTTACTACTCATTTCCAGCTATATCATATATCCGAAATGGCACACTATACTGTCCAACAATTGACATCCAAAATTAGTTGCTATACACGGGCGATTTCATTGACACCGTTTAGTAGAATGACCAGGAAAATGACCAGCCTTTCAATACAGTATTATTTTGCACTGATGGCCGTTGGCTGTCTCGTTTCTTTTCTTTACGGTAGTGCCTGCCAGAAGCAACCTTCAACAGTAATCATTTAATGATCCTGATTAGGGACTACTGTAGTACCTGTCCTGGCGCATCGCAGTCTACGGCAATATAATTATTATTTCCTCTTTATATGATGGCCCAGCTGTACACAATAGTACTACTGTCTTAATAAACTTTCACTACCCTATGCAGTACAGTAAATAACACTATTGCAATCTATCTTCGAAGACTCATTGGTAGTGCAAGACGAATATACATGAATCATGCTACTGTACTATTCTCAATAATACACCTGCCATACAGCTATCGTCACCATAATACACTATACTTTTACATCAAAATTGGTCTAATATTTTAGGTATCATAGTTTCAATTTATTTGACTGTAGTCATCTTCACAAAATTGAATTCACATGAGTATCGGTTGAGATTTTAATAAGTTATTTAAAATATCTTAATTAAATCTAAAACAACCAATACTGACTGACATAGTTCAATATGCTCGTACAATGACTTTTTTCTTTTACCTGTACCTTGATCATTAAAGCTTGCTACGTTGTATAACAACATTGTATGAGTATCTACTATATTATTATATAATACGAATAAAAATATTCGCAAATTGCATTCATCTTAGATATTTCAAGATTGACAGTATATACCGAACAAGTTGATGTTGCGATAAATTATATAAAATAATTAATGCTGACCACCATCTCTTGTCATCAAGCAATATTTCATTCACTTATGGTAAATGAGCCATTTTTCAATGCATATGATATCAATTTGGCCAGTTACCTGCATCTACTAAATAATGCATGTACCAATCAATCTACACAATTCACGAATAATTAATTAAACGCTAGATGATGTCAGATTTCACTTGAACGCAGTAAGTAATACTGCAGCTTGAGATACCACGAATATCCACGGGTCTACTAAATAATGTATATCATGTAGCAGCTATCAGGGTAAGCATCCCATAGTTCAAGTCAAATATAATGTCAAATATTTTAGTTTAGCATAGCAAAGTCTTGCAATATGGAAATATTTTTGTAATATTTCTATTCGCGTATACTTTAATACGGCATTATAAGAGGTATATTTATATGTATTGTTTTAAACATTCATTAAAAGTTGTTAATTATAATTATGAAGCCTGTTTAGCCACTACTTCAACCGTTACCAATCACATCGTCTTATCAACCCAATGCCTAAGATAATCATTTACGAGCATCTTTCAAATAAGAATAACAAACTCCAACCATGATAGCCCCAACAGTCACTCCTTGGGCTAGAACTCGAAACTTTAATATATATCGGGAAAGGTTCATTCCAGCAGGCCTATTCTTATACTGATGAATTCCATAAGCGACAGCACCAAAAGTTCCGAGCATCCCTAATTTAAAAATTTGTTCAATCACGTTCAATCTAGGATTATGAAATGTAGATGATAGCATTTATGTAGCAAAGTTTGGTAGTGTACATCCTGAATATGCCTACAGTATATGAAGGTTATTGGCAACTTGATGGCTACGTTACAGTCCATGTCTGTATACGAGTGCACGTATAAGTATCATGCTTGACTGTGCCTTATGTACTGTACAGTATAGTGTGCAGCTGACATTACTGTATTAGCAAGATCATGCACTAATTTAACCATAATAAACGACCTCTATTTCTTAATCTCTGCTAAGCTGGTAATACATTTCATTTATCAATACTGCCTATGCGCTGAATTATTGCATGTCAAGATCTGAAAGATTCGAACGTGAATCAATTCAATTTGACCTATGTAGTAATTTAATTATCATTCTAAATTATTAATGCTATCCATTTTTCAATTTATACTAAGCTGGTAACGCCGTATATTTCATTTATCAACATTGGCTATATCGCGTATTACTACTGCACATCAAGTAAGGATAAATTTTACCAATTCAAGGATAGCGAAGCGATGGATCACCATAGCTACGCTAAACCGGCATTACACAAGGCTAGGGAAACTCACCGAGAGGCACGAAAGGTTCATCCAGGAATTTCTTTTTCAATTTATTCTCACTAACGTCATCGTCTGGTCTCCATTGTGGCTTTTTAAAAGAATTAGTAGAATCACTGATAGGCATTCTTGATGAATTTTATCGACAGCTACTGTTTCCAATCGTTTACAGCGGATTTAAAGGTTTGAAGGAAGCTACGGTCAAAGTCAGTTATGTTCGTCCCTATAATAAATGACGATCACAACGTTGTCGCACAAGTCTCACACTGGCCCTTCAGTTCAAGTACACCGGCAATAATACAACTGTACTGAGTGCTAACCGTCAGTGACCCTATGGCACGGTCACTCGGGCTGCGTCACGTACGTATTCGGTTCACGGTTATGACTGACACAGTGTACAGTACAGGACTGTACACTTAGTGTATTTCCTATGCCAGTCGCTGCAGAACCGAACCACGACCATGTGCATATATGCAGCATGATGCAATCCAAGTTCATGCGGGTTCATTCAACCAATATCCGTACGTACAGGCATCTGTAACCTAAGCGATGCAAACCAACTTGGCATGCGCATTGACATTCTATTTCCCCGAACAGGGCATCTGTAACCTACTGTATATTGTATAAGCGATGCAAGCCAGGAGCAAACCAACTTAGCATGCGCATTGACATTCTATTTGCCCGTACTGGGCATCTGTAATCTAAGCGATGCAAGCCAGGAGCAATCCAAGTTAGCATGCGCATTGACTTTCTATTTCCCTCTTTGGATTTTTTAGACACGGTCAAGCAAACATGTCGAAGAGAGGTAAGTTATCCAACTATATTCATCGTGTATCGTCTCCATCCTTAAACCTTTCAACCATTTAACCTATTAGATAGCGATATTAAGACTTAATTTTATCATCTATTCTTTAATTTATTCTTTTACGTCAATTTAAATCATTTTAAATGCCAGTATATTTCTCGGTCTTATCCATGTGAATTCACAGACGCCATGACAGTAATAGTTTACCGTATACAATACAATACAGTAGGCTGTACATGGGATTATGGCAAATGGCGTGGCGTAAAAGGCGATCAAGATGGCAATTTTCATCTATTCTATTGCAGTATTCTCGACATGTACGGTGTATTTTTGCGTAAAATGATCAATTACTACCATACGACAGAAAAATGCAATAGTGAAAAATAGTGACAAACATGGCCTAGGCATTGGTGTTAAGATAGACCCACAAATCAATGATGATGATAGTGCGGAAGCTTGTGCAGCGAGGCCACAATGAACTGCCTAGTTTAGTCTAATATCCGTTTCATTCATACTGTAGATGAATCTCGACAATACTTGAAAGTATAAAAACTCCAATGCATCACTATTACATAAGTTGCAATCATCTTGGGTAAGATAACATTATTACTGTTGATGCTCAATCTTTTCAATATTTTCACTCTAAATAGGTAGGGGTGGTTCGTCCGGTTCGAAATTTCGTATCTCCCTTGCTCTGCCAGTTGGTGCAGTAATGAACTGCGCGGACAACACTGGAGCCAAAAATTTGTATGTCATTTCCGTCAAAGGAATCAAAGGTAGATTGAATCGTATGCCATCAGCAGGTATCGGCGATCTTGTATTAGCAACAGTCAAAAAGGGAAAGCCTGAATTACGTAAAAAAGGTTAGTGACAAGATGAAAACGATGTTGTACGCAAGCATTGATAGAATAGAATGATCGATTGAATGATCGTTCTCTTTTTCACCACTTTAATCTTGCTATGTTAAATTAGTAATGCCAGCGGTGGTTGTGCGGCAGCGGAAACCGTATAGAAGAAAGGATGGAGTTTTCATATACTTCGAAGGTAATACGCAACTCCAATTGATGTTTCCTGAGATCTTATTATAATTCTATGACATCTATCGAATTCTATAGATAACGCAGGAGTGATAGTAAATAATAAAGGTGAAATGAAAGGTAAGCACTACTAATCTTTACAATTTCCTATGAAGAAGTGAACGGACTCGATATATGTGTTTATTATGGATTATACTTTCTTAAGGTATCATTTTGTATTTCATGAACAGGTTCAGCCATCACTGGCCCAGTTGCTAAAGAATGTGCTGATCTATGGCCAAGAATTGCTTCCAACTCAGGCAGTATTGCTTAACTGCAAGATAACTTGTTGTAATTACAGTCTAAACTTGTAATAAAAATCTTTACATATCGACAGCAAACTGAGCGAATTTGAAATTTTGTCGTATCATTTCTTCCGTTGCGGTTGCTTGATTAAATAAGAATGGTCGAGTCTGACTTATGATCTTCCATTGAACATAATGGATACAGAGCATAAGACTTTATTTTTAATGTATTATATAGGCATATTACTGGCAGTAATTGAATCGATGCCTATTTACAACGCTTGGAAACTAATTCACCTGTGACTAATTAATTATAAGGTCTATCAAATATTTATCAGTTATCGTTCGGTAAGAAATACTGTATCATGAGTTGCATATCAAAAAAAGTTACCTGATCGCTTTGTCCGCCTCACTTTCTAAGCACATTTACCTCTGGAAATGTGCTAACTTAGTTTTTGCTACCTCAGAGCTTCGTAAGGGGTAACTATGGTTTTTTCTTGAGTTAGGGTTAGGGATACGAATTTTATCTTTCGTAGTCCCTGATACTGTATGTACGTATGTCTATAGACCACTAGAAATTACTACTGCAGTAGTTTCTAGTAGTTTATGGTATGTCCTTGATAGGAACTATAAATCCAGTGTTTTACAAAATTTCAATTCAGCATGAAATTTTAGTAAAAGTCTCCCCACAACCCATAGACTAAGCTATTTACATTCATAAGCGTATCCAAAATGGAGCCTACACACCTCAAAGTGCATCTCGAATTTTGTTGGCTATACAGTACCGTAGTTGTAATGAATGCAGTTTACTGTAGATGCACCAACATCATTTTAAGCAATGCTGGTACAAAATGCGCTCGCTGTAATTGGAGTCTAGTTAGTCACTGTTAACATCATGACAGTTCTTCATCAATGACTATGATGAGAAGATATGTCTTTAACCCGATTTCCAAGCACTATCCAGTACATCTTATACATCAAAAACTTTTAACGACTGTGATACACATTTTAAAATTTAATTGTGTATGATTTTATTCTAAAAGAGAACCTTAAGAAATTTCTGAACAACACTTGAGTGATATACCATATGAAATTGCGATTGTCAATACTGCTAAGCTTTATTGCAATTACGAGTATTTTTAATTGATAGCATTCATTCGTCAAATATTAGAGCTTATAACGAAATCAAACATCGATATCTTTGATCCAGCAATCATAGCTATAGCCTGCTGAGTCACATTATATCTTTAAGCTAGCTAAGTAAACTCACTACTGACTCATTTACGTATGGCCTTTTAAAATAAATTAAAATACGACTATTTCACTAGCATCACAGTTAATGACTACGCAGTTTTGATGCTATTAACTCTATGCTGCCAGAAATTGCATGCTTGACTAAATTCAAGTTTATTCCTCTTCGGCCTTCATGATTCTTACGAAGGAAAAGGGTTGGAATGGCATTCCTTGGCCATCGTAAAACTTATTTTGGAATTCAACCCTAAGACAAGGAGCCAAGGAAGAATTAAGTACGAAAATTGCTAACAGTATTTATCGAAAACTTTTACACTGAATAAAGCAATAGTAAATTATTGCAGAATCTCTATTAAAAGTAAAATAAGCCTGTCATGTAGACTCCATTACTAACCAATGCAAACGAAGTGCATGCAAGAAAGCGGAAAGGCCTTCCATGATTAACAATATTGCTATGGTTAGAGCTACAAAAAAAAACATTATTAATTCGGGAGTATCTATTACTTTTTTAATGAAATATCAAACATTTACATGTTATCTCAGTTTATCTCTATGTTTAGTAGTACGCCATGATTATAGGCAAGGATTAAGAAAATTTTTACCTGCCCAACCACCAAACATGAACCAAGTTACAACAAAACCGGCATAGCCATTTGTTGAAAAGCCAATCTTTAATACCATAACCCAAAGTACTTCCGATAATTCTAGAGAACGGAAGCAAGAATAAAATTACCAAAGTTATAAATTGTATGCCATGGATGTCGCTGATTGTACAAAAACTATCTATCACATTTATTATACGTATAGCATGTTATAATGAAAAGTGTTCATTACTGTATGTGCTAATAGTGTGATTAGAATATTTAATAATACCTGCGTGAGCTAAACTTAAAGCCCATAAACGTAGGTATGAAGCAGTGTTTGAAATACAACCAAGACAATATTCAATAGTATGAATAGCTTGATGCACGAAAATTTCTCCAAAGTCGAACTACAAGAAAGGCAAGTAGGTCAAAAAGATTGATCTTAGCTGCAGCAGCTACATTGAAAAGTTCAGTCTTATCTAGTAATAATGATACTAATTAAATTGATTACTTCTTCTTCTTCTTCAGGCTCTTCTTTTTGCTCATTATGCTCAACTCCTTCAGGTGGCTCTTCTGATTTTACAATTGGAGCTGTCTCTGACTATAATAATTTGTCATTGATAATAAGATTTTTTTTAATTTTAGGCTTGTAACACTGGATATGCAAAAGACACAAAATTAAGTTAGCATAAGAAGTTTCTCCTAGACAATTTAATATATCGCACTAGCAAATCATACGTACTGTGGTGTCGTAACGAACAGTGCTACCCTTAGCCGCCATGGCTTTTTGATGTTCTCGTCGTAAATACAATGGCTTAACAAGTAACATCCATGGGACAGCAACAACTGCCAATGCGACTAAAATGGGTTGCAGAACTCCCTATAATTGAGATATTATTAACATCCAATAAATAAATTCGAAATATTGATAGAGTCCTCTATTGAACTTAATTCAAAATCAGTAGCTAAACTACGATAATTGCATTATACTTTATTAATTATTACAGCTTTATAGCATTTAAATCCATTTAGATTAACTACGACATGAAATCAATTTGACATTATGCCATACGTAATAATTGCAAACTAACCTGTCCTGCATACAGTAGTGAATCTTTAGGAATTGTTGCACCAAAATTCAAAAACATGTCGATCATAGCTAACAAAATACTTGGTTGCTATATGGTCATCAAATTGAGAAAGAAAAAACAATGATTTTCACTTTAGTAAATTTCAACTAGACGTTTTCTATAGCAGTTTAATATTTTTGAATGATTGATTAGATATCAATTTTGATAATTATGTTGTACTTACGAATTCGCTATAGCAGGTAAATGCTAACCACTTGAAGAAAATTAATCCAATCATATAACCAAAGATACATCCCAAGAAAATAACCTAAAAGATGATGGTTTTAATTACCGAGTATAGAAGATATTCAATATCAATTGCACATCGATCGATCTTAACAGATGTAAATTTAGAATTTCGACTTTAAAGATTCCATTTCAATCATAGTATACGCATATCAATAGAAACTTTACGGTATTTCTATTCCTTATAGTTGAGACTAAATTAAATAATGGCGTAACATGATTTTTAATAATTATATATACCTCAGGAATGAATTCGCAGTAGATGTTAACAGTTCTTTTAAAGTACCTGAATATTGTAGAATACAGCCATATTTTAAATCAGTCATCGATTTATTAACAATACTTTCTTGTTTTGCAGTTAATTTTTATTTACTAAAATAAATAACGTCCTTACAGGTGGTTCAACAGACTCAGGACAACACCAAAGGACATTTGGAATATGCCAAGAATAACTGACATTTTCATCTTGAAGGAGTTGGTAAAGGTCAGTTTATTAACTGCTAACTGCCAGATCTAGTTTGCAAGAGATGAATAGAATTATTTAAACGCTGCTCAGAAGTAGAAATGATTGTATAGAAAGGAGTTTGGAATATACCGGATCTAAGCCCACTGGGTAAGGTGTTTGATTATGGAAAGCAGTCTTAGGGTTCAATTGAATATCGGAATGAGTTCGAACAAACTCATCGCTATAAAGTAGAAATTTTAAATAATTTTAAATAATTTTAATTGATAAGAAAATAAACCAGTTACAAATCACAAACTAATCCAATTATAACTGACCTCAAAGTCACATTGGAAAAGTACCATTGACTACCGAAAATATTCAACGAACGAGAGAACCAATCGTTATAAATTGTACCAGTGTAGATGGCACAAATTCCCATAAGTAAAATAATGTAACGACCACCAAAGACTGTATCTACCATCTAAATGGTATAATCATAGCGGAGAATGTATAATTATAATTTGAAAAATTTCTTAGGTAGTAGGGTTATGATTAGACATAATCATTTTAATATCACGGCTTATTTTAAATGCACTGGTAGTTAGAAACACTTTAATTAGAAATAAGTAGAAAATTGTGAGTAAAAAAGACGAAGGTTTGATTTGTTTTAGGATTAAGAAATTTACCTCACCACCTTTAATTTTAGCGATAGATTTTTCTTTCAAAACAAGATACAGGCCAAACAAGAACATTAATGTTCCATGACCACTATCACCGAACATGACACCGAAAAGGAAAGGGAAAGTAACAATTGCAAATGGAGCTGTGAAAATACAATTAGACGTTATTAACCTAAGTTGATACAATAAAATGCACAAGACATTTATGGATCGTCTACTTGATGATTTACTTTTTTTTACCTACCTGGATTAACTTCCTGGTAATCTGCAACACCGTAGGCATCGACGATATTTTGGAAACCATTAGTAAATTTATTGGTAATATTATATGTTGGAGGACTTTCTTTGGTTTCCATGCGATTTAAGATGGATGGTACAGTCGAGCCACTCTTTTCCTTTTTTAGTATTAATAATTTCAGTTAAAATTTCAAATGGTAGGATTATCAATAACATTTAATATCGTTAAATTTTAGCTAAATTATTCCATATTACTACACTGTAATTAAAAAATTATCATAAATACTATAGTACTTCAAAATCTCAGTTATTCTTCTTAGCTATATATTAAAACTATGGATCAATAACAACATATTATCATCGATTTCTTCCCTATAAGCATAACTAAAATTAGCTCTTACTGATCCTCTCTTAAGTGCTTGATGTATACGATCCAAGTCGTCAACTGCACACCAGCATTCAGCGATCAAACACTTATGAGTAACATCCAAGTTAAACATGTTCAATGCATGATAGATTCCCTTGATCTTCTTCACCTATAATAAGTAATGTTAGAAGAATTTTAGACACATTATCAAAAGTATATCTCTAACAAGCTATCATCTTAAGGCTCAAAATCCTACTTTAATGATCCATGGATTAATATTCTTTGCCGCAGCTCCTAACACGGTATTACGATGTTCTTTAGTTTGATTCAAGACCTATAATATAAAATTTTATAAGAGCTTATAAAAATTGAAATTATAACTGTATAATTCGGAGAAATTTGTAACTATCGAACATAAATTACCACTTGTAAATCTTCAATCCTTGTCATAACACCAATAGCCATTTCACGCCTTTCAGCAGCATTTTCTGGACAAGGATATAAAGTTGCCTTGAAACTACAAAGTAATATGAGTAAGGTATTAAATAAGTAAAGTTTCTTCTTTTTCTTAAAAACCGATAGCAATCTACAATATACTAATTTAAAACGTACCCTTCACAGATTTTCTTGATTCGCAGTCTTAATTGTTCACCTTGGAAGAAAATGATGAAGACGCATTTGATGATAGAATCACCCTAATAGCAATTCAGTAAGGATGAATTGTCAGTAATTGCGAAATGGTTTCAATTTTCATCATGTAGGTCTTCGTCCTTAACTCTAACGATATCACTGGAATATAACGATCACTCTAGTCTAGATAGTATATTTAGTGGACTTACAGTGCGGGGATCTTCAAGAGGTGTTTCAATTTCAGCAGTTCTTAAAAAGACATTACCGCGGCAAGCTCGCCATAACAGGCGTTCAAAGCCTGGTAAGGACTCTCGTTGGATTACACCTGTCACGAATCTATAATTTGTAAACAGAGTCTGAGATCAATAACTTGTATAATAACAGACAGGTATTTTAGTTTATTAACCAAGGATTGGAAACAAACAAACTTTAAAAGGTAGCAAGTATTATTGCAATCATTGTAATGATTACTTACGAGAGTCTTTTGGCGGCTTGAATAGTTTTACCTTCTTCAGCTAGTAAAGCTTGCTGGTCATCATTATTGGGCTGATCAGCAGTGATCTGATTATTTTCGACCTACATAGTATATGTTTGTACCATAATTTGAGTATTATAGTCGTAATTTTAAAAAATAAAACTTAGCATAGTATAAGTATTCAAAATTTCCTAAGTAAATATCTCGTTTATGAAGTAGTTATTTTCAGGTATGTCTAACCTCGTCGAAAAATGTTTGCGTCTTTCGCAAGATGAACTTTAATTCAGTCAATTCAAGGAAATTCTTGTTAAGTGCTTCCTGATTGGAATTGATTTCTTTCATTTCATTTTCCAGTTGTTCGAATGTTGACTAAATGTCAAGAGGATTACAATTTTATCAATACATAATATAAGTTACAATTATTAGCTGTAGATTGAAATGATAAGCCGCTTTATCGCAAGTAAAGTAGATTTATCTTCATTTTCTTCTTGCATCGAGTAGCAAGTAAATAATAAGACTAAATTCTTTACTGGTAACGAAAATTTCAACATTATTCAATCACTGATTAATAATTTCTTATAAATTTAAGTCAAAACTTAAATAGGGATTACTTCTAAGTCGATCATTTCGCGTGGTGGTGGAGCATCAGGAATATCCCCGGTGTCAACCATTGGAATAGATGCACGCTCAATTTCTTTGTATACGAAACCTATAAAATTTGCATAGATCAGTTAGATCTACTTGTATCATATAAATAATTTCCTAAACTAAAAATTATAAATACTGTACAATAACGACTATAACCTAAAGTACTCTTGCAAGGTATATTAACTGCAGATCATTTCTTTCTTATTTTATAACTACAATAGACATACGTAATTTTCTCTCCATTTCTTCACATCTTCGTACTTCATTGACAAATTTACGTTGAAAGATATTGACATCAGGATTGAGCTAATGTAAGGAGAGTCATATTAGATCAAAGGCTGTAGTATGATTTTATCTTAAATAGAATTAGATTAGATAAGATTCCATTGTAAATTTGTCTTGTCTGCTAATGGCTAACTTACATCGCGAAATTGGACAAGACCCTAAATAAATCCAAGAAAAACGATCCATTTAAACTTCATTTTAGTAAAAAATTATATGCCATATGTCCTTGGCACCTTTAGTTTAACTATACTGTAGAGTGCTGTAAGAGGTGTACTAAAAATTGGTTTTTACTTTAAAATACGATGAAACATTTATTATATAATTAATATTTTTAGATATGGAAAGACATGGTTATAACGTCAGTAAGGATTAATTTCAATTATAATTAACAGAGGATTTTATTGCAAGAAGATCAAGTTGATGTACCACTTCTACTAAGATCAGCATAGTCATATGTCTGAAAATATTTACAGTAATTGCTATCAAAGGTTTGCCTTCATTTGGCAGGTTGTTAAATCTATGTGATCTAAACTAATTCTTACCAATTCACCCAATTCGCTAACACAGGCATAAGCTGCTTCAGATTGTAGGAAAAGCTGACATAATGTCATTGCTTCTGAACGGAATAGGCTACCCATTTTGTAATTTTGAGCTTCTTTATCGACAGAAACGGATTGGACTAATTCTCGACAGAATGGGTATAACTATTCTAAGATGAAAATGTCAGTATTGTAAGTGTCTATGAATGGAGTAAGATAGTATTTAATACAAAATTTAATCGATAATATTGATTTCTTATCACATGATTGCTGCATGTGTATGACATATGGTGTTTTGATGCAATATGGTATAGCACATTTTCTATTATGGATATTTGAGCGTATGTCGCATATCCCCTTTTGGAATACCCGACTGTATATGATACATCTATGATTCATTCGCTATGATTTCATGGTTGATTACCAATAAGAAACGATTGAAGATGAGATATTAATTAATGCCAACTTTAATGTTGCAACAATTTTTAATAGCATCTTCTCAACAAGTATACTACTGTATAATTAAGCCTAATAAATATTTATAATAAATGGTGAAATAATATGCTGTAGATGTATCATAGCCATATTGTAATCCTATGGTAACGGTGGATCATAGGATGTTATTGACATAAATACGTATTAATTACAATTAGCAGCGATTTTCTACTAAGAGTATTAATACTGTATCTTAATTACACAGACAGCAAAATTGTTACTAACTGATATTTAGATCAAAATAGAAATATACATGTAAATGGTATAGGAACATAGTCAGTGATTTTCAGTGAAATTCATGTTGTGATGGACGTGGCTCTTATCGGCTATAGTGTTATGTTGACACAGTAATATATTCCTGATCAGGATAGGAATAGTTTTATTTTTTATTCTGCTATTCAATTCTCAATATCCAGATTGCAGGTGCTCTGGAGTATGTGATTTTAATAAGGAGCTTGACGATGGTAAAGGCGGACGGTCTTCTAAGGTTGTTGTAATTATAATTATCACTTCGCGAATAATTAATAATAGATAACTCGAATAACTAGATTCCGTCCCAATATGCAATCATACGTGTATGTACGTCCTTCTTCTTTAATTTCAATGATTACATTACTCTCATATTATAATATCCATTAATAACAGGCTTATTGAATAAGTGCTTAAAAGGTATCATTATAGTAGTTACTCGTATACTTTCGATCAATCATTCAGGTTTTCTGCTGTTGCGGAGTAACAGCTTTACATATTTACGTATAGGTATTTCATGGGATAAGTTTAATAAGGGGAAGGAGAGGGAATACGCTTATCTTTTATATTTTTCGAGGTTATCAGAATATATCCCACTCATGGATTTTGTTCATGGATAAGTTACGGTCTAACTTAAGAGCATGTCATACAATTTTATTATGCAGTACATGATAATTTCATGATCTGACATCCGCCTAAAACTAAACAAGAAATGGTACTGTCATATTACAATCATGAGCTATTGAGCGATGTCAAGTTATAATCTTTCTTGGCTACTTGTGATTTCTGGAAGTACATTAGCCGATATATTGCATTACAGCCTGAATGAAGAGTATAACGCGTAATATTACTTAATTAATGCATATATTACATGCATCGTTATTGTTCATCAGCGGATACTGTTACTGCTCTACTCGTAAAAGTTAAGATCCGCTTGCTATTATTGTGGTAAGGTGTCTTTATTGCGCAAAATGTGTAATTTGCAGAGCTAGTGCTGCGATGATACATTCAATGACTTACAACTGTAATTATGTAATAATAATAATATTATTAGTGATTGATTGCTTTATACTTGTATATATACGGTGTGGTATAATACGTAGCATTAAGTTTTCTTGAATGACTCTAGCAGATATAATAAAAATGGTTCATCGTCAGAAATAATCTTTAAATAACAAAGCAGTCTAAAAGAGTATAGGTTACTTAAAAAAAAGGGCAACAAATCGCTGTGTAACTTTTCTATATCCGATGAAAGCGAAATCATATGTAACAACGGATCATGCCTAAAAAATGCAATCTATGAGCATGTGGTAAGGTTATTGCTTCTTAGTTATTCTGATGTTGCTTTTGCCAATCCAGGAAACAGTAAAAATCATGTGCAACACTGGATGATGATGATATTCTAGAATTGTTGTAACTGACAAATGTAGTATAGGAGAACGAAATAAGGCAATTTACTATCTCTCGATTCTAATTACAAGCACTTGGTTCAGTAAATCTTTAATTTCGACTCTTCGAATGTTAATGCAGTACTAAAAATCACGTACGAATTATAATTTATTAATTCATAAACAGAACTTTATTTTTGGTTCAGATAAATTGCTCTTATTCTATATAATTTTACAATACGAAAGCAACACGGACTTGCAAGGTACAGTTTAACCTATTTGTAGGGACTCTACTGTGTATCTCCGTGATTAATTCATTAATCAGATTGGATTGCCAGGATATTACAGTTACGACGGATATTAAAGCATCTTTAAAATAAAAATGACCAGGAAAATTTATCAATATGCATTACGTATAAAACAACTCTCGGTTTCAATCGTGACTTATCCGAACTGTTATAAGTAATAAAAATAGTAAACTACTTAATGTCTGCATTATCCATGTTAGAAGATCCAAAATTATACATACATTAATTTTTCTCGAATATCCTTCTTATATGAATATTAATACAGTAGAATAAAGTAGCTTCATCAATAGGGTCTCGGAGAGCCTTAACTAAAAATTAAGAATTTTAGTCAATAGCAAGGTGTTATGCAGCTTCAGTGTTTTCAGTGTGACAATATCAAAGCGAAATTGACATTTTGTGTTCAATTCATATTGGATATTGCCAAATTAAATCAGCATTTTCTCGTTCTTCCTTCGAGGGTTTTCTATAATATTTACGATGACGACATATGTAATAGAATTCATTCGATTCAGAGCGACTAGCTGCAGGTTTGAATTCGTTAATTCTGTGATAATTCTGTTTTAGCATATCTTTAAATAGTCCTTCATCAGAACCATGGAACATTTTGCATATAAAGGTTCCATTATAAACTAAGTTAGCAAATGTAAATTTTAATGCACATAGAGCCTGCGTCATAATTGCTTGATGATCGAATTTAGGTGATCCTGCCACATTAGGTGACATGTCGCTCATGATTACATCTGCTTTTGAGTTTACGAGCATGTTTTGGATGAAGGTATGCGTGCTAGGTACGCCAAAGTCCATATGATCGAAAATCATGGCTTCACCAACTGATTTCATGCCACGTATATCTACTGCCATGACAAGACCCCCTGTAATAAGTTGTATGCCAATGATTAGTATAATAATTTATAGCTTATCGATAATGGATGCATACATGAAGAGCAGTAAGATGGCTATTAGAGACGAATATTAGCTATGTACAGTATATAACTTTGCAAAGTCTATTCTACATCGGTGCTGGCGTGCTGTACGTCTACGAAGATTTTTAACACTGTATCACTCAGAGTGCTGAGTCAAATTATTATATGGCAATGGTTAGTATCATGATTTATGGTCTACAGGTAGCATCATATACAAAGAACACCAAGATGTTTATTAGAGACGACTACTAGCTGTATACATAGCTTTAACTTTAACAAGTCTATTTTTTATTCTACTGCATATCAGCGTTGGTGTACTTCTGCGAAGATTTTGATTCTGCATCACCAGTTCTACATGTATATGAGTACATGAATAATGAAAATTTATTTATTCTATGCCACAACCTTAGAGTCATATTTCATAAGTTTGTACAGCAACTTATTGGTACTATACTATCATATGCAAAGAGCACCAAGGTGCTATCAGAGTACAGTATATCAGAGGTAAAATAAATACTACTAACGGTAGATATAATTTTACAAAGTCTATTTTTATTCTATATCAGTATTGGTATGTATCTGTGGACATTTGAACTTACTAATTCTACGCATAGAAGAGAGGATGAATAACGAAAGCTCAGTGAGGTATTATCACACTTACTCTTTCCAGTTTTATCTAAAGCAACTTGAGTCCATGATCCAGGGCTAGCTCCAATATCAATCACGATATCGCCTTTTTTAAATATTTTAAATTTCTTGTCCATTTCTAATAATTTAAAAGCGCTGCGAGATCGGTAACCCAGTTCCATTGCCTTTTTAACGTAGGGATCGTCACGTTGTCGACGAAGCCAACGACTGGAGGATGATTTTCTTCCTCTGGCATAGAATCGAGCAGACAAGATAGCTCGCCTACCTTGGTAATTCCATTTGTTCCAACATGTCAGATCAATCAACTGTGTTATCGAGGCACGAATTCCTTGCTGCATTACGTTCATGATTTCCTTCTTTCCAATTATTATAACTACCTTGCAACAATTCGACCTAGAACTGATATCGCTAGCGATTCAACATCAATTTCAATAGTTTTGTTAGCCTAGCATCGACTTGGATACAGTCCAGTACAACAATTAAATAAAGTACAGAGAAATCGTACAAGGTCTATTCGCAGGCGTCCCTACTAGCTCCAATTACCAACTGGAGAGATTAGAGGATACTATCTAGCACAGATTAGGATTCCTAGCTCGAAAACACTTCTCTAATTTTGCGAGTGTTTTAAGGGATGAGCTATGCGTTTATGCCGCTGGTTAGATCTAAGATTTATTTCAATTGCGCATGTCCGTATATCAGTCAAAATTTACTATGGCGAAGAAGTTACCTAAAGCTTCTCTCTTTCAATTGAATCAATTTAATTTTTATACCGTACCTATCCATGTCAAAACTTCTACTTAACGTACCATCAATATGGCCCTTTTTAAGATTGCATAGGCTAGATTTTCATACATGGCTCACGGAGTATGCAGTAAACATTAAAGACTTGCGCATTCATATATGAGTACAGTACGCGTATAAACTACTAATAGGCTGTGGGTATTTGAATGGAGTCCGTTCGATCTGCATACCAGATTTATAAATATCAAAGACTTTTACCTAAGATACTGTACATTCGAGCTTTGTAAAAGGTATGTAAAATGTGCAATACGTCTTATAATGTGCATTCTTGATCAATATTCGAGTAGGAGTGCTACTGATGGTAAATGTAGAATGATTTTCAGAGCAGCCTACGACGGTATTTAAAAAATAACAAAGTTACGATTACTGTACACCTGATGCGCTTCGTGTTTCCTATAATTAACGAGAATGGCTTTTAATAAATAATTTATTTAAACAGCTGTATTAACAGCAAGTACCAATATATACTTAGTTCTTACTGTGTACGCTCCGCGTTTCGTACAGTAATGAAATATAATTATAATTGCAGAGAAGATCAAGTTCAGATCTTACATGTACATTGCGAGATAGGCATAGTATACAACTGTATATAATATTCCTTATTTTGTTCATATAAAACATTCGTTTATACCGCAAAAGCATATGGTTCATGATTTAAGAGACTATACTAACTAAACAGAGTAACATAGGTATACGCGTGTACCATATCATTTCCGTCACACGAAATTTAGAGATACAAGCAATATGAGTTCTTGTAAATATCCATTAATTTAAGGATATATATATATATATATTAATATACAATAACAATTTTCTTCTATTGCGAGTATATTCATTCAATTACTTATTAGAGATTACACTTAAAAGCAGTCATATCGATATAAAATCAATTTCTATCATTCATTCATTCGGACGATAACATACATTTTTTTTATAGAAAATTTTATCAGTCAAGCTTAAAATATATTCAGTGCGAAAACTATAGATCTCAATTTCTAGTTAAATTAGCACAAGGTATATGCAGTTCCATAAGAATTTTACAGCAATAATCAGTTCGTGTACAGAACAGTTGTAATCTACAGCTTTAGTACATGAAACGAAATCTATATTAAAAGATTGTGCCGAAACCCATAATAAGCACTTTCGTTTTTGTAAACCACGCGGAGACGAGGTAGCATTATTACTGTGGGCATGTCCAATCGCCACTTAAATTACCAAATTTATACCGTTGCGTTGCGGCTTCACTGAATACGGGAATGACTTCATTTGCATTGACTGAAAATCGCTACACAATTTTTAAAAGATTATGTTAGAATGTACGCTACCGTAGAAATCTATGAAGTATTGAAATATACGTATAAAGACTAGACTGCAGTGTCGGATATGATGAATATAGACAGTTGATTATCTATCCGCAGTTTACTTTAAAATTAGCTTTCTTTTTTTAAGACATTAGCCAAGTAATATTCTAAAGCTTACACTAAATATCGTATTATACTCACCTTTAAGTATATATAAGCATCCATCCCATAACCTTCTAAAGGAGATAGTTTTAAATCACCGTTTAAATACCTAGCATAAAGCCGTGATAATGGCAGTCCATAACCATAACCCGCCTTTAGATAAATAATCAATTAAAAATTATAAATTTACATCATCTTCAACGATTCCAGTCTCATTTACAAAGAATTTACACAATTTTTAGTTACCATAGGAGAAATAGATTCACTGCGTTCGGCATCAAACAATGATTGCTGTATTGGGCATAAATATAAATATAAATATACAATCAGTTTACCGCTATTCTAAGATTTTAATACCAACATTATAAGGTTCGACTATAACAGCTTCGAATAAAGAAAATATTCATGAACAGTTAATTACCTGTGGATCTGGAGCCGTGGAATACATATAACTAAATACAACATCTAATTTATTTAATGGAACGCCACCACCTCTGTCAACAACCTAAAAGAATGAAATTTTACAGATGAAATATGTGCATGCCAATAGCTATCATCACAAATGCAAGAATAAAAACGCTGCAAACAGTTAGTTTTCTAATTTTACTTACTCTAATCACTATATCTTCTTTTCCTGCGGTAATAATAACTTTAATCGGAGGCAATTCAGAATAACCCTCAATATGTTTTTCAACCGTTGCTCTCATCGAATTCTGCAAAGAGAAATCAAAAATAAGAATTGTTCTTCACTACGAGAATAATAAGAAAATTTTATTATCTCGTATGATATCATACCTTTAATAACTCGAAAACCATATAATGTAGTTGAGATGGTATATAGCATATGGTTACAGGTGATAAGTTCCCAGCAGCTATTAAAGAAAGCATTAACTTAATTCATTTGTACTACACTATCAGTTAAATAGTAAAGAAATAAAATACGGATATCAATACCATTATGTTCTTCAATTTCGACTTTAGGAGCAGCCATATAATATTGATCGCATAATGAGCTCGCATCTTCAGCAGCACCTATTGAAAGTTATAACATTAATTCCTGGTCCTGACTTTAAAGTATTGGAAAGTTTAAAAATAGAATAGTCAGTCTATGGACATACTTTCAACTATTTTCATTACACTGCAGTTGGGATTAATGCATCCAATGTGCCTTTTAAAGGGCTCTTCATCTCCGAACAGCGTTAAATGTTGCGTAATTAACAGTCTCATACTTGTACGATTAATATAGAATCGATCTGTAACATGACATTATCAGTTCAAAATTAATTGGATAGCAATTCGTTTCAGATGTTATAGCAGTGTATTTAAGCAATACCCAAGAAATATTGTAACGACGAGTGATCCAAACTATGATTCTTTACAACTGTCTTCAATTCCATAATACCCTATACGTATAGTACAAAGTAAATCAATGTGGGTAAGCAATCATTTAAATTTATTTACTGTCAATTTTTAAAATATTTTGAATCGACGTTGATAAAAGCTGTAGGCTACTTGTACATACTTTGGCCATGGTTTCTATAACAGTGCTATGGCGTTGATTGATGTTATGGATTAAATCAGTAAACTTATCTACCATACAGTCGCTGTCATTATCTGCGTTTTTCTCTCGAAATTCAATTAGTTCCGATAAGCTTTGAGAATACCTAATTGATCACAAATTGCAGCAACTATTAATAACTTGTAACAATGGAAGACGAACATGAAATAATTTGGAAATCAAAATTGCAACGTGATTATGTGAACCAAGTGGAAAGGTCAGTTTAAATACTACTGTATATAGGTAATTTATCGGAAAGGATTAGAATTAAGCTTGTTGCAATATGTGATGTAACTGAAGTAGGAAGCTGTACTGTTATGATAATCGTTCTAAAATTGTGTGGTTTTTATAGTACAAGAGGTGCAGAAGACTAAAAGTTGTGTACAACCTTATCCTAGGCACAGTAGATGACTACAAAAAATATACTCGTATGGCAGTACTTACCAGCCGTTTAAAGTTTGAACCGAAGGCATTTCCATAAGTATATTGGGCAAGTGGTGAAGCTCCTTCATAATGTGTGCAAGCCTAATAGGCAGCTCACATCTTAAATATCGATAGGAATCCTGACTTGTGGCCGTTCGACCTTTCATCATCATAATAAATAACAAAATTAGTCCTTCTGTAAGAACAGGTTCACACGAAGTCATTCAAGTTTAGTCTACAAACTATACAATACGTATATATTTGATATTAATACTAATAAATATGCTCATTGTGCGGTGACAGTAACATAGTAAAGTAAAAAAGTACAAGTACACGAAGTTTAACGAGCGAGGGATGGACTATTTTTTGCGATCGATGAGAAAGAATATATTTATCGTTCAATTATACTCATATGTGCCATTAGTGTTATGCAAGCGACGATATTGTAGTATGGACAGTAATAAAGGTGGGTAATTGCGTATTTTACAGTTTCCTGTATAGCAAAATAAAAATCTTGCGACCAGCTAGTTTACCTTACTACAGTATTATAGCTATACAGTATTGTAAGTTGTACGCAACGTTGCATTCATCTTTCAAATTTTGAAATAATAACTCAGTGTGTTTCTAAGGGATAAAATAACTTTTCAGCGAATGGAAAAAATGATGTTAATCTCAAGACACGTTGTTTGACGTCGATGTGTTTAATAAATTAGCGATACGAGGGTGATTAATTGATGATAAGGGCGATACGCTACGCGTATAGCGACCGATAGTTTTTTATGGGCATTTTGATCGAAAAATAGCCTTTAAACTATTCAAGATGCAGTACACGTATAGTATCCATAGTGGTGAGTTAAAATAGGCAATGCATTAACGTGTCGATCTTCAACCGAATTGTGCGTAGAGCCTTTTCGATATTTGCCTTTGCACACTGTACAGAATTACACGGTAACAAATTTATTTATTTATCTATTTTTATGTAAACTTCTTCTCGTACGCTAAATTCACCTCTATCGTATCTATTGGATGACTAATTTTAAATATTTAATCAAAGTATAGGAAAAAAAAAATTCTTTTACTTATACCGTTCTAGATTTTAAGTAAAGGGCAACCATCGGCTGATATAATTGAGCCAACCTAATTAACATAACGACTGTGGTGATTTAACGTATTACGATCCAAAATAAAGCAAAGGAATAAAAATATTTTACAGGTAATTTTGAAGTTATTGGGTGAGAACGCTAGTGGCCAAACCTACCGTACGTTACGCTTTGCGAATACTTTAATTAATACTGGATATTTTACTACCGTAAATGCTATTGGGCTGACCGTTTGAAATCATTTCATCGATCGGTTGGAAATTCTATCCGCTAATTTAATATACTGTAGATGTAAAAACGACAGGCATAACCACCTGATAATAGGCGTTGTGCAGGAGTCTAACTACTTGTAGGCGGATTTGAGTAAAATTCTTTCCTCAACTCACTGTCCACTTCTGTAAAACAATTGCAAAATAAGCAATCCTTTTCGATCTTACAGAATAACTTTTTATTGATTGGCAAGAATATTGATGTAAAGTACTTTGACATTGGAGAAGTAACTACTATTCATTGGCAATAATTAATAATGTAAGGTACAGTACTGTAGTTTAAGTGATGGATGCCGATCTGTAAGATGATATGTATCGAGCAAGACGTTCCTAAGCTAAAATCGTTGCTATTGATGTTGCTAGCAGGCTGAACGGGTATACTTGGTGTGGATAAGTAACTCTATTTGTAGTGTACAGAAGGATGCCTAGTGAAATAACTGGCTGACTACGAATTACGACTTGCAAAGCATGACTACATGTATCGCTGTAGCATGTTTAGTCAAGACTGAAGATGAGATCTCTGCATAGTATAGAGCTGAAGTTATTTCAAATTGAATCATGCTAGACGAAGATATTGAACTTACCGAAATCCATCAATTGGCGAATGGATAAAGGCGAAGGTGAATATTTCCAGTAGCGATTAATATAGGTAGTAACTTCTTGAGAAGCCACTTTGAACGCTTGTTGAGCCATGGTAGGTGTACTGGTGGGTGTTGTACTAATGAATAATTAGTACGGTAAAAGATTGGAGCAATTTCCTATCCAATTTCAACTATCTGAAGTCACTACTCGTCACGGATTAGCAATGGTAAGCTTCAATGAAGGCTTGAAAGTACCAGTAGTCGATTGGAGTGGATGTTTTTGGGCAAATTTGCTGATGATTGATTTGCAATTACTATTTCCAGCTTATCCTTGAATGATAAACTTACGTCTGTATGTCTGTAATATTGCACTACTTGAGCCTTGAGGTGGTTGATTGCGGGTGTTTTCCTATTCGTGTATTCAGTATAGACTTGCTTTGACGATGGATCTACTTCACATGCGCGATGGCAATAAAGAATGAATTGTACAGCGCCCACACCAGTATTTATAAAGTTGGTGGCCATCACGTGGTCTAGAAACTTCTGGTCCATTTGGAACTGAACTTGCGTACTATAGTGCACTTGCGCAATGTCAACCATGGTTATTGTTTGCAAAGATAAAAGAAAAGAACCTTTTATCTCTCCAGTGACCCTTCCATGTACGTCACAAAAACGAGGGTGAGACCAGGGTGGTGTGTTGGAGGTTTGCCCATCAATGATAAGCCGGCCAGAAAGGCGATTGGCAGACATTCAATTGACGTTCAATGCCGCAGTACAATCAGAGTCCAGTCCAGTCCAATCATGACGCAATACGTACAATACAATGATTTGGACTACTGGACTAGAAATTACCAGTAGCGTTGACGTCCAACGTGAGCACGTACATCTGAACGATTTTCGTCGTAGCCATGATCTATATTTAGTGCAATCAAGGTGTGCAGGTGTACTCGTTTTCTGGTTATTCTACTTTGTATAGCACGAAAAGTGCACAGTATAAAACCAATCAATCAAGGGAGCAGCTATTGAGTAACTTGTAAGGAGAGACGAAACCTTTTAGTACTGTCTAAAAACTATAACTATACTGTACTGTACAGTACAGTACAGTATACTGTACTGTAGTTATAGTTTGTACATGTACAGTACAGTACTGTACTGTAGACCTACAGTACTGTACTGTACATTGTACAGTAGAGGTCAATTTATCTTAGTACTGTACTGTACTGTACAGACTGTACAAATAAGGAGATTACTGTACTGTATACTGTCCAGTGTCCAGTACAGTACAGACGTACAGTACAGTAGAACATTGTGAACTCCTAAAACTTTCGCACTTGTAGTAGATCCCTTTATCAAAGGAATTTCACCATCTTTAAAATTAAAAATTATTGCCTGCAATCATCTCATCTACATTTTTATCAAGCTTCACTTCAACATCTTGAGGAAAACTATCTTTTATCTGACAATGTCTGCAAATGGCCAAGGACTTGTACAGTACAACTGCAGATCACTGTGGATTGTACATTGTACGATACGGTAGCGCCACACCTAAAACCAGCATCGAGTTTTGACCTTTTGTGGGTGACCTTACCAGACGGACAGATTTCGGAATTCTACTTCCATGACGGGGTTTAGTCATTCAGAACGACTAACGACTAGGACAGAGCACGTTCGAGTATGCAGCACTATAGAACCAAACCTTCGACAGGTGTAAGTATAGTGAGTAGTGTCTAGGCTTGCGCTATTGCCTTGCCTACTGTCATCGTTCTCCTCTCTTGTTCTTCCTTCTTGCCCCCGATGTAAGGTAGTGGAAAAGAAGCTTTTACGTACAAGTAGGTTGCGATTGCGGTATTGATTATTCCGCGCATCGTCGATGATTCGACAATCCCTGGCATAACCTTGTTAACTCTTTCGTGCAAACTTGAATTCGACTCTACTACAGTGATGTATGTGTCAGCAGTAGTCAAGCTTGAATATTGTTGTTGTTGTAGACGTGAAAACAAAATTGTTACTAATTGCATCATCATTTTCCACACTGACAGCTCCAGTTGAATCCATTTCAAGTGGAACTGCATCGGCTTCCAATTCCAATTCATTGATAGGACGCTCAATTTATACATTGATGGCTGCTCAAATTCGTCAACGAAGCGCTGATGTCATTAAATACATCAATCGCTACAGTCAGTATACACCGTTGTCGCTTTCCATTAAACAACTGATGGATTTTGGTAAGTTGATAGCAATCTATTTGAAATACTGTCATGATGATGGACTTGATCCTCATTACATGCGTATACTAGTAATAGAGCATTGACAAAGCATCTACACTACTGGAAGATGATATTAGCATCACAACCCAAACAATATTTTACAGCCTAGGTCAATACAGGTAGTCCATCATACTGGATACTACGACAGTCACATATTTATTTATTCTACAATAGGCTTAGCGTTGCCTTATTATTTCTCTCAAATTATCACTACAGGATTAAATATATATCCTCACTGAGTCAAAGAATCAAATCGAATAAAAATGAAATGAATAAGATTGATTGGCATTGAGTAAAAAGTCAATAATCTGATGATGCACTGTTGAATAGCGACAGTACTCTACCATATACATTGTGCAGTATACATGCCGGGAAAGGCCAACAATATTGCCACCAATTACATTGACTGATGACTAGTAAATCCGTAACATCACCTATATCGATTAGGTAATTAATTCATCAATCAGAATCAACTATCAACAGACAGGCTCAAGCTTGCTAGGCATAAGCACGAACGATAGTCTTTCCAACCGTTGCACAGATTTGATTCCACACTACTCTGCAATTTTTAGCAATAGATATAGTGCAATTATCAATAAAGTCTAATAATCAATATATCATTCCTGTTTGACTACAACTATGGTCCATGGGCGTCGTTGATTCATTTGGTTTGTCATATCGCATTGTAGTATTGGAAATCAATGGCGATGTCAATTCTTTTGCAACCATAGTACAGTATATTGTATTGTGGAGCAGCACACCGCATTGTCAACTTGTAGTAATTTTTGCACCTATTCTCGCCATGTTATTGTCGGATTCTATAGTATCTTAACGCTAAATTTCAACCCATAAAATCAATATCCATCGATTCATCATTATTAAATGAAATAATCACTAAAAATATTGGTAACAGGTTGACGTGATGAATAGGATGTCCTAAAACTTTCATTTTTTTTAATTTACGATAATTATCTTATCCTTGATGACGTAAAAGCACGCCTCATCAATTGAAAAATTGTTTTTGTATATGGCACCCGAGAGTAGGTTTTATTTAGAATCACTACCATTGGTAAATTGCTGTAGATGTATAGCATTATCCCTTACAATTCATGACTGACATCCACTTAGAATAACTGTAATTATAACCATAAATTAGTGAATACTACTTTGTTGTCTAACGACGATATTTGTTATTTAATTATTGACCGTTGATTAAATGGTTCTATCAAAAATAGTTTTGCCCAATGTAAACAAATAATTCTATCAGTACATCGGTAGATCGCAGATACAACTATCCTTATTTTCAAACACTATATTATTGAATTCAATGGATTTGTTATTTACTAGATCCACAATATCGCTAATTGAAGATGTCATAAATTTAACCTCCAAGTAATCAATTGATATTTTCCAAATGGAGAGAAAATTCAATTTTCGATAGCACTCTTAACTTAATCATAGTCTTTACTTTGATCGCGAGAGTAATCTAAATGAATAATTTTAGCATGCATACAAGAATCATAATTCAGCCTATAGGGGTTACAGCAAGTGCTGAAAATGATTTCCTACTTGACTGTACAGTTAATTTTTCTCAACAACCGCAGCTTCCGTTTTACTTTCCTTTATTTATTTCTATTTCATTGATAAATTTACTTTATTTTGTTACATGCGGTTACAAGCTATGAATACAGTCGAGAATTATAGTTACTGTATAATCACATCGATGAATTACTCTATGATAGCGTTGTATTTGATCAGACACCATAGTCGCTTCTCATGTTGTAGTCGCATTTGTATACCGTATTGTATGTACACATTAGTGTACTGTATATTCACGCATGACATGGAATATCTTCAGCCATATCAAATTATTCAATCCAAATACGCTAAAATGGGATTTAAAAGTAATTGAGGAGACGAAAAAGGATTAATCAAATCGCTGCACACGATAGCTGTCACAATTTAAGTATTGGTTTGTCATTGTAGTATGTAAAATAGCTTGCAGGCCATTTTTACTAACTGTAAATAAAAATAAAACAATATTGAATGAAGATGAAAAGGATTAGACTCATTTCTGTATAAGATAGTTAATTCACATTTTCGAATAGCTATAGTCAGCATAAGTTGAATGTTGACTTGCCATTACGCAAAATAGGTTGTCAGTCACTTTTTCCGATAATTATAATCATTCAGTAACAATATCGCTAGCCAAAAGAGATCACTATCCCTTTCATTACAGTAAAAATAGGTTCTAATGCAATTGGAACGGTAACTTGGCATCATCCATGTATGAAAACTTATTTGCTAAAAACGTCCTTGCGTTGTAGTGTATTTATTTTAACATTTCAATTTGAAGCCTGTGTAATATTTGGATCGTAACACTTTCATCCTACGGCTTTAATGGAATGGAATTATTCATCAAGTAATTAAATTTACTACTTTTATATTTTATATTAATCAAATTTAAATATAACATAAACGAATTAGGTCGTCATGGCTCAATCCTTAATTCATATAAGTTCTTGAGTTCCGAACTCCCTATAAGGTTGGCGCATATTATGAAGGAATTGCGTTATTTGCCTGTTGGATTATTAGATATGCCGTCGGTGCAAAGAGTTGATAATTGGTAATTAAATAAAAAAAGTTTCAATCATTGTTTCACGTGATTTAGAATTGTTGAGGTTTTACTTGTTAAGCAACTTAATCAACTTAACTATAGCTACAGTAGGGTTCAATATGATACCTACTCGTACAGAATTAGCTGATATGCAGAATGTAATCCTTGTGTGTGGTATCAATGATGAGTACATGTTATTTTTTATAGGTACGCAACTAGTTTAATCGAGTTAATCGATTTTAGAGACCAGCACAAAGGTAAATCCTGTGAAGTGACTGCTAAGAATTTTACGAATTTGGTAGCAAACATCAGACAGCGCCATAATAGCGTAGTAGAAACAATGGCGCAGGTAAATATCTCTACGTATACTGTAAACATATATCTAATTTTTTTCTTAATTGATTTTTACTATGACGGTTACAGTTTACTGCATTAAGGAAATGTATAACAATCGCTTACTTTAGGGCATTATAGAATTGAAGCTTGCTAAGAAAGACTATAATTTAGATCAACATCGTTTACAATATTTTTTAGGTAAGTTTATTATACTCTGATCATTTTTTTGTATTGTTTTGTCGTCTCCTTGTACTTACGAGCTTTAATAGTAAATTTCCATAATATCCTTATATTGTAGATCGCTTCTATACCAACAGAATGAGTATTAGATTATTAATTACGCAACACAACATGCTATTCGGTGAAGAGAATGCAGAAAAAAAGCATATTGGCTGCATTGATCCGTCTTGTAATTTATCAGAAATTGTTGCAAGTAATATTTTGTTACAAATTATCCAATCAGACTATTTTAATAATTGAACGTATAGCTCGTTTATAAATCTAATAAGTATTGACTATTTGATTATTTTAAAATTGCAGGTGCAGTTAATAATGCTAGCGAATTATGCGATCAATATTATATGGTTGTTCCACCAGTTGATATTAACGAAGCTAACGGTAATTAATTATAAATTATTGGCTAGTATTTTTTAAAGTGCATCATGCAGATTTCCATAAGTACGGATCACCAGCTCTATCGGTATCATTAACGCGCATAACCATACTATGAAAATCAAATATTTTCTTACTCTGTATATAGCCGTAGAACCTGGTAGTGGTGTTGATATATGTTACATTCCATCTCATTTGCATTACATGGTGTTTGAACTATTAAAGGTTTGAAATATATTAACGATTTTTTTACGTCTACTCTCACGTGTAAAAGTATGAGCGAATTCTAAAGGCTGCACTATCTTATATATTTGCGTAGAATTCTATGAGAGCAGTAGTTGAAAATCATCAAAATAATCTCAACTTACCTCCAATTCAAGTTACTATCACCAAAGGCGAAGAAGACATTCTTATTAGGGTACTGTAGTGCTTAAAATTGAGTAATTAAGTTTGTAATTGTTTGATATGCCAATACTCCATTAACTATAGTACTACCGGGATGGGATATGCGGACTTTATTTATGCTAAAAATTCAAATTTTTTCTTTAGATCTGTGATAGAGGAGGGGGTATCCCAATCTCAAAATTAGAAGACATTTACAGTTACATGTACTCAACCGCACCTCAAGTAAGACTTGAATAGTTCAGTAGTCTGATAATTAATTATACTGTATAATCAAAATAAATACTCAAATACTGCTGCATTAATCTTAAATTAGCCGCCATCACTGGATTTGGTTGCAAGGTCAGAAACAGTAACGCCGCTTGTAAGTTTGTTAATAACATGAACCACAATTAGATAATAAAATTGATGCTCTTCTGCAATCCCTAACCAATTTAATTTGCTAAGTATTCAAATAATAAACTATCGTTTGTTTACTTATGGTATGTCCTTTAACTCGCTTAATTTAGGCTGGCTTTGGTGTTGGCCTGCCATTATCTCGCTTGTATGCTAGGTATTTAAACGGAGATTTAAAGCTTTCCCCCTTGGAGGGTTATGGTATGGATGCATATATTTATCTAAAGGTACTAATTATTTCTCTAACAAATGATTGTCAATCTACTGTAAAATCTAATCGGTATAGAATCTACGCATGTAGGACATTTCAGATAATATTCAGAAATTGATGATATCATATTTATAAAGTCAATTTAATTTGCAGCGATTTTCTGTGAAAGCCAATGAAGTTCTACCGGTATTTGGCGAAGCAGCATCTCAGCAATATCGTGTTAGAGGATTGAGTGGAGACTGGACCGCATCAGCGAGTAATCGCAAAGACAAAAGTGGATAATCTTGAGAATCGTTAACTGCGTATAATCATCATCAATTTGGATGGTATAGTTAATATCATATGCAATTATTGTTCATGCTGATAGCACACATTTTTGGGACTCGAAGGCTAATATTTTGATACACAGATTGAAAAAATGGCGCATATATAATAATTACGTAATAAATCTGCCATATTTGATATATCAAACAAGGAAATGATTACATAATCTGATCACAGAAGCAGTAATTAATTAATTAATCATCGCATATACTTGATATTTAATTTATAATTTAAAACAATTTTCAAAAATGACACATTATCAATCGGCAGACTTGTATTTAAATTTTTATGTTATTAGCTGCTATAAATATCTGACTATTTTGTCATATTAAATTCCTGATGAGTTCGCTAACATTGATTATTGCAATCTCTAGAGAATAGAGCGAAGGTGTATCTTTTAAAGGAGGTTATAAATTTGATATTTTTGAATTTTATTTATATTACAATACTTTGAAATGCGGTGTTAAATAAGCTTCCTATGACTTTTTACGGCCTCGTTAAAATTTCGACGCCTTGTGAAGTGATAAGAACCGTATGTTCGCATTGTGCACTTCTGAAATAAAAATGTAATCGATCAGAGGAAAAATTTCGGACTTGTGACTTGTATATTACATCTAATTCAAGATTTCTTTTCAGCGCGTAGTAATACTGTATAAATCCTTATGAATGCAAGATTAATGAAATGCGAACATGTACATAAATCATCCTTTTAGCGGAAGTCGTTTAAAATCAACAATACCTTTTATTGTCTGTTGATATTGCAGTCCATCCGTCTTCAAGAATTTCTGCGTCAGGTGTTCCTTCACAAATGACCGGCTCTAGTATGACCATCAACGCAACTTGTTAAATAGCACATAAATACATTGATGGTATCAAATGTAAAGAGTAGTCTACTATTTTTTGGAAACCTATTGTAAAGGTCATTCCAGGTCGCATATGTCCCATTTGCCAATTACCTACGAACAGAGTGAATGGAAAAAAAGTAATTTAAGTAAAAAGTTAGATTTATCATAGTAACTGCTAATTACGTTAGATTTAATTACAAATTAGTAAAACGTACGATAATGATAGATATGAGGGGGTCCATGAAAATATGATCCAATTCCATGGCCAAGAAACATTTTATTCACAGTAAAGCCGGCCGCACGCGCCAAGTTGCTGATAAAAGTTTTACCGTAAAAACAACATTTATACATTTATAGAACGGACATTAATAACATGCAATCTGACCTAATCGTTTTGCCAATATTGCGGAAGGGTACATTCGGCCCACAAATATCAATTGCTTGTTGAAGGCAAAGTTTGGCAGTTTCAACGAGTTGTTGGCCTGTTTCATCTACGTTGCCTAATAAAAATGTATCAGAGGTATCGCCGTGATAACCATTATAATAGACCTATGTGATTAAAAGGAACAATAAAAGTTATTCAACTATTAGAATTTATTAATACTAGAGTAAGTTGCTATTGTAAAAATTTGATATTATACTACTAGCAGAAAGCAGTCAGGAGTTATAGAAATTGATGTTATGATCGTGACTTACAGAAATATCAACGTTGATGATGTCTCCATCTTCCAGTGGACGGCTAAATGAGCGAAAAGAGGATTACATACAATGAATAAGCAATATTGAAATGGATATAGTTTTATAGATGTAATTTTATAATTTTTCTTATCTATAAACGTATCGTATGTACGAAGGATATTTTATGAGGCTACACTGTCTACCGTTAGTAACTTTTATAGATATTTGAATAGTTGGTAGAGTTTAACAGCAATACAATATCAAATGTTTGATCGAATATGATCATCTGTATTAACCTAACCTATCGGGAATTCCATGACAAGCAACGTTGTTGACTGAAGTGCATACTGATTTTGGGTAACCATTGTAGTTGAGAGGTGATGGATAAGCACCATGTTGGATTATGTTATCGTGAACGAACTGATCAATATCTTCGGTTGTCATCCCAACCTAAAATTGTAGTGTAAAGATCGAAATCAGGCAATATTTATTGTTTACGTTTTTGTACATAGTACAGTATACTCGTTGTTGTATACAGTATTTATCGCATCATCAATTAATAAACAGAATTAATGGCAAGGTGGATAACGTTGTATTATACTTTACATCTCAATTAGCGTCGGACTTAATGCATATGCGTACGAATGTTTTATTTTGATAATTTACGTTTCTTAGGTAGATATTCAAATCGCAGTGAAGTTGGTGTTGGCAATAATTAATCATTGTAATGCCATATTTACAGTCTATGTCGATATACAGTAAACGTGAATATTCATTATATGCGCGTGCATGGATTATCAAGGGCTGAAATTTTCTATGAGCTAATATTGATGCTCTAAACTAAAATTATATTGCCATGTCGTTTTTCAGTGTACCTTAATGTAGTTTTTAACAGAATCTAAAATTCGGTATGCCAATTGACAAGATCTCTTCATGGCGTCAATCTGGTCTTCATTTTTAATTTCAATAGTGATAGGTGACGGAGGGACTACGCCTGTTAAAGCGTATGGAGGCAACGGTATACCTTGTGGGACAGGCTGAGCTGGAGATACTTGTTTAGGTTGTACCAAACTAAATGAAGACCAAGATCTATACGAATACAAGGAATAGACGTGGTTGTATTTTGTCACTAATTATAATTATAATTATAATTGAATGGTTACATAGCAGTGCTTTAAGTTAAGAGCTAGTTGTACCTAAAAATCTGCCTATATCGGCTGGAGAATAGCATAGATGGCGAATAGTAATTGCCTATTCGTAGCTTTCCTAAAAAAATCAATAGTTTCAATTGCATTTCTTGAACTGTTTGCATACGTACGTATCTCTGTCTAGCTCTGGACAACTGGCTGCGTTGTACAGTCGATAGCGTATTCTGCATCATTCAATTCAATTAATGATACTTGATAATACGAATAATCTGCACTTATGCCTATGCTAGTTTAGTTATGTGCATAGTATTATGGTTAATTATTGGTTATGGTTGTGTTTTACAGGTCCGAAATCTGATCCACTAGATTGCATCAGGTTGCATTTATCCTTGTATTGACAATCGTTATTACGCGTATGGGTCATATCGGTTATTTGCACGAGCAATGATCAACTTGCTGTTGCATTGATCTGCTCTGTCTCTAACCTGCCATTTTAAGCATACGGCAACAAGTTGTCAGCCTATTGATTCCTTGTAAAACCATTCTACCGCATCCAAATTTACGACAGTATCTAGTATGTGTCAATAGGGTAGTCGATGTAGATCAAATAGCTGGCGAAATTGGATGCTAACATTAAATTGCAAGTTGAAACGATCAGGATGAGTTCCAACGAGCTGCAAGAGGTCCAGCTAACGACACTTTGAGCTAGCGTCAGTCAGCAAGTGTCGCAGGTCAAAATGAGAAGGCGGACTGTTCTTTTGCTATTTTGTTGGGTTATTTGACTGTCTCGGAAGACTGGAACCGTACACCATACTATGATCAACTTCGATACCGATGTACAGAAGTACAGACTAGGCAAGTGGTCATCCTACAGTACATATTTTCGACGAGGGTTATACAGTACAGTACAGTACTGTACAGTATAAGGGTTCATTGACTATCCCTAGCACCTACAGTACAGTACAGTATAAGGGTTCATTGAATACTGTATCCCTAGCACCTACAGTACCGTGTACAATATTGTACTGTAGTTATTACGGCAAGATTTTTGGTACAGTGTACTGTACAGTTTACAGTACAGCGATGTGCATTGAATTAGATCCCTTCCATTTTCTCTATAGTTCAAGCTGTTCAAAAGGAAATTTCTTATATGCAGTACTGTTGAGAAAATTGAAGGGATCTAATTCAATGCACACCACTGTACACTAAAAAAATCTGAAGTACAGTACTGTACTTCGGATTTTTTTATTTTACTGTCCTTCAGATAAGATTTAAGATTGAGAAGTCGGCCAGAAGTACAGTACAGTACTGTACTGTACAATACTTGATGGTCTAGTACAGACGTCAGGACCACTAGACAGGATCGATTCAGTACTGTAGCGTCCTTACGTACAGTTTCGTAGATGATAGACAGACAGACTCTCTCATTGTACATTTATAGGGTACACACCAGTACCAGAAAAAGAAGAGGGACAGCAGCAAGACGGACATGATGATAGCTCCGGCTGTACAGTGTACAGTGTACAGTACCGTCGTGGACAGTACAGTGGACAGTACTGTAAAAGTCACGGGTTGCTGGTAGAGTTCCTCGAAAGCTTGTTGTGATCGTCACATGATGTTTGCGTCATTTTAACATCACATGCTGCGCCTGTTGAAGTGTTGATGAACGTCATCATGTGAACAGATTCCATACGGAAAACCCACTCTCCAACCTGGTCTATAGTAACAGTATGGGCGACACCAGAATCGGTGTTGTTCATCAGCCAAGTTAATCAGTGAATTTAATGAAGCCGTCATGGCCACTCCATTGTACTGTACTGTACTATCGACTGAACCGTACCGTACCGTACCGGTCTAAAGTACAGTACAAGACAGCAATAAATTATTATTCTGTTACTTCACTCAGACCATCCAGATATTTTTTTAATTTTCACTGGCGGTGCACCAAGCTTTTGCATTGCCTCTTAGCACAAATTAACCAGTTTTTCCTCACATTGGAGATTATTCTTTTGATGACATACCCATTACTTTAAGGGAAAGACTTGGATTCATCAAGATGGTTTCGTTATTTCGTTCGGAAGAGATGACGCTCGCTCAGCTCTTTTTACAGTCCGATTCTGCTTATGCTTGTGTTCGAGAATTGGGAGAATTGGTAAGAATTTTTTTGTTGGCCACTGCTGTTCAAAAGACAATCTAGTAGTCTCATAGTTGAGAGAGATATTCTACAATGTTGTAATGACCATCAGTTTGCCTACTTTCCAATCCATATTTCAACATGGATTCCTATTGCTGCTATCCGATATGTCAGAGTAGAGAGTACAATTGGGTCGTACAATACAGGACAGCGGCAAAAGTGCACATCCACTTCCAAACAAATTTCTCATTGAAAACTTGACTTTACTCGATATATATACAGTAGACACCACTCATGTCAATCCTACCGCTTTCTTGATTTTCCCTTTTTAGTCTTGATTTCTTTTTTTTCGTTTGCAATACTTTCAGTTCTATTGAAAATGATCGATAGCAATAGTCAGTCAATGGCGGTTGGCCTGCTAACTATCTTGTCGATAATTAATAATATACAGTACTGTATATATATATATATGTATACTGTACAATGTACATGGGATCGCCATTTCCATAACAACTTATGCAAAGGATGAAGTCATGGTGCAAGTTCTGTAGGCTCTACTTCTCGCGACAAGTACTGTATACTTAAAGGTTAATAAAGTAAATCAATCAGTAGTATGACAATGTCTTAACGAGTAGTAACTTGACTTGCTGGAGAACAACTCCGAAACGAACAGGCCAAAAAATCATGTACTTTTACAGAATACAATATCGGATGGCGACAACATCGCTAATCCTGCACAAGTAGTTTTTTACTCTCATCAACAGTAAAATGTATCGGTCTTGGGCGCAAAAATAGATTCATAACTACACTACAAAGTGGCTAATCTATCATACCTTGTAGCGAGGCTATACTAAAGTATCGACATTTCTGTCTTTAAACAACCAAAGATTACTGTAAATTGTTAACTAATTTTGACCAGCTTTATTAATCAAGTGCTACTAATTAGCATACTAATAATGGGCTTTTTCTTAACCATTCTTTTAGGGCAAGGTGCTATTTCGTGATGTAAGTTGATTAACTAGCGTTAATTATTATTCTTAAATACTCAGCAGATGAACTGTGTTCATTGAAACGTCAATTTATAAAAAATATGTTTTTACAACTGGATTTAATAATCCAAAGTGAAATAAATTAACTCATACGATGATAACATTGTGCTTTTTTTGATCTTACACAGCTGAATCCTGATGTTAATGCTTTTCAAAGAAAATTTGTCTCGGAAGTAAGACGATGTGATGAGCTGGAACGAAAACTTCGTAAGTAGCGCTTATGTTACATCGTCATAGTTTAGAAGAAACAGTGTCTAGTTTCACTGTACAGTATTGTTTAAAATGCATACACTACGCTCTGTACCTGTTGTACTAATAGAATCCTGTAGAAGAAGCAAGTACTTGAAGAGAAATTTCCCATTTGTTATTACCTAGAACTATGTATGCCCTTGATTATTATTTTAATTTCATGTCCAACAATTACGATTGTCAAAGGTTTTCTTAAAGCTGAAATGGAAAAGGAATCCATTCCCATTAAAACGGTGGAGACTGACTACACTGCTCCATTGCCAAGAGAAATGATCGATTTAGAGGTCAACAAATGGTCTTTTAGTAACCGACAAAAATTTATGCAACAAATACTTTGATCGATATGATAGATAGTATTAACCGATAGATTATAATTATAAGTACAGTACATTGTAATCCTGTACAACCTTAGAATCGTGATAAAAATACAGTACTATAATTTAACGAATACACGTTATCGCTGTACATTGTGTACAATAGATATGTTATCCAAATTCTTAAAGCTTTAAAGATGATAATATTGATTATTACATAAATATGTATAAACATTTTAGGCTAGATTGGATCATTTTGAGACTGATATTAGGGAAATCAATAAGCATCAGATGGCTTTGAAAAAAAATCTACTTGATTTGATCGAGTTTAGAGCTATTTTGTCAAAAGCAAGCCATTTCTTCATCGAGGTAAATTAACGCAAGACTTTATTTTTACAAATTTTTAGTTTATGGTAGATTTTTAACAATACAATAAGATCAGTTTCGACCAATGGAATTGCTCCTATAAAAAAAGTTGTCGCTTTTATCTGAAAGCAATCATGAATTATTGATGGATATCATCCATTATTTGATAATATTTTTCTATACCATAGGCAGAAGATGCTGTATTTCATCAAGCACAAGAAGTAGTACCCGATGAAGGAAGCAAATCTCTTTTAATTGAAGATGGAATGCCAGAAAAATCGATTCAGTCATCACGACCAATGAGGTTAGAAATCGCATTATAGCGATTCATTCTGTAGAATTTTCTATCGTCCAATACTAATTATACAATTGTTGTTCTTCAACAAATTTCATAGCTTCTTATCTGGTGTAATTAACCGAGATCATCTCGCCGCGTTTGAACGAGTTATTTGGCGGACTTCTCGTGGTAACGCTTTCTTTCGCCATGTAGAAATCGAGACACCGTTAGAAGATCCCAAAACGGTTATTATAATTATTGCATATACAGTATTGAAAAAGTATTGAAGTAATTAAAGTACTTAGCTAGTAATGGTATACTGTACAGTACGTACGAGTATAAATATATATATATATATATATATACAGTATATTGACATATATATATATACTTCAAGTCATGAGATATTCTTATAACCTCTAAACAATAAAATTCAGGGTGATATGATTAGCAAGTGTGCTTTCATGATATTTCTACAAGGCAATCACTTAAGATCACGTATGATGAAAATCTGTGAAGGGTATGTACCATTTTGTTTGGTTCATTTTAGTCCCTACGTCACTTGTGGCACTAATAAAAGTAACTTGTATTAAGATACAGAGCTAGCGATACATGATATGCTTGCTATAACCTAATAGTCTAAACACATTACGTTGAAAGATTTTCCGCAACGGTTTATCCGTGTTCTGATAATGCTGAGGTAAGACGCGATGCCTACGCGCAAGTAGAAACTAGAATACAAGATCTAAAATCGGTAAGAAAACGACGTTGAAAACAAAATTTACAGATTTATTAGATAGAACTTTATTACGAAGGACGTGTTGTTTATTCTCCTATTTAGGTTATAAATGAGACGGAGGATCATCGCTATCGCGTCTTAAATGGAACGTCAAATGATCTTGTCATGTGGATGATTCAGGTATTAGATATTCATCTTGATGCAATCACGAAATTCGTTATCCTAACAAGGTATATACCTTTACAATCGAATCAGACGAAAAAGATGAAAGCAATTTACCACACCTTAAATATGTTCAACGTTGATATTACCCAAAAATGTTTAATTGCTGAGTGTTGGTGCCCTGTACAAGAACTGGATAATATTCAGTGTGCGTTGAAACGCGGAACTGTAAGTATAAGTAAACGTGACCAACAAGATAAAAATTGTTGGCTTCACCTGAAATTAACAACGCCAATTTTTTTCATTGGTATTAACGACTAATGTACTACTGTCTTACCTCCAGGACTTGAGTGGATCGTCAGTACCTTCAATATTAAATCGTATGATAACGAAACTTGAACCCCCTACGTATTACCAATTAAATAAGTTCACATCTGCTTTCCAAAATATTGTTGATGCTTACGGTGTAGCAACCTATAGAGAAGCTAATCCAGGTAACAACTGAAGCTAAAGTGTTTTATGTACCCCTTTGATAAATATCTTGAAAATGTAGACATAAACTTTTTGATATGAGAAACTAACTAGATAGTTTTATTTTAGCTTTATTTACCGTCATTACATTTCCATTCCTATTTGCGGTGATGTTTGGCGATTCTGGCCACGGATTGTTAATGTTTTTATTCGGATTATGGTTGGTACTCAACGAAAAGAAATTCACTCGGCAAAAGAATATGGGAGAGGTGCTATATTTGAACTAGAGGCAATTTAGATAGATATTTTTCTTTCTTATCTGACATGCTGCCACCTTGTGCGACAGATTTTTAATACCATCTTTGGTGGAAGATACGTTGTACTGTTGATGGGTATATTTGCAGTCTATACCGGACTTATATACAATGACTGTTTCTCGCTTTCGTTCAATATTTTTGGTACCAGTTGGACTTTTCCAAATATTAGGTAATAGTATTTATAATTTTTATGTTAACTGTTGCATTTCTACTTATATTAACTTGTTTTATATCTACCAATATTAATTTTATTCTTTAAATCATTCCAATGCAGTGAGGGTTTTCTCCATGATCATCCTACTTATCAACTGGATCCGAATGTTTCGTTTCCTGGTGGTCCTTATGTATTTGGAATAGATCCAGTAGGTTTTAGTTGGTGCATTATTCGTAGCCAGCTAAATTATCTTATGTGTAACATATATGGTAATATTTTCCTTTTCCCCAGATTTGGCAGACTGCAATCAATAAGCTTACATTCTTAAATTCTTATAAAATGAAGTTATCAGTCATATTTGGTGTATTCCAGATGCTTTTTGGTGTGATTTTAAGTCTTTATAACAGCTTGTAAGAAAGAATTTATATTTCCTATTAAAATAGTATTTGCAAATCTACTTATTGTACTAGCATCAATGTAACTATTGATAAACTACGTTGCAGGTATTTCAAGAAATATAGCAACATATTTTGTGAATTTATTCCTCAAGTATGTAAATTTTGATCATATTATTTCGTAAACATCGCCTTGTTCGTGCAATTGATACGTTATCATTGGTTTATTGGACTAGGTATTATTTTTGAATGCTCTTTTCGGATATCTTGTTGCACTAATTTTTTATAAATGGATAGTTGTTGACGTACGAACAGAACCGGTAAGTTTCTATCTTCAGATCCATCGCCAGTAGAATTAACTAATTTTCCACATTTATTCAATAATTTTATGCTACATATGTTTCAACATTAAATCTGATTTATGTATTATAAAATATGTAGTCAATTATTAAATCTTAAATTGATATACCGTATTTTGTTGCAACTCTAATAGCAACCTAGGTTATTGATTCTGATGATCAACATGTTTATAAAATTCGCGCAAAAGCTTCAACCCAGTGAGATTTTATATCATGGACAGGTATAGCAGTATAGTATGTTATAAGCTAAAGGAAAAGCAGTATTTATTAGCTCACAGAAAAGACTAATGAATTATTTCTATTCTTGATAGGAAACTGTTAATTTAGTTTTAGTTGTGGTAGCAGTTCTTTGTGTACCGTGGATGCTTCTCATAAAGCCATTTTATTTAAGATGGAAACATAAGAGAAAATTGCGTAGCTACAGGCCGGTATGTTGTTGACTTTGTGATGTATTCAATTTACCTTGTAATGATGGTTCTTTAACTTCCTCTCTTCATATATGTGAGTTTAGATAACAATTGTATGTAACAGATACAGAAATGGGATTGAAACTAACATGCCATAATGATTATATTTCAGAAAACGAGGAAAGGCGGTAATGTTTACGTACAACTATCTGATGACGATGGCATGAATGATGAGTATACCACTTATCACAATGATGAAAGTCAACTATCTGAGAATTCATATGACGAAGAGGAAGAGGTATTAAACAGAAATTTTTGTACACTTATGTTGTTATCATCAAGATAACTAAGAGAGCACTGCCCAAATGATTCAAATTAATAATTATTTTTAGTTTGACTTTGGCAACATTATGGTCCTACAAGCAATTCATACAATCGAATTTTGCTTGGGATGTATCTCTAACACGGCGTCGTACCTACGATTGTGGGCATTGAGTTTAGCACATGCAGGTAACTTAACCTACGTAGCTCTTTTAGCACAATACTTTTCTATCGTGACGTACGTAAATTGCTTAAAGTCAAAACATTTCTTGATTTGCTTATTATTTACTGTTTTAGAGTTGTCCGAAGTACTTTGGAATATGGTCCTTCACATTGGTTTATCTTTCAAGGGTTATGTTGGTTCTCTGTTGATTTTTGCTACTTTCTGTGGTTGGGCTGGCTTAACTATCGCAATTTTGCTCGTAATGGAGGGATTATCAGCTTTCTTACACGCTTTGCGACTTCACTGGTAAAGTCATAACTATGCCTATAGTGTTGTGTATGTAGACTGAGGAAAATCTTAAATCAATTTATTTCGAAATAGGGTCGAGTTTCAGAACAAATTTTATTCTGGTGAAGGGTATCTTTTCGACCCTTTCTCTTTCGAAAAAATGCTTAAAGAGGATGAAGATTTAGAAGATATACTATAAATATGGAGTAACTTAATCAATTTGATTGCTGTATTGTGACGTTCAATGTTTGTTTCACAATATAAACTCTTTCATTAATGTGTAAAAATGGTTCATGCTTGAAATTGATATAACTATAAAATAGAATCATTTATGATAAAAATTGTGAAAGTTTTGAGTTAGTTTTGAATTAATATCGGTAATTAAGCGTAAGAAGAAATTATGAAATAAATTGATGACGTCATTATTCTATATACGTATCTTTAGATCATTCTACGTGGCAAAATTCTCTTGTTGGGTTATTGAGAGTAAATTAATACAGTACGATATAATCAATTAGTTGATTGAATATTAAGAGTTGAATAGTAACGTGTTAATTCACCGTTGGCTGAGGCTATAGTTAGATGATATGGTCCTGTTTCTAAAATTAGACTGCATAGTATGGTGATTACAAATTTAGAATACATGTATACGAATGTATTGCTCGTGAGCTACGGTAACGAAAGGAGGATTATAGGTGTACACTGTACTGTATATATACCGTAGAAGCCATTTTACTATTTCAGTTGCGAAGGCACGATTAGAGCTGTTGTAAACAATTGACAATTAGTTGATACTGAATATGCGTAAAATTCATTACGATCGTAATCTCATTTCAACTGCAATCACCGTTCCTACCATATCTTGACATAATTAATGAAACAAGAATCAACGCCTGTGTTAACATTTTCTTTATTAAGCACATCTATCTATATTCACGTAATACATCAAATAAAGTATATTCCGCGCCGTCTTATTACAGTTCTGTGAGAATTTACGGAATAGCTTACACAATGTACACTGTACATCGCTGCAGCATTGCAATGACTACCGGTAGCTCGAACGCATGCAGCAACTAATCTGTTAATTATTTAATTTTTTAGAATATTATAATAATGACAAGAAATAGTTATCTAAAGTCATAACATGGTCACTAAAACGTATATGTTTTTCAACTTGTATATTGTAGAATAAATGTATTGATATTGATTTTACATGCTTTACAAACCAAGAAAAGTCAACGATGATAATATATAATTGAGAGTTATCATTACATATGTTCAATGGCTGCTGTAAAGATTTGTTAACTTAAAACTAAATTAAATACCGATGAGCTCTTTAAAAGACAGAATTTTGAATGTAATTACTGCATAAGAAATTATATTCAAGTTATTATCAGTTATAAAACATGTAAATGCATTAGATAGATAGGATACGTTAATACAAAAGCTATTGCAATTTTAATACTATCATCGAGACTAAGTCGCTAGCTACAAGAAATTCATACAATTAGTACAATAACACAGCATTTATCATCGACTACTATCGATACAAAAGTTTACATGGTGTTCAAATGCATCGTAACCGTTCACTATGGGGAATTCACTGCTACAAACAGGGCAGACGTAATTATCGCTGTGCGATTGGCGGTCATCACTAGGTGGCTGCGGAGTTGTACTTGTTGGTGGTGGATATGTGAATGTGAATTCACCAGTACTTTGTCCTGGACGAGACGTAGGTTGTGGCGGAGGAGGATGTGAGGATGGAGCGGGATTTCTAAGTGCGGCTGGCTGCGTCTCATAATTGTTTTGCCAACCTGTTGTAAATTCAGATGACAAATTAGGGGTGTTACGAGGAGCATTACGGTTAGTGCCATAAATGTCTGTGCCCATGCTAGCAGGTGCATAAAAACTTTCTGAGTAGACGTTACTGGTAATAGCTGGATTATTTGCTATATTTCCACTTGTAGCAATAGCAGTTGTAATTAGATGTGTCCCATCAGTGCTTGATTGTTCTGTTGTATTTGATGCAACTCTTTCGTTACCTTGGTTTTCGCTTGATGACGATGTCGATATTGTCGGTTGGGTTTTACTGACTGGTATTTTATCCATCTTTTCCACAAGTATTCTCATCTGCAGTTGCATAACCTGTAAACATTCATGATCCTTTTTCCTTTCCTCCGATTCCGCATTTTTTAACTGAAGGATTTGATCTTTAGCTGAATCTAATTGTCTTGTTAAATTGAGGATATCGTCTTTTAATTGGCTGTTTTCATTTTGTAATTCCTTTTGTTTTTCGAGGGAAGCATTTTTTCCCTGCAACTGCTGATTTAACTGATTAACCCTGGAAAGAAGATCTTCTGTAACACGTTTACGTGCTGTTAAATTTTCTAAGCAAACGTTAACAGCACGCCGTGCTTTTTCGCTGTGCATAGCCTGAATATCATTCTCTCGTAGGATGTCAAATAATTGCGGGCAACCATCGGAAATGTAATTGATTAAGGGCCAAATAAGTTCTAGTTTAGCATTGATTACGCCATGAGTTACTTGTTGATTTGGCCTAGGGTAAGAGCTAGCATTATCATTGACAGAAGTTTTGGATGAAGAGATAGTATCTAAATTAGAAGTAATAAGATGTTGCAATTTTTGATCGTCCAATTTATCATTACGCATTTTATTAAGCTGCTCCATTGGCATGCTTGTAGAGACCTTCTTCGTATTGATATTGGGCAAATTTGAATTGTTTAAGGAATGAGAAGGCGTAAGCCTTCTATCCTGGCTGAAAGTATCGGCTTTGCCAACCAATGTCGATGTCGTCGTGGCGACTTCTGCCTGACCATTATGGTTGGATTGGTCTAGTTTCGAGTTGTTATTGGAAGTTGGTGCATTATCATGTTGTATCTGGCCTACTGAAGGCATGGTATATGGATGTACTTGTCCGTTATTAGTCCGTTTCACAAGTTCTGGAGTAGTAGATCGAGAGCTATTGGTAGATTGCGTCGCCTGCGATTGTTGAACGTGAACGGGTGTTCGACTGTTTGAAGAAGAGTCTTTCTGTTGGATATTGAGTGGGTTAGAATTGGTGCCTTGGCCAGGCTGATTTGGAGTGGAAGAATTGGTTGGTTGCGTTGTATTATTGACAGAAATTATTCCTTGCATGTTAACGTTATTATTACTACTATTGGTCATGAGTGGAACGTTACTATTACTGGTGGTCGTACTACGTTGAAGGTCGACAAAGAGCATGGATTCACTTTCAGTGACATTGGCAGGAACAGTAGGAGAAATTTTAAATTGGCGACTTCTACCTCGAACCAGTGTTCCTTTTGATATATAACATAGCTGATATTCATCCTCCACATCTTTGGGCAGAGTACTGGCTGGAAAGAGTAAAGTATGATCATCTTGATTATTGGAAGCTCGAATCCAATGAAATCCTAAATACTCTCTCAGTGATCTCCATCCGATCTTATAAAGACCAACCCAATCATCTGCCGATGGTGTATCATGGCCACGATGGCGATACTGGCAGACAATATCTTCACCCGGTACATAACAAGCTCTTACACCTGTAAATTCGACCTCTTCTGTATCCGCTAATTGTCTTGCAGATGATCCAAGCGACATTCCAGAAAACATGGTTACAGCTCGCTGTTCGTTCTTCTTTTTTCTCCCTTGTTAATTAATTTCGATCGTTATCTAATTAATGGCTACAGGTCGATCACTCTAGCCTAGTAATAATCGCCAAGCTGAAGCGAGATAAAATAAGGAGAGAGAATCAATTGCACTTCACACCCTTCAAGTTAAATTTGGCAATAGCACTGTGCGCACTTTCCAGTCTAATAGCTTCAAAATAAATAACAACAACGCCGTTAGGGGTTCAATTTAAGGCAATTCTTGCTCAAGCCAACACGATTTTGCGTTTAACCGTGTGGTCTAAAAGGTCTCTAGTCGACAGTATCTGTCCGGTAATGGTGTTGTTACCACAGTACTGTACCCATACGGTAGTATCACCCCCGGTTGACAGGATGCCATAGGATGGTTCTCGGTGATACTCGAATCCTTATTTGGGACGCTGTGTACAGTACCGGGTAAAAAACATTACGTCATGATGATCCGATTGGCTACTCAAAACGATTACTGACAACATTGTTTATATTAGGAAAGGAACTATTGACCAGCAGTAGAAGACGAATTAATAATGGTTTGACAACAAGAGAAATGGCCAGACATGGAAGATTCTCGTATTACTTTTGATAATAGAATTCCTTTCCTGTTTATTGATAGTCTAAAAGCAGTATAATATGGAGAGGGATATGCATTTGACGGATTTGCAGGTATCAATCACTGGAATAAAACCCTCTCCAGTAAAAGATACTCGTTCGATGCTCAGTCTTGAGGATAACATTACTTTTCCTATTTGATACCCATACTACTCATTTTATAAATAAATAAGCGATCCCGGTATGCCACAGAGATTGATTAGTAATTGGTTAACGCCAATAACATGTTTAGCTTAAATCATCATCCTACAGCTATTTTTAGGATCATCAATTCTGATAACAAGTCCCTTTAAATCACTTCGTAGTGAATATGGATAAATTTAGATATGACGTTGCTATCGTACAGTAGTATGCTCGTCTTAGCTTTACGATTGTAGAAGAAAAGCTCTGTTGTACTGTACATGACAAAGGTAGAAGAAAGCTTGATTTCATGCAGAAAAGGTTTTGCACGATTGACAGGTATACAGTAATTAGAGCGATATTAGAGAGAAATGGACTCATGATAGATAGCCTGTGAACACTTACTCGTATACTTTATAAAGTAGATATTGGTATTGTACCCTTTCACGGTGCTGTCTGATTATTTCATTACTCTATACAGTATATACCTTACTTGGACCGTGATATATATATATACAGTATACCATACTGTTTTGGAAGGGACTAATCCCTGGACTGGTAGATATGGGCATTGAATATTGACATCATATTCAATTTTTTAATTTTCGATTATGAGCAGTTTTTATAACGGCTACTATCATTATAGAGCTCGTTATCAATCATTTTTCCAAACTGAATCACACTACTGTTTCAAATTCAAATATTAATTTGCGTTATCAGTGTATAAAGCAATCATCGATCTTGTCAAACAGTCTACATGGACTACTGGACATATCGGTGCATATAAAAGTCCATGACTACACAGTATCAGTAATCACAAGTCAGTGCAGCTAAATAATCAAAACGTAGTGTTTTTTTTATTATTACAACCCAAATTTTCGACGCTAAATAGGTAGCTAAGTTAATTATTTCTAAACGCTGGGCTATCAAGGATAGGCTAAAAGTTTCAAACCGTAGGAATGAGTAAAGTAATTATAAGTCTAGACAATTTTGATCAGGGTTGTTATTTTAAAAGGTAAAGGGCCTAGGGAAAATAGCAAGATTCCGCGATGGGGTAGGGGAAAAAATCTTTCCTCTTGAAGGATATCTCTAATACGATTGGTATTTAGCGTGTATTCATTGTAAGTGGTCGAGAAACATAACCAATGTCGTAGTATGTGGATTAAAACGGTTCGAAATTGTCACTAAGAATCGTGCAAAATTTCGTTATTATGGGCGTTACTCCTTGTTAACTGGACTTAAGTTAAAGTAGTAGTCAGTATCAGTACAGTATTCAAACAGATATCCAATGCTCTCTGTCATACTATATACTCCATGCAGTCAAGGACTACTAGAAAAAAAAGGAATCCTTTTTCTAGTCTGCCAAATCAATATCATAGATCATATCACGTCACGATTTAAGAAATTATAAATAATTCCCTATAAATAAAGATCTCTGCTTCATAACTAGTACATTAAATTACGACCAGCACAATATTGTCAGCGTAGGGTCATTTGTGGTCAGGCAACGACAGCTTGACCCATAGAGATCGAAGAAAATCATGTTCTTCTCTATAATCTATAAGTCAAGCTGTTCCATGGGCCTACTCGATGTAATTTCTAGTTCATCGTAGTCCATGGCTGTTTACCATCATCATGGCGCACAGTGAGTACCAGGGATATTTTAACACGAAAAATGATGTCATAGTTTTAATTAATTGATTCATCTAATACTATTACAGTAGTATCGCATTCAACGTTTGAAGACGGCGGACAGATGAAGGACGCATGTAGACGATTGTACAATACAACTGGACCACAGAAATCGACTACAGTACAGCAGTAAGTTAGTTTCTACTAAAGGAATCGACTTTTCATTGACAAAAATGCCAGGCCAATCTTTTTACTGTTCATTTTACTATAACTGAAGACTAGAACCGTACAACCTACTGTAGCTAACCCACTTGGAGGCTACTTTTTCATTTATGATATTGAAAAATCGTTTCCTATCCCCCTCTCTCTTCTAATCGTGTCGAAGTTGCTGACCTTATCAAGCTGAGTGGCCGAGTGTACAGTGTACAGTCCACGATACTGTACACATTCTCATACTGTACACTGTACAGTACACCAATGTCAAATCGCCAAAACAGGACACTCACTACTAGACTAACTCCTGTTCTTGTACGCAAGCACAAGCCTCAAAACCTCATTACAAGTAAACGTTGCACTACGATCTGCGATCCCTTTTTCAAGGCTTGAGCAATAGTTGAAAATAATAATCGTGGTAATCGATCCACTTGCACTCTCTTGAATAGTAAAAAAGAAATGGCTGCTGCTAATTTATTAGCTACACTGACTGCTCCATCGGAGATCAACAGTCTAAGTTTCTCACCCGTACGTAACTTATTAGCTATTGCTTATGGGAATAAAACAGTTGGCATTTACGATGTCAATGGCAAGGAGATCGGAGAAAATCCCATCTCTCCCTTAATTGGCCATACCTATGCGGTCAATACATGTTGTTTTTCATCCTTTGGTACCATGTTAGCGTCGGGCGCTACAGATTATGCCGTCTGTTTATGGGATATTAAATCGGGTGGTAATATCGCTTCATTTGAAAATCATACCAATGCCATACGTAAAGTGGTCTTTTCACCCAATTCCTCCTTGTTAGCATCAGCATCAGGCGATCAAACCATCAAAGTTTGGGAAATGTCACGAAGAAAATTACTACGATCATTACAAGGCCATGATACAACCGTTAATACGTGTTGTTTTACACCGGATAGTAATTATATTGTATCAGGTGCATTTGATGGCCATATTAAATTATGGCAAGCCTCCTCTGGCCGTTGTTTACAGACTGAGTTTGATTGCCACGATTTAGGCGTTAATGATTGCCAGTTCTCTCCTACTTTTGGATCAGCATCTGAAGGTAACTTAGACACCAATAACCTGGAACAACAGGATCAACTCGGTACAGCATAAAATTAGCTATAGTTTAGTCGCTATCTACACATACACTTCAATTCCAGTTGCTATCATAACACGACCATTTTTGTCGATACAGACAACATCCGATAGCAGTAGAAATCCTAAAAACATGTACAGTGCGGCGGTACAATAATTGCCCAATCATTAATTTATATTGATTAACGGATCGACCAACTTGATACGCCCATATTACTCTAAATTGATTATACTACTTTATACCCGTTTATTAATGGCATAATCTTCTTTTTAGTACAGTACAACAAAGTACTACAGTACCGGAAAAAAATGACACAACGTTGTTGTTCGTCCTAACCCTAAATACGAAGCATAGTAATTGTGTGATGGCCATCGTCAATGAATTCATTCTCATATAAATGAAAGTTGGCAAATATGCCTACGATAGACGAATAGATTGCTCGATGATCCATCAATCAATCAAATACAATACAGTATACTACTCACTGTGTACTACGGCATATCCAAGTAGATTACATATATAGAAATTCGACTTAAAGAGCAGCTAGAAAGTGTAGTAAAATTTCTATTCATCAACGATACATTAAATCCTACGTACTCTAAACTATCTTATATTATATTCCATTTTAAGAGCCATAATACGTAATCAATATACTCTTGACAAACAATTGCGTTATATTATTGATGGATTCGTGTTTGTTTTGATTTAATGATGGAATAGCAGCCAGTATTACAAGATCAATCTCTTTAATAGTAACTTGAAGTTGTCTACCATTCTTATTCATTAAATAAAAACAGCATTATATATGTCCTGATTACCCCTATACAGCTCCACAGATATATTGTACATCTGGCAATAAAATATAATTAAATGCACTGTATTATTGATCAAAACATGTGATATAAGTACTATTGTAAGAGAATGTACAGTAGTATTGTATATATATTATTACGCCATCAATATGACATGTTCGTATTATGTATACTGTATATCAATGATAGAATGGTTATACCAAGACTGCTATATATACGCATTTCATTTTCTTGGTTAAAAGATTAACTTGCTACAATATTGCTTACAATATTTAAAAGACTGCAAGAAAAATTGTTAGGTACAAAATCTTACCTGTATTCGGATATTTTCTCCTATATTTCTATTAGCTTATCAAGAAAACCTCAAGACAATAAATGGAACCATTCACTATCTTCTAGCGACTTGCGGTTCTGACATGTTTGTAAAACTATGGGATGTTTATATAGACCGGCAAGGTAACTGATGTTATTGTAATAATATTAAAGTTATGTTGTATGACTTCACCAATTCAAGATTATATAATCGCTACGATTTTACTGCCTAGAATTTTGGCAACATTAACTTTCTATAGCCGATATGTACTTTAGAATGTTACATATCTTACAAGAAAGGAATGATACCCTATCTCAAAATAAATAATAACAAACTATCATTTTATTTACGTCCTATGTTCTTACAGCTGATACTTATAATATCACTAAAAGGGGCGACTTATCCGGTCATCAGGTATGATATCTGATTTGATACTTAGGAATAAACTAAAAATTGAATCAGCTTTGTTTATGTTTTTTAATATAGTGTCAGAATTAGTTTCTCTAGGATATATTGATATATCTGTTATAGTTTAAGATAATTAATTAAAGATTTTCTTAGATTGCTTTTAAAAAGTTTTCTGTTATGTATACATTATGGATACAAGTATAATAAATTTTTAACAATTATTCTAACTTTATTTGAAATCTTAGCTTCATGTAACGATTTTATAAATTTTTCTACATCATCACTTAGTCAACAGTCTGGTGCGCCATATTTTCTCCAAATGGTAAATTATTGGCATCAGGGTTAGTATTTTCATAAAACTGTATATTGGCAACTTGGACAAAAATCTTGGTATAATTTTATATTAAAGTAGTAAACAATATTAATTGATACAGAACCTTCTAATGCAATTTTTTTACTATAGATCCGGAGATAGATCGGTCATTATTTGGAATCCGGTAAGAAAATCATCCATGATTAGCGACTATATGTAAATGGCTAATTTACAATTTGTGGATATTTCCGATTAAATTTCAAATGTTTACAGTATTGCTATTTTTATCAAGAAAGTAGTAGTTAATCCATCTATCAACTTTTATTGCTACGCTTATGTTTTTCCTTCCATCTACATTAACATAATTATAAAATGTATTGTCAGAGGAGTATGATATGTCATTCTGTACTGTATAACCACCTAACTAATCAAAGTCTCGTAAACTGATATAACTTTAGCTCCATGGTGAAGCTCTACAGAAATTAACCGCACATACTAGGTAAAGATTTCCTTTACTATCATATATACGTACATCGGCACTATTTACAGATACGTGTATTTCAATCACATTTAAAATATCACTATCGCAATCGTATAATTCACAATAATACAATTTCTTTAGTTTTGTTACCTCCTGTGCATTCTCTATGGATAATTCTATCCTTGTAACTGGTTCGAACGATCGAACCCTCAAAATTTGGCAGATAAATATACATCAAGGTAACGATATATGGTCAAGCTTAATAGAAAAAAATGCTTTAAATTGCCTTCTTAATTGTTAAAGAAAGAGCCTAAATTCAGTCTTTACTTCTTTAAGAATCAAATTCTATACGAAGTCAACAAGCAAATGATGGAAAGTCGAAAGCAATCGCCTCGGTATGTTGCTGCTTCTGTGGAACATGTTACGATAATCTGGGTACTAAATTAGTTCTGATCATGTAATTTTTCAGTTACAAGCCATGACCCTTGACGACACTTGCAATTGGCTAAAAACAATCGGAATGGAAAGATATGAAAAACAATTCCGCCATCATCAAATCAGTGGGTCTATTTTACCAACACTAACATCAATTTCCCTTATGCGCGATCTCAGTATTGAACCTCTCGGACATCGTAATCAAATTCTAAGAGCAATTCAAGAATTAAAGGATCGCTTAGGTTACTATCTGGGCTGCCTAGACTTTTATACAGCACATATAATTAATTTAATCTAAATTTTTCTCTATCCAGATAATTCAATTCCTGATGAATTCCTTTGCCCTATTTCCAGAGAAGTGATGACAGATCCTGTGGTTGCATCAGGTTGTATTAAATCAGTTGATATAATAGCTACTACAGTATCATAGATTATTAATGGCAACTCATGTTAACCCTTTACCATAGACGGTTACTCGTATCAGAGGCAAGCTATCGAATCTTGGCTGAATGGAGGTAATCGTTTAACAAGCCCAATGACTAATGCTCCACTGAATGCATCTCTTTTAATTCCTAACAAAACTCTAAAATCTCTTATTCAAAAATATCTTGACGGTGATAGAAGTTAATATAACTTCAATTTAAACCGTAGTAATTGAATTAAAGTTTTCGAAAAACTAATTAAAATTTAAGAAAATGTACTTTTCCTATAATGTACATTGCTTATTCTATGCCATATCACCACTGGAATTATGGTTATTATAATTATAGCTAAAGAAAGTATTGACTTTCTCAGTTTACTGGTAAAACTTAATTGAATAGTGCACCTTTCGCGTGTATTATATGTACTGCACCGCGTGTGTATTATCGAACTCTTGATGACAACCTATGTGTATGACGCATAAGAAGCTAACAAAGTCCTCATAAGTACTGATACAAAAAGACATTTGAACTTATTCGTAAATTTAATCGCATATAATAGACTGTGCACTAAGCATAGCTTTGCTTGTCTTAAAGTATTTCTGAAAATGAATATCTCCCTACATACGTAACGTTAAATAGATATATGGCATAACGTAATGTAATCCTCTGTTACTATTAATGGCATTGTTAGGGAAATGCATTTATAACGAGTTGTTTATAACGATATCGATGGTTTTTAATCAAATCGCAAATATCTGATTTGTAATGATTATTTTAAATATTCGTAATTGTTAGAAATTATTTTACATTTAAGAGATACTGGATTATTTAGTGCATATATTACGCTCATGCTATCATAGGTATTAAAGCTACTACCTAGGCGATGTACAAACTACTAGTCTAACTTGTGTTATATAATTTGTGTATTTCACGGCACTATTAGATATTCATAGTAACATGAGCAATAAAAAGTTACATTTTATTAACGATACATCTGTACTTTCAAATAGATTTCATGCCACAATATTATCAGGTTGCAACTAATATGTAGATCTTTACAATTCTTTAAAAATATTTAAATAAAGTTTAATTCTAGACAAATTTAGATTATGCGTTTTTTCTCAACTTTGGAAACAAATAAAACAGCACAATATAAAAAGATTCATTCTTAATTATTCAGCTCTTAATACCTTCTTAGTACTATAGTGTATTATGGACGGCTTATAATGGAGCTTGATGCATGTATTGCTCAACAACGCTTTTCAATGTAGAAATTACTCCTCTTGGATCCTGACTTTTTATGATAGCACTTCCCGATACTATCATATTTGCGCCAGCCTTTTAATAGTATTCATTAATTGTTATTAAAACAGGTAAGGTATGCAGACAGCGAAATTAGTACAAATCGAAATGCTTATCATTCCGTAACCGATATTAGTTGTTCGTAGTCATAAGTCATACCTTAGCGGATTGATCTATATTGGAAGGGGAGACGCCGCCATCAACACCAATATTTAAAGTTTTAAACTTAGACCTTAGGAAAGCTACCTAATATTACAGGAGCAGTTGAAGTAGTGTAAGTACACAGTAATTAATACTTAGTACGGCTTTTAAAACGATATTTTTCATATTTACCTTTGACATCATGTCACTCATAAATTTCTGACCACCGAATCCGGGCTCAACAGTCATAACAAGGATCATATTAGCGTGATCAATATAGGGCAAAATCGTTTCAACAGGAGTCTTAGGTTTGATAGCGATTCCAACCTATAACATAACCGTAATTTATAGTAAATATTAATAGGTTAGTTTAGGCTACAGCCGTAACATTCAGTCAGTTACTAATACGAAATCAGCAGAACAGCACTTTAGTATTAGTAAATTAAGATTACATTAAACTTTATACGTAAAATACAAATAATCTATTTTATTTTCTTATCATTTACAGTATTAACTACGTATATAGATATCTTGTAACACATATTTGCAAATATGCGACAAGTATACGAGCAAGATGTCAAGTTAGTTAATACGCTTACGCTCTATCGACTTTAACAGAAAATGCTTACAAAAGAATGCAAACAAATCGTAACTGTCCGTAGTAACTTTGCATGTGATGTATACAATACACACCTAAATTTACTATAACTTTAGTGAGAGAATATTTACTATAGTTCCTTTTAAAGTTATATTAATCTTTATCTATTTATTGAATATCCAATTTTAAAATAAATGAGTCATAATTATATGTATCAATATATATTTCGAATTAAGATCCACTAGACAGTGATACCCTTACCTTCATTCCAGTTTTTTTGATAGAATCAATAAGTTCTAGAGGATTATCTGAGATTCATTTTCAATAGGGTATAAAATAGATGAAGTTAGCGTAGTTATAGAAATATAACGATAACAAATGAAGATTTATGAATGTTGTGTCGTTATACAAAACTGAGGTTACTGTAGATACGATAATTAACAAAGTAATTTAAGGTTCAAGTATCAAACCTGTAGCTTCAATATGAAAGGTATATTGCTGAACACCAGCATCAGCCATGGGTTTAACCCACTACAAATATAATATAGCGAATGAAAATTGTATATCTATTTTGAGGGGTATCATTAAAATGTACGTTGATTTATCTAGATTAAATTTCTTCGGATTAGATATTACGTACAGAAAAATTGTCCTACGTATTTAAAAGGTAAGCTACCATCTAGTCTACAACAGTTTACCTTTTCTGGATTAGCAACCATCATATGGACATCTGTAACATGAGATTGACATAAGTCGTATGATTAGTTGCCATTTATGCTGCCATTAATTGATACTACTAGAGGTGTACTATATTATCTTTATACTGATAGCTAATTGATTGAAATTCGGTTTATGATACTTACCAAAGAAACTTTCGACTTTCGATCTCAGGCATTCTACAACTGGATGACCAAAAGTCAAATTGGGTACGAAATGACTACAATAAGAAAGTATCATGCTTATATATCACATTAAACAATTTAAAAAGATGCAATCTCTATCGGAGACATCCAATCAGTACGGCATTAGTATAGACCAAAGTCAGCCAAAGTATACTCACAGTAAATACTTTAGTCAATGCAGCAGCGTTCTGATGATGCATTACTATGGTCTACCTTAAACTTTATTTACAGTCAGCAATCAAGCTCAAGCTTTCCAGCTCAAGTTCTCGCAAGTAGACTCTCCAACTCTTTTACTTACGAACTGCATTATCATTTGTTTTGATTCAATTTATTTACAGCATCACAAATACAAGTACGGTAGGTATCGAATACTACTGTATCATTTGTCCATTTGTTAACCTACCAGATCTCACTAATTCGATAGCAAAACCAAAATGAAGTAAAGTATAGTACAATGTTCAAGTGCCTTATCCAGTCAATTACTCATACTGTATATAATATAATCATCGCTCGATATTAACGATTTAAATCAAAGCATACTCTATAACATGGCATCAATCTTTCCCTATTATGATCAACAATATAGACAAGGAATTAATCTTCTTTGCGTTGGTCTTACCCATCCATGACATCAAGATGTAAATAGTCCGCTCCACATTCTACAAGTTTCTTAGCTTCATTAGCTAATACAGACAAATCGGAATTCAGTATAGAAGGGCCAATCATTGCCGATAAGTGTGTCTGTGCCATGATTTGATTACTATAAGATGCTAATCTTGGAATAGATTGGATGGTGAATAAAGGAGAGGAAGGATTATTTCTGCAGCAGGCAGCCAGTTGGCGGTAAGCTCTGAACATTGAGTGTAATATGGTTGGCAGGTACTCAGGTAGTCTCAGAAGTCCCTGGTTGGTATGGTGGATTACGGGTATATCCACATCCTCATTCATAAGTCCTGGCACAATAGTACAGTATGAGTAATGTCTTTTAGCTGAAGATTCATATATCGTAACGGACAGTCCCATTACCAGACTATCGTGGCTGCAGTACGAATATGATCGAAACTGGAAAAGGAGTTAATGGTTTCCAAAGTTCCTGTTGAAGGCATCCACATACCTTTTAAACAATTCTGTATAGTAGAGAGTAAGCAACTACTACAATGGCCATTATCATTAATAACTGACACTGAGTATATTGATTGCAATTTTGCTGAATTGATTGAAAGAGAACTGCAACCAGCGAAGAGGCAGACCGCGCAGCAACCTCGACCTCAACTTTTACTGTAGTACAGGCACATAAGTAGGTGCATCGTTTTACCGGCTACTAATCGATGCATATTCATATGTAATTGTGAGGTATAGTCCCCCAAATAGATCTTGTTATCATTGGCAGAAGATCTACTGATCAATACCAGGGACTTTTAAGTTTTAATTAAGAGAAAACCTTATCGATACAGACTCTTGGATAGTTGTGTAGTTGCAACGTGTAAAACTCGCAATCATTATTACGCATAGATCATATTCGTAGAGTAGATCCTATTGTTGCTAGCTCTTACTAGAAGAACTACCGATCAATGCACACTCTGATATGATTATAGAACATAACCCAAACCAGATCACGTTTATTAATATACTGTACAGTGTACAGTATATGCATACACGAATATAAACCTACAAATAGTAGACCTTCCTGTCACTACAGCGATAGATAATCCTTGGTAGAATAACGAACTCATGTGATAAAGTAAAGTTAATAAGAAATTACAGTACTAGCTATACCAAAAATTGTCTTGATGCACATCATAACATATAATATGGCATTTAATAAAGAAAATACGGTATTGGGATAGGGCAAAAGACTTTCATTTTTGGAGGAATTAGGCTCTATATTTATATTAATTGCTAATAAAATTACTCAGAAGTTAATCTAATATTTAGATTATGGCAATGATTTAAATTTTGCAACATCAACCATTACAATTAGTACATTGTATCCTGACTAACTAGCCGAAAAGATCATAAATCATGATAATTCCTATTGATTAACCCTATTTATATAGTAGATCTGAATAATTTTAAGAATGAGTACCATTTGCTAGTGAATACCTTCATGATAAGTTTATTGCGGGAGGCATCAATGTTGAATACACTTATAATTAATTAATTATATCACAGAAAATGATATTTCAGTGAGACAGAAATTAAATGATCAGTTCGACTTGCGACAAATGGAATAACTTGAGTAATAATTACCGAAAATGGCTACAGTATTTTTCAGGCATTTATAATTCAAAAAAGAATAGCCTTTACATAATAAAATATATTGATCACAAATTTCTTAGCAGAATACAATATTCACTTTAAAGTATAAATTTTTTTCTATATACATCGAAATAAATTTCCTCATAATTACAATTATACAGATGATATATATATATATACATACGAGTATGCATTGTATATACATTCGTGCCCATCCGGAGATTGTTAGAAAAAGGAAATGTTACTCATGTACCGTATACATATTTGGCAACAACAGCACATTACAGTACCTAATATCCAGTATAAAAAGCTCAGTAAATTACGGACTACAGTTATTATCTAGGCTCTAAAAGAACATCCGTATCAGCATAGGACTCATGTAGTGCAATATACTAATGTACTGTTCTGTTTATTTCTACCGCAGAACAAATATCGACTTTACAAATTATGACAATATGGCATAATCACGAGCTTTCACGGTATTTTTATATAGAATAATAATATACAAAACTTTCATTAATTTACAACGCAACTGCTAAAGAGCAACTCGCTTGCAATTACTGCTATCACGTAACAAATTATGAATCAGTAGTTGTACGATGAAATACACTTTAAAAATCATCGCCTGATATATTGTAAGGCTTCAATGGACATTGCCCAAATAACTATATTGACTTCTTTCCAGATGTTTCTTTTAGCTTAGTTGCAACTTTCATCCATAGCTCATCGTGATAGTTTGAATTCAAATAGCAATCCATTTCACCGTCTAGCACCTATAATTTAATCCCATAAGCAATCTTAGAGCGATCTTTTATAAATTTTAATTCATCTCTGATACGACATACCAGCACTGACGAGCAACCATGATAAAGTTGGTTTTCACCATTACCTAACCAGGACTCGTAACATTCGTGTATATCATTCAAGTAATCCTATCCGTTTCGATCAAATTTAAGTTGGTAGAGAAAATATTAGGTAATTGAATATATTTCATTCTTTCCAGACGATAAAATTCAGTTATCCTTACCAGAGAAACAGTTTCTTCCTCTTTTCGTCCTCTTGCCTTCAACCTACTATAGCATACCTCAGGAGTAGCTCTAAGGTAAACTATTTTTCAATATCAAAGATATAATTTAGACTTGGGTTAGGGCCTAAAAGCAAATCAAAAATCTTCAATCTCCAATATCCCCTTATTTATGTAGCTTTTCCTTACCAATCAAATCTAATTTGGGTTTACAATTTTGCATTAGGAAATCGAACCACTCTACATAACACTTGTATTCCATGTTGTTCAGTAGTCCGCTACAAAATGTTTTCATTACATATGTGTTACATCCATGACAATTTAATCGATTTACAGTAATAACGACTCACCTTTTATATAAATTTTCAACAAAGCAGTAGCGAGCGCTATAGGCGGAGCGTTCCAGTACGCAGAAAGGTACTTGCTAACAATTAGGAATTACTTATTAGGAGGATGCATGAATTTTTCTTGGTAACAATCTGCGTATTTTAGCATTTACTAACCTGCTTGGCATTATGGACATCCATCATAGTCAAGAGCACATAATTTTGAAACAGATATCCCCATCGAGCAGGATCTTCATACATTTTATGCTTAAAAATATGAATACATATACACAATTAACGTAAATATTTATTAATGGCAACAACGAAATAATGAATATTAAATCTTTTTCCAATATTATTACCGACAAATATGATATTTAAATTTAAGTAATGTCATCAGAAATATCTTACAATTAAATTATCTCCTCCAAGATCTTGCCATTTCTCTAGAGGTTCCGCTAAAACCTAGAGTTCATAGTTGAGAGTGAGCTTCACTATTTGTATTACATGTTTGGAAAGAGCTCATTCATATGGATATAATAGTAACTATAGAAACTACTTCACTATAATTAAATTATTTAAATACCTCAACTTGAGGGTTACTCTCCAACCGTTTCAAAAAGGTGGATTTCCCACTAGCAATATTTCCTTCTACAGCAATCTGTTATATGATTTAAACATGTGGTTATTATATATAATCTTGGGATCTGACCTAGGTTGAAACATTGTGGACTGCAGTAATGCTGTAGCACTTTTAATTAAATAAAAACTGAACGGTAATGTAATAAAATATTACCTTGAACTTTCTACCTTCGCTGCTGCTAGGTCGCTTTATGGGTTCTGTATTGGTATAATTATTAGAAACGTCAGCGAGTGGCTCTCTTTTGCTTCTAACCAACATTTTGGCATTCATATGATTATGATGAATTTGATAGTTGGTTTGCAAAACCAGTGAGCGTTTGAAGATTTTCAATCTAGATAGAATAAGGAATGAATTACTGCATACCATCACAGTAATGTCGATGCAATTTTACATTCCAATTGACATGGATAACGTAATAAGGTTATAAGAATATTTCGGTTATACGGTGATCGAAATTTATGATGTGATTTTTTTAATTATTTGTTCGCCATTCTATAATACTATCGAAGTAGTAACGTATCGTACTGCTGTTCCTACGGTAGTAATAGAATATTTTACATGGAGATACAAGAGTATTAATGATTTATTGGCACATGGGTACACCGTACACGTACGTAGGCGCTATTGCAAAAATTTAAATTCCTTTCGTCAAATGTTTATTTGACTTTGCACCGATCAACTTTAAGAAAATGGAGCATCAGCGTCATTTAACGTGACTATACTGCTGGACACATGTTGCAATCGTCAAAACTCATGACACCTCAAAAAAGGCAGCTGGGAACCAATCATAGACTATAAGGTGTAATTTTCAACTGCTGAATACTAGTTTACCGTATTGTGCATGCTGCGCATAGCTGCAAGTCGAATGGTAAATAAACGACTCTATTTTCTTGACCTTCAATTTTATACATGTAGGAATTCGATTAGGATTTGATCTAGTTTCATTCTATACCATAATCTGCTTGTAACTTTAAAAAAAGCTAAGCTTGATACGATTTTTAAAATCACAAACTACTCCCCTTTGGATGATACGAGAATTATTTACTGAATATTCACGTTGAAATTGCTGTACTATTTGCATATTCTAGCTAATTTATACATGCTAGGAAGGCAGTTTACTGTAGGGATATCGCCGGTATTTCGGGCGGCTTACATAGCTGCTATTGAGAGAAAAAACTGAAATACAGCTCCATGTTTTTGTTCACAGATCCAAGTAGCACTATTATCATCTATTTCTACTTTCAGTTATCCCATACCTTAGACTAGCACTTTTGTCTATACTGTGCATACATGTTACCAGTCTGTCAATTCTGCTCACTAAAACAAGTCGATTGACTTTGGCGGTTGATTTCATTTAGCAAGAGCTCAACCCAAATTGCCTTTACGATATTTCTCGTCTCATTTTTACTTCTCTACTACACTAATCCAATCTGTTATAGATCACTCTAGCTAAAAATAAATTTATTTTACCCTACTCTATAGCCAAGAACACTTATCCATGGGCAAAATCAACATCGCCTAGCTAAACATACCTTAGAGAGCAAAGGCGGTAAAACGCCAAGATTCACTTTTTTTTTTTTCACTTTGCAATCAATGACCAATACAACCAGTTCTTGACGGTTGTAAATTGAATTTTTCCTTGCGAAAGGAGGAATAGCATAGACCCAAACACTGCTTTTCAGGTGAAAATTTTCTAATTTACCTGACTAAAATAGCAGAAAGAGCTGAAATAATATCCTAAGAAATGGAGAGAAAATTTTTTCTTGACTGGACATTCATTGAAAGGCAATTACAGTAAACTGACAGTCAGCCTATTAAAAGAGTATTTACATTTCACTCATGGGAGCGAACTTGTATAGACATGTATGAGAAGATTGGGGGCAGTCGATGTTTATTTTTAGAAGAGGGAGGACTATGGACTGTCGTTGGTTGATACTGTAGCCTGTAATGTGTTGTGGTGAATTGGATAGTACAGTGTCGGATACTAGACGAGTGAACAACGTGCCATTGTTTTAATCTTAGTACTGTAGTGAAATACTTCAAAGGTACTCTACAATTCATATTAGTAACTATAGGGCACGTGACACATCCATATCCTACAATACTATGTATTCTAATTTAGCTCATTGGAATTGGCGCTGCTTGAAAAAGATCCAGTTTAAATTTCGCGCCTCTTTGAACTGCACATGCTCAAAAATCGATCCGATTGAGTCGACTCCAACCATCGTGGTTACCTTGGAAACCTAGACATCGCTTTTCAGCAAACTTAATCCAATTTTTACAAGCTTACTATTCATTCACTGTGAACAGTTATTACTATGGATATTTGCAACTTGGAGACGGGCACATGGATGAAAGTGGCAAATGTATAGATTAGACTAGGCCACTACTTGTGTATCGATAGCCATACTGGTAACATCTACTCTTCTTACTGATCCGGTTTAAAGGGATTTACCTCCCACTCCAGACATTTACATTAGCATCTAAGTATAGCACGTCGGATGAAAAACTACCATCAAATATGGAAAGTGCAAAGGTAATGTGAAGAGATAATTTGAAATCGCTCGAAATCATTTTAACTTGAACTCTGTCTGCTGCTTTGGCGTATTTTTTAAAATACAACTAACGACAAAACGTATAAAAAATAGGCTTTACAAATAATATAGGATGAATCCCCTGCCATTATTGACAATAGGGATAGCATATGCAAATATTGTAGAAAGACTGTAGTAATGATTTACTAGAGATTTCCGTTTATTTAAGTTGCTTATTAGTAAAATGATCTTCTATCTAATTCGTAAGATATCGTATCAATATCCGCTAAAAGTACTGATAATTTATATAATGGATATTATTGCATAATTAGAAAGAACATGTACACTTGTACAGTATAGTATATTATCATTCGATTGCTTAACTTGAACATCCAACAGAAAAGAGTGAAAAGAAGTTACAATTGGATCAGATCATTTGTGCATTTAATCATGATTACGCTTAATCACGACTTTCTTGTTTATTAATACTATAATTTTAATAAATTCAAAGCCATAGGTTAGTCACTACTTTATCGTATTTAGTTGGAAGACTACACGATTAAGTCAAATATAATTCAATCATCTTAATCTTGTTATATTATATATTAATTAGAATTTAAAAATTAGTATCCTTCAATAGAATCATAATTGAATTACCAACATTGCAAATAGTTATAATATAGAAAGATATTCAGCAATACAGCATTTGTTACTGAGCTGAATCTCGGTCAATAAGCAGGTCGATCATTCATAATAATGCTACAAACTTTTGCGTTGAGATTAGAATTTAAGATTATAAACTAATATCATGTGTTAAATGTCAACAATTTCAAAGAACTGTAACATAATTAAATTAAAGCTATTTGAATTAAACATTCGAATATTTCACCTGTTTATTGATAAAGTTAGAGGAAGATCGATAAAAAAATTTTTTATACTTACTAACAGTACCCTGCGAAAGACTTTGAAGGATTCGATCCGGAGAGCGATTGTGAGAGATTACATCGAGCTATGGATGGGCTAGGTAATAGACACTACACTATCTGCTCTTATAAATGTCCTTTGCTTGAATAGTTGCATGATCTAGATTTTAAATTTATCACTAAAGATCTTCTCGATAAGCTCAGTTATTATATCAAATTTATTGCTTATCTTTTATAAATTTTTCTACCTTAGGTACAGATGAAGACACCTTGACCGGTATCTTGTCTGCTCGTTCAAACTCTCAACGCCAAGTATTACGTGAAACGTATCTAAAAATGTTCGCCAAAGTACGAATGATCCATTTTTTCGAATTCACTTAAATGGCATCACAATTGAAATAACTTCATGATATATGTTACAAGTGAGAGTAATCACGGTCCTGTAATTACCACAACTTACTTAATCATCTGATATTATCTTAGGATTTAATTGAACACCTGAGTTCAGAAACTTCTGGAAGCTTTCGTAAACTACTTTGCGGATTGATGATAGAATCAGCATCTTATGATGCAAAATTGTTACACGATGCGATGGATGTACGTAAAATCATATCAATGCATAACAACACGAAAAAATATATCTTTAAATGGACCTTTAACTTTAGGGACCTGGAACAGATGAATCTTTATTATTGGAAGTATTATGCACTCGATCAAATAGTGTACGTATTGTATTGTTAGTAACTAGATATCAATTTACTTGATATTACTACAATTGTAAAACCATTCCCGATCATCACTATTTGGCAATAATTCCTAAACATTTTAATAACTATATTTATACGTATACATTTAAATAGTTTTGCACAGCATATGATACTATCGATTTATTAGTAATACTGAATGACCGAGTCATCAATGCATCATGGCCCAAAACTATCATTTAAATCGATTTTAATTCTATTTATCGATAGAGTAAAAGAAATACCTCATCTTTACGTCTACTCTATTAATAATAATACATTTATGATATTTCTCTCATAAAAATCTAGGAAATCCAAGCCTTAAAAATCGCTTATAAACAAGGTTAGATTGTTTCGAGTACCGTATATATTAACTTACAATATTACTCTGTTTGCTTCAATAATCCATATCTACCATAACCTAGACTAATATAATAATTCATGTCCCATTTACCTACCCAGAATACGGAGTTCAGCTATCCGATGCTATCATAGAAGAGACATCTGGCCATTTTAAGCAACTTTTACTGCTCTTAATTAAGGTAGAAATTTGTATTGTCAAAAAAATTTACAGTCAGATAATTTCATAATATTGCATGTTACTAGGCAACACGAGATGAAACTGATAATGTCAGTATATCAATGGCGAGAAGAGATGCTGATAGCTTATATATCGTAAGTAAATAAAACATCCCAACTTAGTATACAATCACATTTGTATCTATTACATACTGAAACTATCAATTAACTTGCATAGGCTGGTGAATTAACTTGGGGTACTGACGAATCGACATTTACTGAAATTATTGGTACACGTAACTTTAGGCAATTACGACTGATATTCGATGAATATATCAAAGTAAGATACTTAATATTAAAAGTAAAACCATAATGAGTGATATAACATACAAATGATACTATTGGTATGGAATACTTATTACTGTACTATGCAATATCTCCAAGCTACGATATTTTTACTATTTCCTAATGACTTCCAACGGTATGTATGCACAACAAATTTAGACTGCACAAATGAAAATTGAGAAATCACTACAACGAGAAATGTCAGGCGATCTCTTACAGGGATTGCTAACTCTTGGTATGTAATTCACATATTTTTTCTTCAAACTCTTCCTAAAGATAACCCCTACATCAATCATCTACGCTCTACATACATTTATTTCAAATATACCTAATTGTAACGTTAAAATATATTTAGTTCAAGTTGCTCGCGATCGTGGCGAATACTTCGCTGAAAAGATCAAGGCTGCAACAGGCGTTTTAGCAAACAATGACGATGAATTAATAAGGATTGCCGTATCGCAAGCAGAGGTAAGCAACTTATTCCAGAATAATGTTTAAGTTCAGAAAATACTATGCAATCACTTCTATAATGATTTTGCTATTATTCCAGGTTGATACCGGCAGGATTGCTGCTGCTTTCGAAAGAAAATTTGGAGTTACTTTAATTAATCATCTATCCAAGGCCCTATCTGGAGAATACAAAAATTTAATGTTGGCTGTACTTTCTGGTTCTTAATTTCTTAAGACCACATACGGGGTTGTCTGATGAAATATTTAAATACCGATAAGAACTAAAGTTATACGAAGGAAGCCCCTAACTTTTAAGTATTACTTCTAGAACCTCCGTAGGAATTAATATTTTGTTTTAAGTCCTTTGATACATTGTTGAGCTACAAGATAATCACGAAAATTATTGTATAACTTCATTATCATTATCATATTTATAATTTTTTTGGAGGGGGGCGCAAATGGACCGTGAAATGTAATACAGAATGTTTCTGCTGCAGATATTTGTTGGAAATTCACATTAAGATCCTCGATCACGATTAACGCGATACAATATTCATGTAACGTAGCTGATTCAGTTATGCAATAATTTATACATTTGGGCTATATGTCGATTCCAATCAACCTTAAAAAAATTTCATTTAGCCATACAACATCAGTGCTTCTTGTATATTTGATGTTATACTGGTCTGAACTGGGTTAAAAGATGAACAATTGTTATGATAATCCAATTTCGAATTTAAAGATCTATTTAGACTGGGTAACTTATGCCTATTAGTACTAGAATTACCCTTTTTCTTTAAATCCAAATGTATAATTAAAGTATTACTTAAGATCCATTTACTCATTGTGGTCCATTGTTTATTTATTTGATATACTTGTTTAGTGCTATGCCTAGCTATACTTACGTGATAATTCAGTTCTTAATAAATAATGTAATATCTTAACTCTAACTCTTATGACTCGGTGCATTTTCCAATATAAAACATTTTTGTCTAGATGATTATACCATTATTGCTATTTCAGATTAAGTATGTATGTAATTTTAATATACTGTAGTGTATTTTCGCTATATTTGACATGGTCTGCACGAAATCACTTAGAATTAGATAGAAAATATGATCTTTAATCAATTATTATTAAGAATTGGGTAAAATCAAATTTTAGGTGATTAATGTGACCTTTAAGAGAGAAACTTCATGACTTATTTATTAGACTTTAGCTTAGTAATCACAATACTGTATACCGTAGATAACGAGTAGTCCAAGAGAGCACGCATTATGCAGGTAAGAATAATAATTAGTTAATTGGAGAACTACAAATCAATTTCTCTACTGTTACAAAGTACTAATAATTAAGATTATACTGTATGTTTAATTTCTAAAATAAATTATTCTCAACAGTCCACTAATGTCATAATTTGATCCAATCTGCATCGTAACTAATTTATCAAGATAACTTATAAATGACAAATAGTAAGCTAGTGTAATATTTTATTGGTGTTAAGATGTTTAAGAGGGACAAAGAGGCATCGATCTACGATACTAACCAATAAGTTCATATTCGTAGCAGATTTAATCGTCTACATACCTATACTGCATTTTGATTTATTCCACTTTTAATAGCTATATATCCCAAATCAGCAGTATTATGTATACAAACGGTGCAATAAAAACTCATTATTATTTTATTTAATGATAATAAACTATACAACATATTACAATTTGAATAGGTAAATATTCTATATAAATAGTGAGTTACATGAAAATCATGCAACAACAATTTTTATTCGTTTAATTTAGTGACAATAAATATTAAGGGTCATCGTGGCCATTATGTTGTATATCAGCTTTATTACATTTTCAATACGTTTAATCTAATATCGACAGTAGTATATAAGCAAATGATGAATAATAATTTCGTAATCTACAATATCAATTGATAATACTAATTTATTTTCTCTTAGCATTGATTCGATTAACGCAAACAAGTATATCATCCAATTGATTCTGTACTATTGTATACCTTCGATGAAGCTGTTGTTGTGATAAAGCGCAAGGGTGATCTGAATGATCGGTGGTTTTGAAACTTTTTTTACCGACTAGAGATTTAAATCTTTCCTTCATGTAATCAGCCATTTCCAAATCTTGATTAATTTGGTTACAGCAAGATTTCACTTTTTCGAATGATTTTATAATTAATGTTAAAAACATATTAATTAAAACCCAAGATACTAAGAAGGTATAACAGAAGAAATACAAGGGTGATACATCACGCAATGATGAATACATAATTTTAGCATAGAAACGGCCAATCATCATGTTGAATTGGCTTTCTAATGTTTTTATAAATGTATTATAACTATTAATTGTTCTACCATAAATCAAATAAGCAAATTGAGCAAACGTTAAGAATATCACAGTAAAGACAACTAAAAACATGAGAATTTCCTTAGCAGCACTTCGTAATGTTATGGATAATATAGCAATGGTACGATTAAAACGCAGTAATCGTATTAATTTTATAGTACCGAAAAAGATTAAAAATGCAAATAAATGAATATATAGATTATCCCATGTCGCGACGTAATGAAAATTAATAAAATGACGACTTTGACTGCGACATTGAGCTAATGCATTTCTAGTCACTTGTAATCGGAAGAAATAAATACTGACGGCGGCAACAGCCAAAGAGATGATGGTAAATTCAATAATATTCCAAAACCCGCTAAAATAGCGTAATGACAAACGCTTTAATTTACTTAATTCTCGATAGATATAATAGGCAATAAATGAGACAAATATAATTTCACACACAATCACTAACATGCCAGCTGAGTAATGATCACGAAATAAGCGAATTGTCTGAATTTCTACAAATGGCATAATGCCACCTGTTGCTGGAAATTCCGCTAATAAGGTTACTACAGAGAATAGATTAACTTGCGCATTAAATATTGTAAATTCGATAAGGATTGCTCTAGTTTGATGATCAATCCAACCTTGTTGTTGCAATTGATTTAATGTTAGCTGACTTTGGCTTTCATTACGGCTTAGCTCAACAACATAACCACCACCATAATAGATATGATATTGGCCCCAATATGGATATGAACCAGTCATGGAGGACGTTTGAAAATGCCATGGATTTTGTTGAGGACTATGGCTAATGGATTTCCAACCCACAGTATAATTATTTCTATTTTCAGAACCATAGAAGTAGGATCCAGCACATTTGAGGATAGTGTTGTTAAAAACTGGATTAATTAGACAATTATCTACAATAGTTGGAATTGAAAGCATTCTCAATTATATATGATACAATATAATAAATCAGGTCTTCAAGCATTCATAGCAATTTTGAAATTATAGCATCATGCGGAAAAAGATCAGCTACAGTTTATCAGGTTATTTTATTCACCTGATTTAAAGTGCGAATAAATAATTTAATGATTTTGGAATTTTCTTATAAACTAGATATAAATCTTATACTGTAATTGGCAGTTTACTGCAGGTACGTTATTCAATTGTTTTTACACAAATAAGGGTTATGTAATACATTTTAATGATCTTAATTATTACTAATGATTGTATTTGAGTTCAAAATAAAATAGGTACAATACTTAAAATTCTAAGATGGTTTTACCTCCTGTATTCATTCTTAACATCCGTACTCTTGCAACACCTACAAGGTAAGATTGTCTATTAGCTAAGAAACCCTGTAGATTCGATGACTGCCCGTTGTACCAAGTTCCAACATATAACCCAGGCAAGAAGACTTGATTAGTCCACCTCCAAAATTCGTTAATTGTGGCAATCTATGAAATATTGTTTAAGAATGCAATATAGGGTCGGTCTATCTGGTAATGAATGAGAAATAATGATCTTTAATAGCTATATTTTTAGGATAGAATACCGACTTACTTTAGCAAATCCTTTCAGTGGCGATCCAATTTTTGAAGTATTAGAATTATAATAACCGTTAGCGAAAATGTCATTGAGCGATTTAGTTTGATAATAAGCATTGGAATCACGATTTCCATAACAAATTAAAATTGTAACAGTAAGAAAAACTACATAGCCTAAAATTTCTCGAAAGATTGATTGCATTTTTCGTTGCTTGAGTCTTAAGCTTCTTGCCGCATTGACTTTGGATACCTCAAGAGGTAGAAACTTAGATGATGTATATCGCTGAGCATCAGGATGAATATCTTTAACATTAATAGCAGTAGACATTGTATCATCCATGTTATCTTCCATTTTATTAATATCGACACCAAGATCAGGTCGGCGAACTATTAAAGCAAATATAAATGCTACTACAACGACTTTTATCGGTTGTAATATCAAAATAGATTGCAAGATGGAAATTGTCAGCGATGCTAACCATTGTAAACATAATTCTGATCCAAATGAGAGCCCATAGAATAATGTAAAAGCAGTTCCAACGCCGCAAGATATAACGATCAATCCCCAACCTAGATAGAGACACCACCAGGGCAAAGAAATATCTAATTTGAAACAGCCTTTTTCTTCAGAATCGTCGAAAGATTGCAGCTTATTACACGACTGATCCGATTGTTCACCGGTTCTACAGCGAATTAATTTCACTTTCGTGGATTCTTTTCTCACTATAGGACGTGCGGGTTTATTTTGTTGCTCTAGATGATTGCTATTTCCTTGTTTAGTTGGCTTTGGACGACTTAATCGAAAAAATTGGACCATCATAAATGAAGGCAAAAAAACGATAGCGCCAGATATTAAACCTCGAACTAAACCATCCCAAGTAATAATCTTTCCAATAAAAATAGTACCAGCACTATCTTGTGTTTCAATATCATTTCGATAGAACATGGCATTAGTTAACATAGAAAGTAATAAGATTGCAAAACAACATCCAACACGTTGGAGTCGTGTAAAATGGCTTTTAACTGGTCTAGTTACAATGGATAGCCATATATGATTATCACTTAAACTGATGGCTGCTTTAGACATAAATGATTGCATGAAATCACGTAATTCCTCAGTAGTAGCTGGATATAGCGTACGATCAATGAGACCATCTTCGGCATCGACAGCTAGCCATTTATTGCATATAAAACAATATTGTTCATTAGTTTGCAAATCTTTAATGATAATACGGCTTAAAAACCAGGACGGAGATAGACCAGAATTATCATGATAGAGTCGAATATAATTAATAGATCCTAGGTCTTGAGAACATGTTAATATCATGGTATCAATATCTCTTGTTTGTAAAAGTGGCCGATTAAAGTCTTTCAGTAATCGTGGACTTGTGTCTTGATTTTCTCCTGATATAATTAAAGATACATTGGCTGTGGTGCCAGAGCCAACACGAAGGCCAGTAAATACTGTAATCTCATAGTGATATAAATCGTCGGGTCGATTGTCAATCAGGACAGTGTTACTGAACTAGAAATGAAATAATATAGCATTAGTATAATATCGGAAATTCTTTATGATATTATATATTGTACTTCTACTTTAGTCATGGATGATATTATACGATAGACACATTAATAAGTAGTTAGTAGCTATATTGGTATCAAATATGGTGGACTATCCAGTTTTTAATCCATATACTAACGATTTAAATCATAATCCCTGTATAACTATTGATTCAACCTTCCAATAGACTAGCCGAGGTACAAGTACATTGAAAGTGTAGCTAAACTTGAATCAATGATAGTATTTTAACCCACAATTAATACATCGAATTAGTACGATTAACTTACTTTAACTGCATTCTTCTTATCTTGACGCCATGCCCATACACTAATTACGATAAAAATTACATATAGGCATGCTAATACAATAATTATATAAGGGTTGTTATGAATATTGGCAAACCAATGTTGGATTTTAGTAAAGTCCAATATATTCGGTGTTACATCAAATCGACCGGCAAAAAACGTTAAATGATTGCATTGGCAATAAATACCATCATTGTGGTTTGAATTGCTAATCATTTTACAGCCTGAGCTTGACCATTCCGATGTTGTGTGATTCCAAAAACGACAACCAAGGTCATAAAATGCCAGGGAATAGTTTGCGAAATAAAAATTACGACTAGATTTATTTCCATAAAGTAGAGGTATTTGATATTGTAACTCTAGAACATAACGACCAGGCTGGAATGAATTACTGGAGATTAAGTTATAGGCTATGGACGTGTGAATATTATGGACGGAATAATTAGCAATAACATGAGTAATGTTAGTTGAAGTAATCGATTGGACTATTGCTTGAAGAGGTTGATCAGTTTGGATGATAAAACCTCGAACGTCGCTAATGGACAAGATATCGAAATAGTGTTTGGGATTTTGGCAACGGTATGCGCTACATTGAACATAGAATCGCGTTGCTTGATGAATTGTCCTGTTCGCAATTGCTTCAGTATCCGAGTAGGTTTGAGGTAATTGGATATTAATAGGATGTTGAAGATTCTTAACTGAAATTTCACTACCATTATCAAATGTTAACGATAAACCATTGATATCATTGGCGATATTAGCAGAACTAGAGACGTAGGTATACGGATTTTTGAGAGTTGACCACTAGATTCATAAAAAGCCGAGTACCGCAATCAGTTGATTATTAATAAATAGATCTACTGCGGCAGTGTTCTGGAGCTAAGATATCATCTGCTTTAATTCTGTTAATACTAAAATTTTTAATTATAGTAACTTACGGTGAAAGGCTAATATTTACTAGATACAAGTAAACTAAGATACAAAAATTCTGACTATATCCTATTGCAGATATATTATAACTAGGATGGAAAGATGTATACATATATATATATATATACTTGTAAATATATATTGCCAAAGTTGGTCGATATAGCATAGAAAGAATTGCAAAAAAGAACTGGAATCGATATAATTAGATTTAATCGTATAAGCAACGATGGCCTTACTCTATAATCAACAAAGATCGGATCTCCGTTAGATTGAATCATGTTGCCAATATTCGGAATTAAAAACTCTGCTTTAGGTAGTTTAAAAGTGCTAAGTTGAGGTTCACCAATTTCTTGTGGCAACTCATGATAGGTATGCCGACTTAACGTGACATTAATGGCATCTGATGTGATGGTAGACGGAATTTCACCGGGAACTTTGTTCATCAACATGACCGTACAACTACTATGAATTGCCAAGACCGACTAGAAAACAGGAAAAATATTGTTGCTAATAAGCTAATCTCCAATCAAGTTAACGCATTTATTGTACGGATAACTAATAAGATCCTATCGTTTCAAATTTATTAATTAGGTAGCTAGTGCAAAAGTTCATTAAGATATACAGTATACCAGATACGTTATGTATGTACTAAATAACAAATTTCCGCAATCAACTACCGTCATTATTATAATTATGCAGCTTATATATTCTCGATATAAGGTAAAATGTATACTTTTGCATTTGATTAGGCAATCAGCCGTTAAATAGAGTATAGAAAGTTTTAGTAGGTTGTACGCTAAGTGATCTTACCCTGCTAATTATATCGGACATTTTTGATGCAGTAGGTGATGTAGTGGGTTGGTTTATTCCTGCACTTTGCTGCATGTACTTAGCGGCGGCAATAATATTATTTGCGACCTTTACAATGCCTGATGAAACATGATTGATTGCATCCAATTAATATTAGCACTCTGATTTCTTCTAAACACAGCCAACACTTTACCTTTAGCTGTTGATTTTAGCAATGCATCATCAGCTCCATTTTGGCCTTCAAAATTTAAAATAGCTGTCATATGTTGAAGTGAAGTACTGATCATTCCCTAATCGTAGAAATAAAAATGATGGCTCAAAATGCAACACAGCTTAAAGGTGCTTAAAGACATATATGTACTTTCTAAAGAAATTAAGATCTATAATGGATGTTACTCTACTTAAGCGACGTCATCCATAAAATTTTAAGGCGTTAATATAAGTATTTATTTAAAGACACTGTCACTTTGTCGTAGATAAGGGGACAAAAATTATGGTATGCAGTAAACATCAAAAAGTCAACGTTGATCGTTTCTCTATTGTTTACTTGAGTCATATCAGCGAGTTCTTGTTTTACTTCTGTGATTGGTAAAATAGCATCTACAGTCTGCTTCAATAATGGCAATGTCTGTATCATGTTGTTGGTGAGAACATCGTTGACCAAAAGGGCTCTTATCTATATCACAGCAAAAGATATTCATATCTGATTGCAACTGAAACTGAACCAAAGGAATATTATATACGAATATGTCCAGAGTATATCTATTGTACAGTATATAGACATGATATATTTACCTCATTTCTATACTAATATACATGATAAGTGTATAATAAGGAAGAGGTATACAGGAGATAAATTTAATTTTAGACTATTACTTACTATTGTTCGTTTTTGTCCGTCTTCTGATCCCACTGTAGAATCTAAAATGTTCATAAATGTAAGAGGTGAGTCTTTAATAAATAAAATACTTAAATACAATTATTAGTTAAATAGAGTATAATAAGTATTTCACGGTAAAGTGTAAATATTATAGCACAGAATCTTCCTATGCATGCTCTAGCAGTATACTTTGCACGATATTACGATAGTATCCATTAATAAATCTGAGAATAGCTATAAAGCTTTCAAATATATTATATATAATTCCCTATGTATAGGTATATATAATTCCCTATATATAGGTATATATAATTACGATGGTTAGTCAAATAGGACATAATGGGTATCTTATGCTAAAACGTAAATATTATAACACAATTTCTTCTCATGCATACTCTAGCAGTGCACTTTCCACGACACTATGGCTGTATTGATTAATAAATTGTTATATAATTTTCAAATATATCATATACAATTACCAGTAAGAATTATTTTACACCCACACATTAATATACCTTTACTGGATAAGCGATTGAGTATTGAAGCTGATATTCCAATAGCCAGGTTGGCTTCTTGTAATTTCCCTTGATCGATAAACTGGCGTAAGACTGATATATTTCCCTTAGTAAAATTATTTACCATCGACAATTCCTCTTCCGACGTATAGTTGGAAAATGGACGAACCTATATAATTGTTAGTCCAATCGTGAAGAATTACATAGCAGATCATGTGTAAATTTAAAGTAAGTTGATGCTATGATGAGAATAATATGATATTTTAAAAATGGGTAAACCTATCATTAGCGGCTCAATCACGATGAATATTACATTGTAGATTACGCGTATATTCAAAGTGAATGTTATGGTGGGAATAGTATTTCTTTATACTGTAATCCGTATGATATGTAATTAGCAATCTAATCATTCATAAACGATATGCAATCTGTAAATTTAATTTATGTAAATTATCGCTATAATTGATGTAATTTCAACTATAGGATAAAAATGAGATGATTACGATTTACGGAGTATGGTAAAAAATATATTTATAAGATACTACTACCCAATAATAATTGACGGTACGATAAGATCTGCATTTACTATCGAATAGAGTTACAATAAGAGTTCTGGTCTAAAGACCATCTAGTACAACTACTGTGATGTAATAAATGATATAGCAATTGATTAGAGGATATATAATTTATAAATCTATAAAAGATGGAAATTTATATGGATATAAAAGAACATTATTGGAATTTGGATTGTCAGAAATTGCATCAATATATTTAAGTTGAGATATATTTTAGTGAAGTAAGCTACTACAGTCCACTAATCTATTGCGCTAACAGTATTTAATTGAATATATACTGAAAAATATTAGAAGATAAAGGTTACCGTACTTCATTGATACACAACAATTACGATAAGGTTCTCAAAATAAACTATCGTAATTCATCGGCTAATTACGGTAGTGCGGTTACGGTATATCGATTGAAAATAAATTTCAAGAAAAAAATTGATTCATCGATCTATTTTCATTACAGAGTGTAATTGAATATCGAATTACTATAGCATTTTCATATTTGTTGACTCAATGTTGTATGAGAAGAATAGAAATTCATTGCCTTACCGTTATCAAAATTGGAATTTTAACAGAAGCCCCCAAACCATCAGTCGCGATCACTTCCATAGGTAATTTATAGCCATTTGATTCTTGGCCTGCTGGTAATATTAGTGAAACCTTTGGCACCGGACTATAGTAAACTTCCATCTCATTATTCACCGTGCTTGCACTTGGTATGCGAAATTGGTAACTTAAAGGCTGATCATCATCACTAAAATCATAGCATCGAATAGAGTACATAGTTTTCAATGTTATACCATCAGATGGCTCAACGTGGCAAGTGCCTGGTTTCGGCGGTGGGTTAATACTAATATTATAGTAAGAATAACTAACAGAGCCATTTAATCTGCTGACAGCAAGTTGAATGGTATATTCGGTCTTGTTGAGAAAAGTATTGGAAAGAAAGGTAATATATTCCTTATTATTGCCGGTAGATGAAATAGTATTCCATTTAAGTGTCGTATTGAGAAGAGACCAAGAATAAGTTAAATTATCACATCGACCTTTACATCGACCTTCTAAAATGAATGAGTCGGATGGATTAACTTTGTTCATGCAATTTCGCTTACATCTATAGATGATGATAATGAATGAATAAAATAAGGAGAAAATTTTTTGAAATGAGCATACCGATTAATATATCATGACGGAAGCAAATGAATAGTCGATTAGAAATCGATTAGGCTAACATCAATACGAGTATTCTACTACAAACTTACATTATTTCGATGTTAGGAGGATCATGCAAGGTGATATAGACTAATTGGGCTCCTACACTTTCTCGTACATCTTTTTTAATGATAACTTGAAATAAATAAGTGGAATTACTAACAAGAATTGACGGAGGTATGTATAAGATCGGTTGCTGAGCTTGCTGGCTTGTTAAATTTAAACATGAGTGAACTGTTGTTCTTAATTGTGATTGATGATTAATGATTTGACATGTCCAATAATAAGTTATATTGCCATAATTGTTTTTGACATCATCGGGATCGCATGATCGACTAGCATCCATAATTATACTTTGGTTGAATCCAACAGTTCGGTAGTTGCCACCAATGATATGAGCAACAAGAGGATTATTCCTAAAGGAAAGATAGGCTCCGACATCATCGGTAAATGATTTATTATGAGAAGTTACCCTTAGGTATATTTTATAATTGTAGGCAGAAGAGATTATCCTATTAGGTACGATGAGAATGGATGTATTTGTTAAAATAGTAGGTGGAAATTGCAGTGGAGGACTTTCTATGGCATCACCGTCAATTAATTTATAAGGAGTAAGAGTCCAATTGAAATAGACACCACCAGTTAAATTACATCTAACAGTTAAATTACTGCTAAGTAGGATATAACGACTGATGGAAAAGACTTTTGGTCTCGATTTCGTTCTTCCACCGCTAAAAGTAAAGCTAACACTTAATGGAGAACATTTTCGAACGCGAACGCGTTGGAAAATAGTATAATTTGTGACAAGATTAATAGCTTGTATCCGTAAATTGTAGGATTTTACTTTATAATAGATATGATTAAAAATCATGACATAGGTAGAATTGAGTTGGAATTCGAATCTAGAAGACTTGTTGGCGATTTTTGGAACCGTTGAAGCTAGGACTGCCTCCGACCCATTTCTCGTTATAGCCGGTGTGCCATCTTGAGGATCCCAGACAATGGCAGAAGAGTTTCCGATTTGCTTAAGAAAAACAAAAACTTCTAACGGTTCCCCAACCGTAATTCGATACGAAGGAGCGTAAACAAATAAAATTTGTATTGGATAATATAAGACTAGCTGACTAGAACCAATGGCCCAGCTATAAGTGTTTGATGCATTAACTGTTATATTAGCCACTCCACTTGCATTATAGATGTAAATAATTTCAATCGACGATTTGTTCGTCGTACTAGGTACTGTAGTTTCATTTTCAACTTTTAAAGTTTGATTATTGTTGCCTGTATCTATTCCAGAGACAGATAGGACTGTGCCTTGGGCCCCGAGATTGTAGCTGTAATTTGTTGGTGAACCATATTCGGTGGAAATAATAATTGCTAAAGTCTGGTTAACTGCAAAATAGTTTAGATCCGATCCATTACCTACTTGATGAGTTGCATTATCATAGACTTGAATAGTTACACCTTCGATGTCTTCCTTAACTTCAATATCAGCAATCGATATCGATGAACTGTTGCTGTTATAAGCAGTGATATTAATAGTTTGTACTCCAGCGGTCGAGTAATTATAAGTAAAAGGTCCAATAATGGATGGTTCAACGACAACAGCCCGAATAAGGTAATGATCTTGATAAGATGAGACATTGGTAGAATCAAAAGCTGATCCAATATCCGTTTGGGAATTAGGACTAAAGTAGACTGTGGTAGAAAATTCATCATGAACGACTGTAATTTCTCCACTATCTGAGCCAGAATATGCGATACCAATAAAATCTCCTTCTTGAACTGCAAGAGGAGTGATGTGTGGCTCACTTAAAACAGCTCGACCAGTGTTATAAATGAACCCTTCTGTTTGGCCGACAAGAATAGCCATGGATAGATCAAATGGATTGGAATAATTCGAGGCATTACAATCGGTTTGATTATAGCAGTTTCCAGAGGAAAAGCAATAGCTAATGTTGCGATGAAAGTTTTCACATAAGGGCGGCTGACAATGATCAGAGCGAGAAATGCAACGGCCGAGAAGATGACAGTAGATTCCATCAGGGCAACTGGGTCTCCATACCTGAATTATCGTTGAAAACAACTTATTTAGGTCCATATTTTACAATTGCATTGTGATCTAGGGCTAATCTGAATAAACGAGAGGGAACTGAAACTACTCGTATTAGGACAACAAGAATCGAGATAGCTAGCTATAGTGTGGCTATACAAAATGCTGCTATTTTTCTATTTATGGTTACAATTCGCATTTCAAATTTATAATCTAAAGCCCTTAATAACATACAAATTAAAATTGGGACACCTATATTAAAATTGAGCGTCTATTACAGAAATATAGAGAAATTACAATCTAAAGCTCTTAGTAACATACAAATTAAAAAATGGGATGCCTATATTAAATCGAAAGTCAATGATAGGAATGTAAAGAAGTTATAAATAGCTAGATATCGATATATTGCACATAATTTACTATCTGTTTAAACTTGGGAATATAATTGCTAACCTGAAATTGAATCTTTCCGGTTTGTTTAAAACTTCCTTCCCAATGATGGATGTAACCACTGCGTTTAATGACATAATGTGGAAAGAGCAGCGTAGCTTCATCAGGGTCATCTCGTATACCTAATATTGGTGCTGTTTGAACTGCTGCAATTTCTCCAAGGTAAGTATGCCTGCAATCTTTGGATATGAAACATTACAGAAATAGATTGAGCATGTGAAGTATGTGAAGGTAGAATTTTAAAGTGATTGATTGTCGTAGGAATAGATCAAGTTTAATAAATAGATTATGAGCTATTAACAACTAAAAGGATAAAGGAACTTTCCAAATTTGCAGAAGTTTAGTTCACTATTCTTACAACTATAAGAATTTAGCTTTTATAAATCTATGTTGAGTGTATATCATGTATTCTTTGCGCCCTGTTGTAGCATTTCAAAGCAATATACTCATTCCTTTTAACAAAACACGTAGTTTTTCAGGAGATCACCAGGTGCATTAGAGCTGATCTTCACTTACCAACATAATACATATCAATTCTTACCTAAAATAGGAAATTCAATACTATTTCCATCTCCAAATGACACAATAACGTTCATCTCATTGCCCGAAGAAACTATCGCTTTACACCAGAAGAGTTGATTTTTACGAACGTCAATTGGACATTGAGTATCGGTAATAACAACGGGCGCATGAAGATGATAATGTCTTACTGCTTGTAGATTACGAGTCAGATTATTATGAAATGTAGCCGTAAATTTTATTGGACCAATGCCGGTGTAAAGATGATTTATTTGTAAAAATGGAGTAATAGATGGAGTAATCCAGCCATCACCATAATCGGCCTTTAAAGTAGCTGCTAGGCCAGGATTAGCGTAGTAAATGCTGGAGAATTGAAAGGTAAGACTAGATGCTGTCATGATATTAGTTTGAAGGGGCTGATCAATTTCTAATTGACGAAGGTATCCATCTGTACTGTACATAGTTGCATAATTGATTCCACCACACGATAAACTCTGGTTTCCTAAGCAGAAATCGGTACATCGACCGATATATGTTGGACTTTTTGGCACTAACATTATTGTTGATGAGCAATAGCATATAGGTTGCGATGCGACAACTTGTAGTGCTGCATACGGGCAACTAATCTTAGCACAGAGTTGTGCACATAGGATCGGTGTTAGCGTTGAAATGTTATAATTTCCAGGGTTTTTGTAGAAGAAATCTTGACTAGGAGTATTGCTGTAGCAGCCATATTCACTATAACCAGAAACTAATACAATGAAAACGAAAATTAGTTGTAACACTTATTAGTTAATATATTCCATAATGTAATCCTTGCGGCGTGTAATTTTACTAACTAAAGATTGTCAGCGTTTGGATTTCTCCATCAAATACAGTATAAACTATGAAGGTACTTTAATGACGATTATGCAGATCAATTCGCCACGGAATACATATGAGTACCGTACACGTAAGCAATGACTATCTGATGAAAATGAAAAATCGTGAATATTACAATACTGTATGCATCTACATAGCTATTTAATCTATCTCCATAAGATAACGTAATACAAGTTCAAGTTTGGTTTTTAAATCAAACACGAGAAAGATTTCGGAAGAAGCTCGATAATTATTGTAGTAGTATATGTATATTTCAAATACTATATGATAAGGATCCATACACGTGTATGCTTGCTATACTTAACATCATACGCGTATAAATAAGCGCAGCCAGAATAAAGTATAATAACAGCAATGGATGGGCGTTAACGAGAAAGGAAATTCGAGTTTGATATTGTAATTCAGGCAAGAAGAGATATTAAATAAGCTGCTATTAGATATATAATTATTCGCATACTCATATTCATAAGACAGATATAAACTATATCCCCATATTTACGCTATACTTTAATGATACATTACCATGTACTAGCAGGAAGAATAATTATTGTCTATGGCTGAGAGATTAAGTAATAGAAAATACAATATAAAATGTTTATGATTTGCGATACAAGTTATTTCTGCGAAGCTTTTATTATATATTATCAAACTGCTTAAAGATTAGCGACTAATTCCACCTATATGCGTAGTAACTTTGAAGTGATTAAGTTTAAACAAATTTAACTTAAACGAATTAACTTGAGCATAATCATATCGATGTCGATGTATTTCAATAGTATTAAGTTCCATACAGTTTGCTATACAATATTTTATTAAAATTTAAAAATTGGATAATAAATTGCCATGCAATGAATATCAGATGGGATTTACCTAGTCTACTAATGGCATAGAACGCTAAAAATGAAGACAGAACCAAAATGATTCTTGCCATGATGTCAATACTTTCTGCTATGAATTACAAAATGAACGCTAACTTAGAGGAGAGAGTCTTCGCGATATAGAACGGACAATTTCTATCACTTGAAGGAGATAACTGTTTTTCTTTCTTCTAGAGTTATGCTACTAATGATTAGTCTTTAGGAAAGATTAGCTTCCGTTGGAATTTAAGGCTGGATTACTTAAAACTTTCGAACTTTGTATAGACTTATAAATAGTTAATCATCCTATTATATTTTACGACAGGTGCTTAGATTACTAAATTATTAAATATTGACCAACATGGGATTTAATAAAAGCAGAAAATTGCATGAATCCCGTTAGAGCTAAATAAATTATTCGTTAAATGCATCACGAATCTTTTTCTCTATTTAGCATCTTACTATTCAATACCGATAAAAAATTTAACTATTCAGTCAAAGTATCACTAGAAATTGAAATTCAACGCTACAATATTACAGTCTCCGTAGGGAAATTTAACTGTTTTTTTGTGTTTGATTTCCTAGTTACAAAGTAGCACGTAGACAATTTCAATAAATAATAAAAGAATGATAGATTAATTAATAATTAGTTAATTAATAGAACCCTTAGCCGCAACTTATTTAGCATGATATAAAAGAGAGTTCCATTTGAATATCTATTTATTCCAAGGATATATCATGAAGGGTACCCGTAAATTTTTTAGTTAGTTTACTAATTCTATTCTTTATTTTAATTAAATTGACGAATTTTAATAGCTATTACCAGGCTTTTAAATTAATCAACTAGCCGTAAAATATAGGATTGTATGATTGTAATTTTAGCTATAGATGCCTTGCTGCTTTAATCAACAATTTATATTATAAATTCTAGTAGAGCTCATTTTTGTCTAGATATATCCCTAGTTATGATTAGTGTAATATTTTAATCAAGCAATCTACAGTATATTCTTATAATATGACATATTAATTTAGACTAAAATAATATTAATGATTAAATTTAATTATTTCCAATTTTTGACGTAGGCTATCACATAATCGGGTAGGCTCAATACGATATTATCTACCGCTAATACTTTTAATGGTAATGTGTTCGACTAGGATAGAGCCAGTTGAATTATATTACACCGGCATTTACGTATCTTCAGCGTCGTAGTACCAATTTTTGAAGATTTTCCTGATTTAATTGCATTACTCGCAAATATTTTATAAATTATATTTACCCGGCTAGTACATATTAGTATATGATTGTTACGTATTATTTTCAAGTTTTGAGGTAGAATATAACATATATCGATAGTACCATTCTCTCGCTAACATTTTGATATTAATTTGAACTGGATAGGCCACACAAATGTTATATCTTATAATTTGTACGTACCTATGTACAGGATTATCGCTATTTCTAGTCTTTTTTATATACGCTGGTAAAAATAGTAGTATGATATTTTGACTGCATATGTTTTAATATCAATCAAATGAGATAGATTAGTGAAGATATATTACGTTAGCCTACTAGATATGCCCTTCTGGTATATTCTTGTGAATTCAATTAAGTTGATAGAATGAGTCTACTGCAGCTTGTTCAGTATCAACCACATAAATCATAAATATGAGTGTAGGTCGTACGGGATGAAGCTAGCTAAATCACCCTAAACAGATCTATCTGTAAATTCGATAAATTTTAATATCTATTTTATTCCGGAGGATTTGATTAAAAATGTATCTGAAATAAGAATAAGTGGCTAATGGATATTTAACTGCTTACGATATAAATTTAATTTCAAAAGAACTAAAGAGCATATTGGTAAAATACCCGCTTATGTATGAGCTTGAAATTCTAAATAGCAGCTATATACAAGTATATCAGCGCCATTTTTTTTACATTACGCAATATGTAATAACTCGAAGATAATATTTAATCAGCTCATTACGGATGAATGGGCAATTATATATTACACTGCGACTAGATGTATCACAATTAAAAGGTATAATAGACCAACTCTTTCATTTCTTCGCTGTATCATTACTTAATGATGGTAATAGCTTCTCCATAATTTGATAATAGTATAGAAAAAACAGATAAATCGCTAGTATGAGTACAATACTGTAATTAATCTAGTTAATGGATTACAGGTGATACTACAGTTTAACTTGCATAAATCAATTCGAAATCATAGTAAAATGTTTATTTATTCAAGTCTCATGATCACATTCATCGTAATGATATACTGTTCAATCCTAATACTGTATAATAGTTGTTATTTTAGGGATATATAGAACTTCTTTATATTTAGTGCAATGATAAGTAGAACATTACTAATGACTTATACTCGTATGACTAGCGTCACATATAATCCAATAGTTTACAGGTATCAAAGTATAAATTGTTATCATGATATCATTTCCAGCATCAATATTAGGAACTGTCTCAGTTACGAATTGTAAGTAAAGCCTTAAGCCACAATATCTAGGAGATCAAAATAGTGGATAGTATTACTACTCACGGTAATTGTATCACGTTATACTCCTTTATTGATCAATATGGCGGAAAAAGCTGCTATCTTATTCGTTAAACCTACAGAAGAAATCTTGTTTAAAGGTAGTATTACAAACATGATTATGTTATAAAATATTGCATCATTACTTTTTCTTGTTGCGTATGATCACTCCTTTAAAATTGATTTTCAAATCGATATACCATTTCGCCTATTTTACTAGGGAACTATAACACTACCCTAACCGCCTATATAATATTACGAAATCAGGTTGATGAATCTGTCTGTTTTAAAATTAAAACGACAGCCTCTCCTTTTTACTGTGCTCAACCTAACCTTGGCATTGTTAAAGCCAGAAGCTATGTCGTTATTGAAGGTATGTTCTATTTTACTCAGCAGTAAATAATAATTCCTTCTGTAACACATCTTATAAGTGTTTTTGCGTTAATGTGCCTATTTTTGGATAATTTTATTAATGAAATTTACTATATATGATTGAAAGAACTGTCTCTATGTGTTAGTTTACCAATAAATATCAGAGTTTTATGATCTTTTTAGCTTAACTTCTATGACACGTTCGTACTCCTATGCAAATAATCTCGGTTAAATATCTAGCGTTAGAATGTAGTATATTATAAACTATCACAGAAATCCTCGATTAATAGTTACTAACGTTAGAGATATGAATAATGTGAAGTTTGATAGCGATCCAAATGATACCGTAATAAATGGATAGCAATTAATTTTAATAACTGACTGAAAGCAAATTTTAACAATTAAAGTAATGAATCTTTAGATTAATTTACTATTTGCGGTCTTTAAATGAAACGAGATTTTAATATTACTGTATAGTACAAGCAAGACCATTCAAATGTACTGCCATGAATTTTAAAGATCACCTATTTCTTGTTCAAGCGATCGTCATGAAAAAAGATGACGGAGATTTTATACAAGCGGTAAGATATTCATTTAAAGATAAATTTTAGAAAAGTAGATAGAATTTACTTCTAAGAATCACGATGGCAAATATAATGTGCATAGGAGTGAATTAGTGCTGAAATTTGAACTATCAGAATAAGAAAATTGATCTTGTTTAAGGCAATAATTGAAATTAATCGATAACATTTATTTATTAGTGGCAAAGTATTGGAAATCCTGCCGAAATTATGAACCATAGATTAAGCTGTAGATTTGAATTTACGCCCATTGCTGAGAGTTAGAGCAATGATTAAGGTATTAGAAACGTATCATGCATAACTCCCTATAATTTATGCCAAATACCACTTCATATTTTAATCCTCATTATTGGCATAGTTTTTGGTACTATGGAATTGCAAGTAGTTTTGTGTACTACAGCAATGGAGACTTTTAATATTTGATATGGAACTTACCGTCTTCGTTATATTACCAGGATAATCCATCCACTTTTTCATATAATTATCCTATAGACTTTTGCCAACTTATATGAGTAGTATTGCAGCTGACTTTATAGAACTTGGCTAAAAGTAACAGTTTTCTGTACTACTAAAGTAAAATACAGTAAATGATTTATCAATTCGTACCTGTAGTAAACAGTAATATCATCGCTATTTGATCTATGTGTGCTATACTTTGATATCCTGTGTTACCTAAACTCTAAAGTTAGGACATTATATCAGTAATTCAATTTAACAATGCAATCGTGCTGCGTGCTAAAAGAGAATATTTGCATCGATTTTTTTAAGTCTTAAAATAGGATCGCAACAAAGAGCATTCGACTTCATAATTTTTAATTGTAACGATCAAAAGCTTATACTATATAATTAAAACACCTACATATAAACGGATGAAAGTTATTTATTTATAGTTTAGCTATTAACTCTTTGTTGTTTAAGAGTTTTTGATACTGATAGCTTCTTTTAGTAGCTTACTAACATATTATATGCCTCTATACATTTGAACCAAGCTGGGCTATTAATAAATTACAACTAAATGTGCGAGTATAAGAATTTATATTGTCATGCTATATACCATTGCCAAGATAAATGAAACCAAATTTCTCTTACCAGCGAATCAAAAAATCAATTTGAACTTGTTTGTTATTATACCGGTATAGTTTTAAATATCAATACCTTAGTCATTGTGGGCAGATTGTTCTAAGTCAGTAATGTTGATGCATTTGAGGTGAAATATTAATCGTACATCTGTAATGGTAGCAAATGAAATCTGTAACACTTAGCTGCATGATATTTTATGCGCTACGATTTCACCAGTGAATAATTGAATAACTAGTTTACATAAAATTTTGCCTACCTTGCTTTGTTCAATGGTTAATTTTGTATTGGTTATGAGTATATACCTTAAGTTATCGATATGGATATTGTTTAATTCTTGACAGTTTTAATGTTCATATACAATATCATTCGAAAACATTAACATTTCAACAAACTGATTCTCTAATGATTACTAGCGTAATATGCGAAATATATTATTAGAGGAGACTTCAAATTGACATTACTGTAGCCAATAGAAATAGATTTATTAGTATTGAAATTATATGTTACAGTCTAACTCTCTGTCACTACCACTAGATAAAATCATTACTGCTATTACCGTAGTAATATCTATATTTACACAATACAGTATACATATTTTATCAGTGTATGTATTCACTACAAGTAGATTGAGAAGCAACAGGTAAGGGATGAGATCAATTCTAAATCTATATTATTGTTACCAGTAAAATTCCTATTTGCAATATTTAATATACGGTATACGTGTTGAAATTTAACAGTCTAATACCGCCACTGTAACTAAGATGATGTGTGACTACGCAATCCTCGTTTGCTCACTATCGCCAAAATATTACTGGCTATACCGTATAGAAGATTAATTCCAATCCATAGTACGCATATAATAATAATCCATATTATCGCTACGAACGCCATAATTTATCATTTTTATTGAAAGCAATAGTAAAATAACTATAGTAATGTGTAAGTTACGTATCTATAATTTGTTCTGCTGACTATCTCCAGAATAATGTACGCTATATCTTGTAGAAGATTAAATCCGAGTATAATTCATAGTAACTATTATTATTATCACTACTAGCTATACAACTTGTTAGTTTATTGAGAAGGAACAGTATAAAAACTCTAGCGATATACTTTTCATGTGTCTACAACCCGTATTGCTGATCATCGCCTGAAAATATGCGCTATATCTTGTAGCAGATTAATTTGAGCGCAGTTCAGAGTATTATAACCCATATTGTCGTTGCTAACTGTGCAATTTATCATTTTATTGAAAGAAACAGTAATAAAAACTATTACAATATATGTGCTACGTTTCTATAATTCTCATTGCTCACCATTTCTAGAATAGTATAGGCTGTATCCTGTAAGAGATTAAATTCGAATATAATTTATAGTAACCTATTATTATCACTACTAGTTATATAACTTGCTAGTTTATTGGAAAGACTAGTACCGTATAACAACTCTAGTGATGTACAGTACATCTATATTATATATCTACGGTCTGTAGTGCTGATTATCGGTATGCGCTACTTCTTGTAGTAGATTAATTCGAATACAGTTCGTAGCATAATAACCAAATTATTATTACCAGCGGTACAACTTATTATTTATTAAAAATTGAATTCATTAGTTAGGTCATGATAATTCTATCTGTTATAGAGTATAGTATTATTATGTCATGGTAACTGCGACTTTTTGTTAGCTTTATCAGAGTTGCTTGTTCTTATTGCTCATTACTAATTGTTGTATTATATCTAGATAGCTGCAAGCTTGTAATACCTTATATACTGTACTCTTGTATAGACTAAATCGTCATGGATATAGAGACAATATTGTACCTAAATAGTTTGCTGTGTGTATTTTAATGATTGTTTTGGGCCGCAGTTCTCTGCCCTAATTGTCATCATAATGTATATAGAATTGAATAGCCTTCTAGTCGCTATAGCAACAGCCAACAGTAAACTCAAAGATACATTGACTAATAAGAATTACAAATTAGAATTGGCATAATACATGAAAAATGCTAATTCTATTCTAACTATCATCGCCTTGTACTATCTATACACTACTTGCTAAATAGTAACCTAGTGAAAAGGCAATAGCTTGTGTATCTTTGTTGAATCTGCCTATCTAATTTACATTAGCTGAATACTACCCTAGAGATTATTACTGTAATACAATCGACCAGAGAAGATAAAATTTCCTCTAAGATTGTAGGAAGACTACCGGTTTATATGTTAATTTCCAGTTTAGATAGCTTTTTGGCCGACAGAGTAGTCTTGTAGGAAATATTAATCATACATTAATATTTACTTACCGTTCTTGTAGTTCCCTAAAGCCCAATGAATTGCTGTTAAAATTTTATGCACACAAAGCAAAATCCATTGGCTTGATAACCAATTTATTAGAGGCAAAGCAGTGGAACCAGGAGCTAAACGATTATACTTGGATACTTTTGATAACTGACTTATTTTTGAATCGCTCTTGGACTCTGTTGCTTACGATTAGCTCAAGGTTGCTTTCTAAGTAAAGTTGCGCTGTGGTTGGTCGTCATTTTGCTTGGAGACTTCTCAACACTGCTTGTATTAGATACTATCTAAACATCTGCAAGAATTGATCTAACTAAATTGATGCTTTCCTATTACCAACTGCTACTGTGGTAAAAAACTTTAATAAGGTGGTATATCATTCTAATCCTTTTTGAGGCTAGCAATTCGACACATTACTTGCCCGTGATAAAATTTTCTTTGCGCTCGATTAGGACTTTGGCTACGGCTTTCTTGTTAGCCTTCGCATTTTTATATTGATTATCTAGTATTTTTGCAAGAATTGTTCAAGATCAATTGATACTTGATCGAATTTTCTAGTAAAGTAACGCGATTGCCTTCTAATCCAGCTGGTTAAATTTATTTTTTCCATCTAAAAGTAATCAACTTGTAATACCGTTACTGGCGCCGGATAATTCCGTTATCCTATTTCTTAAGAGGCTTTCAGAGTAGGATCAGTATCAAACTCCAGTATAGTTCAAAAGGTGTTATTATTATCAATCTGTAATTTATTACAGGTTTAAAACGACCCAGACTTGACATTTATTCTGCCATATATCAATCTAAAAACCATCAATCGGTCATTGCTATTGAATTGTTTAATTAATTATGGAGTTTCAACAACGAACTGTTATGCCTTATAGAGATAATGAAAGGCGCACTGTTAAAGTTAAATTTTATAAAAATGGGGATCAATACTTTCAAGGACTACCAATGAATATTTCAATCAATCGATATCGTAGTATGGAGGCATTACTCAATGAATTAACACGCTCTATTTCCTTACCTCGCGGTGTTCGCTATGTGATGACGCCCGATAATGGCAAGAAAATACAAAGCGTCCATGAATTACAAGACGGCAAAGCTTACATCTGTTCCAGTTTCAATTCGTTAAGTAAAATAGAATATGGTAAAGCTGCTCGACCTGCCTGGCGTCCAAATACTAAACTAGCACCATTAGGTGCAAAACCAGTTG